AGCAAACTTGGACGGAGATTGTCTCTTGCATTGTTTGATATTGATAAATTACCAAAATTGGGATGAGGCGAAGATTATATTCCCGGTTTTTTTTTTTTTTTAACTGTAATAGCTCATGAATAGAAAAATCTGGCTCCATTCCCGGCTTTTTTGGCAGCTGTCGTTCTCAAACTATTGATCTCTAAGTAATACAATAGTAGCTGTTCTTTGAGTATAGATAAATCGATTATATTGTTATACCCCATCTCTGAAAGCGTTTAAAGTCAATTGATTCTACAGATACATAGAAAATTTTGAAAATTTTAGAAAAGCACCTTTTTTTTAAAAAAAAGAAACATAAGTGCTAGAAATTTTCTGTATTTAAAAATAATAAGAAAAGCTACTGCAAAATTTTTTTTTTATCATTTATCATAATATACTTAAACCATTGACGGTTTTGCACGCAAAAAGTGGTATTTTACACTGGAGTATTTTCCACATAGCAAAAACGGGTTTTGCGTGTTATTAGAAAAGAAAAAAATGAATAGGGGAGAAACATTCTCCCAATTTTGCCCATTTGCTAAACCATGCACCAGTGGGTTAACTTTAATTTCTGCACAGCAAAAACGGGTTTTCCGTGTTATTAGATAGAGAAATAATAAATAGTGAAGAAACATTCTCCAAATTTTGCCCATTTGTTAAACCATGCACCAGTGGGTTAACTTTAATTTCTGCACAGCAAAAATGGGTTTTCCGTGTTATTAGATAGAGAAATAATAAATAGTGAAGAAACATTCTCCAAATTTTGCCCATTTGCTAAACCATGCACCAGTAGGTCAACTTTAATTTCTGCACAGCAAAAACGGGTTTTCCGTGTTATTAGATAGAGAAATAATAAATAGTGAAGAAACATTCTCCAAATTTTGCCCATTTGCTAAACCATGCACCAGTGGGTCAACTTTAATTTCTGCACAGCAAAAACGGGTTTTCCGTGTTATTAGAAAAGAAAAAAATGAATAGGGGAGAAACATTCTCCCAATTTTTCCCATTTGCTAAACCATGCACCAGTGGGTCAACTTTAATTTCTGCACAGCAAAAACGGGTTTTCCGTGTTATTAGATAGAGAAATAATAAATAGTGAAGAAACATTCTCCAAATTTTGCCCATTTGCTAAACCACCAGTGGGTTAACTTCAATTTCTAAATAAAAAAAAATTTTATTTGGCTTTCAGATATAATATATATCTTTGTACCTTTCAAATTTTCGTTATGATAGGTTTTTTTAAGTATCATTTGAAATAATTTAATAAAAATGCTAAAAGTTCTTAAAAGTTAATCCTCACTTATAATAATTCAACTTTTTGAATGAAAATCACTTGGAACAGTTTTTAAAAGTATGCATCGTCTAACTGAAAAATCTTCACGAGACTCAGATTATCAATTTTTTTCAATACTAATTGCTAAGAACACTTTTGAAAATAATATGTGTAATAAACTTTTTGCACTAAAAGCTGTAGTAAAATAAAATCTAATTTAAGCAGTTTTCAAAAATTGAGCTTCATCCAATATAATTTTATAAGTACGCGTTTTATTTTTTTTTTTTAAAAAATCTAGCAGACCATTTTTTCATAAAGTATTAGCACTTTTACCGCAAATTTTACCGTAAAATATCATACTACAGAAATTACGCTATGTTATATTTTTGTTCCGTGACATGTTTCAGTAAAAATAGATTTTACCGTAATTTGATCTGGAGTTTTTACAGTGCATAAACTATAAAATATTACATCTGCAAATCAAAGTTATTTGCAAACAAAATCAGAGAAAAGTTAAAGTTAAAACCTGACGATGCAATTGTACCATTTCTCGTTAAACCACTTTTCAAGATCAATTTAATAGAAAGAAATTAGTGATACTGTCTTTTCATTTCTTAAAGCAAACTAAATGCTTTGATAATTTTAATATTTACAGTTGTAGTAACGTTTGATTCTTCAAGTTGAATAATGTTCTTGAGAAGCGTAGCACTGAAGTATTTAAAAAAAATTTAAAGCCATTATTAATTTATCATAATTTAGCTTATTTTCTGTTCTATTGCCCTCTAACTAGTATAAAGAGTTTAATTTTCCTTTTATTTCCTTGAATATTTTCACAGTTCATCTTGAATATGTGAAGAATAATTTAAAATGAACGGAATTGTGATGAAGTATTTGTTACATAAATGTTACATCCCATTAAATTTGGAGAAAAAAAATAGCAATAAAATGTATAAAGAAGCAATATTTCCATTATTTCATTTCTACCTTAAAAATCCACTACTAATTATCAAGTAAAAATCCCTCTTTGTAATTCAGAAAGAGACGAATAAATATTTAATCAAAAATTTATTTTTAAATATAAATAATTGAAACTTACGGAACATATTGTTTTCAAACTTATTAATTTTTCCATTTTATTAAAAAATAAAGGATACTTCAAAAAATTTATTCATACTATTTTTACCTAAAAAGATTTAAAAATCATTAATCATTAAATCATTCGATTAAAATTTGAAATTTTTTTTATTTATTTGTATAATTCTTTGCTTTACTTATCGTCAACGATCTCATAAGTAAATGTTTTCATTATTTCATATTTAGTTTCCTATAAAACATATTGAATGTAATGATTCCTTGAGAAATTTTTCTTCTAATATATTAATAAATTTAATGTTGTGAACAAAAAAAATAGAATTTGAGCTTCGTTGCATTATAAGACTTTTATATTTTAAATTTACTCATTTCTACAAAAATCATTAATCATTAAATCATTAATCATTAAATCTTTCGATTAAAATTAGAAAATGTTTTTATTCATTTGTATCATTCTTTCCTTTACTTATCATCAACGATCGCATAAGTAAATGTTTTCATTATTTCATATTTAGTTTCCTTTAAAATATATTGAATGTAATGGTTCATCGAGAAATTTTTCTTCTAATATATTAATAAATTTACTGTTGTGAACAAAAAAAAATAGAATTTGAGCTTCGTTGCATTATAAGACTTTTATATTTTAAATTTACTCATTTCTACAAAAATCATTAATCATTAAATCTTTCGATTAAAATTAGAAAATGTTTTTATTTATTTGTATCATTCTTTCCTTTACTTATCATCAACGATAGCATAAGTAAATGTTTTCATTATTTCATATTTAGTTTCTTACAAAATATATTAAATGTAATGGCTCATCGAGAAATTTTTCTTCTAATATATTAATAAATTTACTGTTGTGAACAAAAAAAAGGAATTTGAACTTCATTGCATTATAAGACTTTTATATTTTAAATTTATTCATTTCTACATAAAAAAAACCTTAAGTTTAAATTGATAATTTATACTTTCCAGACTGCTCGAAGAACCTCCGTTATAGACATTGCTCAGTATGAAGCTCTAAAGAAAAATAATGAAACACTGAGACAAAAGTTAGAAGAGCTATTGAGGACATCAAATGACTTGCAAGATGCAGTAAGTAGATTGTAATGTTCGATGCATAACAACTGAAGTGGAAATCTAATTTATGAGAATCTATGATTAATGTAAAGTTTGAATTTTAATATAAATATACAGTTTAGTGAAGAAGTTTAGTATAAATGCCAGATAATTCTTAAACTTAGTCTGATACAAAGTCTATTCAGTTAGTTTTGTATAGAAGTTTAGTTTAAATACCAGATAGTTCTTAAACTATTCCAGTCTGGTCAAAGTATGTTTTTTTTACTTATTTCTCTTTTATCATTAAAATATACTCTTTAGACTTAAACCGAATAAATATTATTTTATCAGACCAATGATTTCAAATGTTGCAAGCCTGTTTGGCTTTGTTTCAACACCGAGGTCATTCTTTTTTTCTTTTTATGTTTTTAAAAACATACAAAAACATGACAAAACTTTCATATCATTATTTCGTAAAAATATTTTTCATGTGAAAAAGACAAATCATTAAAGCTTCAATTTTAAAATTTTGCAGTCATTCCCTAACCTCGCATTTTTTTCTTCTGAAAAATGATTGCAAAACAATATTTAAAGAGACTAACCAGACAATTTTACACTATCTTTTATTTGCAATGATCATCCATTCTGGTTTGAATTCTAGCTTTAAAGCAAAAGAATTGTGTAATTATTTTTCAACAGCTAATTTTAAGAAAAATAAAAAAGGATTTCCTTAAATTCTAAAATTCCTCTTTTTGCACATGTTAATTACAAAAGTCACTCTGTTCTAGAAAAATGAAAATCTCACTTTGTGTCAAAAACAAAATTAAATCAAAGTTAATTTTAGTTACCGGATTGAATATCAATTAATGATTAAACATCAATGGTTATGCACTTATATATATAATCGATTTAGATCATGCCTGAAAATATAACGTTTGTCAACGTTGGGACTTGAACTCACGTTCTGTCGGTCATGAGAGAAACAGATTAACCCTCTCGGCTATAATGTGTAACCAATTACAAGGAACTAAGTGGTTTTCGTATTGGGTGAAGCCTGTCAATCTAAGGTTTTTCTCACTGTTAACAGTTAAAATACCGTCTTATTAATGGTTACTTGAAAGATTTGTTTGAATATGGTAAAATAACAATTAAATAAATTGTTACTTAACTTTTTTTCGAGACATTTCTTATAGCATATAAAATAAAAATTTTTTATAGCCAATACTATGTTAGTAAAATATCTATATCTTCTTTACTCAGGAAATTCGTTTACAAAGAAAAGATTTCGAAGTTCAACAGCTGAAACAGGAACTGAATAACAAGCAGCACCTGTGCGCCAATCTGGTAAGATTATTATACTTCAAATTATTATTCAGCAACAAGTTTTTTTTCAAATAAATAGAATTTTAATTCATCTTTACTTTATTTTATAATATTAAAAACGTTTAAATGTGCATTTTCTATATTTATTTTCAGGAGCACAGGTTGCTTGTTTTGTTTAATACTCAGGACAAAAATCAAATTTGTAATTCTGAACAGTTTTTACATTTTGATAACGTAAGTCAATACCTGCATTTTTAACAAAAAAAACGACAACTTAAATACTATTTTTTAGTAGATTATTGCAATAAAATTACGTGTTCCTTTATTTTGTAAAATTTTGTCAATAAGAATAAAAAACACAAAACATAAATAATCTGATATAGTTACGCTGATAAAAAAGAAAAAATAAGTACGCTCAAAACTATAAAAATGTGGTGAAATGTACCATGTTGCTACCAAATGGGAACTCCACAAAAGGCTCTGTGGGAACACCAAAGAGCTCGGTAATTTTTACCAAAGCGCTTTGTTTATGATTTCGGTGAAATTGACAATAAAATATGGTTTTATAACATGAAATCTGGTAATTTTACCATGATACCTTAGAGGATGGCACAAAAACATTTAAATGCCAAAAAAACTTTCTATCTATGTATTTTTTATTAACTGTGTAGTAATAAGAACTATAAGTTTGAAGACCAATTTTTCCGGTAAACCGTTAAAATGTAAACAGATAAATTACAAAATGAATGATTTAAATGCCACGAATTTTGGTTTTATTTTCGTATATATTTTTTTTTTCTTTCAGAAGTGTCACTACATTATAGTACGGTAGTCATAGCAGAATATTATTTATCTGTATACTACCAGGGGTCTGTTAAGAAGAAATTTGGGTCCGTTATATCTTTTTATGAAAACGGACCCTTCACAAAATATTTTAACTTAAAAACGGACCCTTCACAAAATTTCATGATGACTACNATTTGTTTTTTTTTTTTTTTTTCATTATTCTTTTGATAATCGAATAAACCCTTCCCAGGAAGGAGGGGGGGAGAAAGACAGATGTAAAAGAACTAAATTTCGCCATCGGCAGACGCTTCTTCCTTTATTCGTCCGAAATGAATATTCTGCGTTCAGCAGTATAGGCTAAATACGGCAGACTCTTCTTCCTTTATTCATCCGAAATGAATATTCTGCGTTCAGCAGTATAGGCTAAATACCAAACATTTATATGTTACATCGCTAATTTAGTAGCTGCAATTGCTGTTTATTTTTTTTAATTTAATTTTTTAATTTAATTTTTTAATTATAATTTTGCAGTGCTGAGCATAATCTTGTATCTATTTACAATTTAAAAACTCCTTGAAAAAGTTTTTTTGCAGTAACGGACCCTATTTGCACAAATTTACAAAAGCGGACCCTGGTTGAAAGAATGTGACTTAACGTTTATTTTATATTCACAAATTACGAGTAATTTTTTCACAATTTTACAAAAACGGACCTTTCACAAAATGTCTGGACAAACCCCTGATACTACCCAAACATAGGTTTATACAAAAAATTTCATTTTAATTTCAAAAAGGGCTTAGTGAAAAATGAATATTTTTAATAAAAGTCTGTGTGATTTGGTACAAATGTTTGGATTAGGTCAAAATTTAAATTTTAGTTATACATTCGGTTTCATTGTCATCTCTTTTCCTTCCCTATGACGAATGAGGTTTTCAATCTGGTTTTCCATCATTTTCTGTCTTCCTAAATCCCTCTTGCCTCCCCTATGTTATTATACATGTTATTTTCTTATACATTTCTTACATAAAGAAACAATATTTCTTTTCATATTTATTATTCTGTTTAACTAAACATACCAAACTCAAAAGCGTTTTTCAAAGCATAACAATTTCGTCAATAAGTCTAACTAGTTAATTGAATTTAAAGAAACTTTAAAGTTCACATAATTACAAAAAAAAAAAAAATTTTAGCCATTGCCACCGAAACAGCTTTTTATTCAAACTTTCTAAAAGCAACAGAAAAATTCTAAGAATTTCGAATAGTTGTATTATATTTATTTTCCTGAGATATTTCTATAAACTAATAAAAATATTTTTAAAAATTGACTCTTTTATTCAAAAAAAAAAATTTCAAGTTATAACCTGAACTTCGAACTTACAGTCTTGCTTTCTTTTCCAAAATTAAGAACTTTCAAACAATTTTTTTATTTTTATTTTAATATTAGATTTTAAATTCCGTTCACATTCAACTTTTAAATTTGTTTTCTTTGATAGAATAACGAAGAATGTTTAGAGATTTTGAATAGCGTTGAATCCACTGAAAGTCAGTCCACCCTGGCTAAATCTGAAGCAGAAGGCCAACAAGGCAAATCCAACAATCTGGAGACTCTTATCAAGGTACTAATGGAATAATAGCATTCTTTTTATTTTAGTTATAACAATGAATATGAGCGCATTGTAATTATGTTACTAAAACACTAATACTTTTATCAAAATACTTACATTTAACGCAAGTGTGTTTAAATATAAAAACCAAAGTTTTGAGAAAACAAATATTACATCAATAAATAAAATTAATGTCAAATTCTAAGCATATAATTTTATAAACTATATAATACTCTATAAAAAGATTTCCGGATAAAATTATAATAAAAAGTAATAGCACCCTGTGTGCAGCTTCTAAAAAATGTACTATAATCGCAACTTTTATATTAATATTTATTTAATTACAAAGATTCAGTAAATATTACTGTATGAATTTCGGTATATCAGATTTTTCTGCTCTGTGAAATTTTACGATAAAATGGGTTTTACGGAAAAAATTACCTGCACTCAGGATACCAATACCTTTTTCTGTAATTTTATCCGAAATTTTTTATGGTGTATGAGCGTACCAATTTAAATTTACCTTTTGTTGCATAGATTTTTTCAAAAAATAACTGAGATTAATCAAATTTCTTAGTTTTAAAATTTAAAATATATACTACATTTATTCACCAATTTATATAATTTACGTAATTTTCAAAAACATTTATAAAATAATAATTAAAAAATTAGCTTAAACAAAGGAACACTGACTTGCATTTCGTTACCCAGCTTGACAAAAAATGATCTATCAAACAAATGAATATAGTATACATTTACTGGTCATAGTAATGAACTCAATGTTTATACACTGTAAAACATTCTGGATCGAATTACGGCAGAAAGTACCGGCACTCGGAGTGTCTGTACTTTTTACCGTCAAATCCATTTTTAACAGAACGTGATACGATACAAAAAATCTGATATACCGTTATTTTTACAATAATTTTCGTAACAACACTGAATACCTCTAATTAAATAAATATCACTGTGAAAATTACTGTAAAATATTTTACGGTAAGAATGAATTTTACGGATGATGCACCCAAAGCTCCGAAACTTTATACCATAATTTGTTTCGGAATTTTTTTCTAATGCTCGTATATTGTTATTATAAACTTGTAATAAATAACTTTTTTAAATAAAGGCAAAATTATTTCTATTTGTAAAGTCTGAAATTGAAATAAAGTAACAGAATCATAAATGCACACAATTAAGTGGCATATATTACTTACTTAATATGTTAATTATATTCAAAATTTATGTATGTTCGCGATTTTACGACATGATTATTTTTTCAAGTTATATTCTTATTATTTTTATCTTACATTTTATACATTAAATTTAATCTCAAAGTTGGCCTGCCTTTTAGCTGTAAATTGAACAGAACTTAGCCTTAAACTGAGTAATACTTTTTTTCTAGCATATGCAAGAGACCGCTGACAGGCGGAAAGAGCTTGAAAAACAATATGCAGATGCTGTCGCAGAGTTACATAGAAAACAAGACGAAATCCGTCACCATCACTACGTCAGTAAAACCGAAAAACAGAATGCCCAAGAAACAATACAATCTCTTGAGGTAAATACCTTCATTTATTTAGAAAAATACAGAACTTCCGTGTCTTTATCCTCCCCTTTAGAAAACTTGTTTTCGTAAATATACTTATACACTTAAATTCTTAAGTAATAAAAGTTAACTTTTAAATTTTTTTTAAGGAAAGCTGCTGTAAATGTCCTACTAATAATTCCTAAATAAAAAAATAATAAATTAATTTAAATCCATATGGATAAAGAAAAGATTACAGTTAAATCTTAACACATAAATGCAGGGTTATTCATAATTCCCTCCGGGGTTTCGAAGAATTATAGTTGAAAAAACGAAGACGAATATGGCAAAAAGGAACATATGAAATTATTCCGAAAGTATTCTCAAGTTTTAATTTAAGCAGTTGCCGGTAGATGGCAGTAACATGTACCACTGAAACCAGTTGTAGTAAAGAAAAATGGCGTTCATAGGCGGAGGGAATTAAAAATAACCCTGTATAATCATACGTTATTATAGTATATCTAAAAAAAGTCTTTGTATCCTTGCGTTAAAACCTACATTTAACATTTTATCCAAGCGCCTTTTTTAAAAAATATAAAGCGCAAATACACTAATGATATTTTCAATTCATTTATCTATCAGTTAAATTTATTAAAAACAAAATATTTATTTAAAAAATATTCGAACATATTTGAGAAGAAAAAAACTTTTTATGAAACATTTCACCTTTTTAGGAGATTGCACTGGGATACAATAATTTTTTCTGTTGCACGAGATTTATCAACAGATGTCAGATATTTTTGTACAGCTAATTTCAAATCTGTAATCATTTTTTCTGCCTCCAAGCTCCAATTTCTCTTTTAATGACATTTTCAGTCTGTTTTTTCCGAAATGAAGTTTAAAAACGACAAATATTTCAGAGGATCGTATAAAAGTTGCGACAAACGTCCTGGGGAATTAGAGCACATCATCAGGATTAAAACTGCAGAAAAACCTCAGCCAGTAAATGATATTATACGCCGCTAGAAGCACTTCCTCATAATGAAATGTCTCTCCGTGTGCTCTTAACCAGGTCATAATAGGTAAGCACCCCTAGCTGCGTATGATGACATTTTCGGGCATAAGTTTCCATGCAATTTTAATCCTGAGGACGTGTCCCAACTCCCTTAGAAGTTAGTCGCAATATTTACTTTATCCCCTCTTATATATAGCTTTCTTAAACATGTATTATTTTTATTTTATTTAATAACCGTCGTTGAGCAGCCCACCCTATTTTGGGTTTACGACTACTAATGTTAAACTCCGTAGCCTTGTAATTTTGAACCAATCCAGAACACAGGGAAACTCCCGGATCAGTACCCCTTTAGGTATGATTTGTTATGGGAACATGAAGGACTTTGTGACTCGACAGATTTAACGTGCATCAGTCCCCGTTTACAACACGGGACGTCTTCGGCCGCCTGGAATCGAACCCAAGACCTCTTGACATGGGCTCAGTGCCCTACCAACCAAGCTATCGCTGCCCAACTTATATTTTTTGGCAAAAACTAGAATCATAATGTCATTTTTTTCAAAACAAATCTGTAGTTTTAGGAACAAGACTAATTTCATATATGAAATCCCCATGGTCGAATTAGACAAGACCAAGTATTTGCATAAATGCAACAAAAAATTTGTTCCCCAGTGTAATACGTTACAAAAGCAATTCTAATCAAAATTTTTCTACCATTGGGTTTGTACCTGCATTTGACATTTTATTCCTGTGCTCTACTTTAAATAAATAGCAAATACACTGCTGAGATTTTTCAGTACATTTATTATGCCACCTAAATTTAAGTAAAACAAAATGTTCAATCTTGAAAATATTCTAATATATTTGAGAAGAAAAAAAACTTTTGATTTCAATTTCTTTATTTTAGATGCTTATTATTTTGATGAAAGGTTTTTATAGTTGTAATTTAGTGAGAATAATTATTCCTTTAATTATATTAGGGAATGCGTATACATATGTTTCATTATTCATCTGTACTTGTATGGCTGAATTATTTAGCTAATAGTAAAAATATTGTGATAATTCTGATTAAGAGTATAAAAAATGTCTGTAATCGTAGCATAAACTCATATATTGTCTCAAAATAACCCCCAACCATCGAATCGGCAAAACATTGGCACAAGATCAATTAAATTTTATACGTCTGCTATCTATGAAACTTCAGGGAAATACATGCATTTAGTCAGAAGAAGTACATTATCATCTAACTATTTTAATAACGTTGACAGTATATACTTGAAAAAATTGCTAACTTGGCTTACAAAAATCATAGCATAATAAGTTAAAAAATTTAAAATATAGATTAAAACTTTATTATTAGAAAAAAAAGGAATAAAGAGTGATTGTTAATTTTGCTAATAATTGTTATGATGATAATGAATCAAATATGTTTGATGACTCTGTAAGTAGGTCAATTTCACCACTTCCGAATGCCATATTTAAGGCGTATATTTTAAGACATATATCTCAGTCAAAAAAAAGTCATTTAAATAATTACGCTAAAATAATTCGTGGCATCATTTACATTTACTCCAACTTTTAGTAACTTTTATTTCAAAAGTTTTAAATCTAAATATTCTTTTTTTTAAATTTAAAACTTGATGTTACGGAAGTCGATGAATCTGCAAGATATTAGTAGTTCATTTTCACCACTTACGAATGCCATATTTAAGACTCATATTTTAAGGCATATATCTCAGTCAAAAAAATATCAAGTCGTTTAAATAATTATATTAAAATAATTCTTGGCGTACATTTACTCCAACTTTTAGTAACTTTTAAATTAAAAATTTTCAGTCTAAAACGTTTTTTAAAAAAAATTGAAAACCTGATGTTATGGAGGTAACACTATATTTGCATTAGAGCCAGCTTTAAATTAAGAAAAATTTTAAATTTCTAAGAGTTACAAGAAAATAGACTGCATTGAAATAAAAACCAAGAGTTATTTTTAAAATAGTTATTAAAACTGCTCCATATTTTTACTGAGTCAATTTTTTTACTATGCATTTAAAGCCTGCAAATATTACATTTGTAAAAGATAAAATTGCTCTATAGTATATTCAACTTATGTATGATATCATTTTTTTTTCTCCTCAGTCTAAGGTTCGTGAACTTCAAAAGAAATGTGAACTGCAAAATGTTCTACATGAGGAGATTGCTCTTGAAATGGCGACTTTACGGCGCTCTCAGGTCAAACATGCTTGGCGATCAAATAGATCTCATTCAGCTGATGTAAGTTTAAGCATTTTTTTCAAAAATATGCTATTGTATTGAAACATTTAAAAAATGAGTAAATAGCTGGAAAAGAATAATAAAAGGGAAAACTGTTTACAAAATGATATATATATATATATNCCTATAACTGACACCAAAAGAAATTGGTACTTAATTAATAGGTATTATTGGTAGAAATTGGTACTTACCCATCTCTAATAGAGACATATAATCGCTATATATATATATATATATTCGCCTGAAACCGGAAATACGTTGTCCATCACTTATCTATGTGAAACTATAGCAAACGCAACGCAACTAGAACGCAAGAGAATTTTAGGCGGTGATAGAAGCTTATTTCAAGAGTAATTTATCTTGGCTATAAATTTCGTAAAATTTATGATTTTAAACTGGAAACTGAATTGGTCATGCAAATCGTAAAACTTGCTGAATAAATCCGTAATCTCAACGGGTTTTTATCATATAATAACTTTTTTCCGTAAAAGTTGCAAAGTAGTAGACTGTTGTCGCTCATATTTACTTATTTTATTTTACTTTTTTACAATACAAGATCACATAATCTGTGTTCACAACTATACTTTAACATGAAATCAACTTTTCTCCGTAAAGAGTTTTAAAGTAAATCTGTAGTCAAAACAGATTTTTACTATATGAAAACAAATTTTTACTGTGATAGTCATTTTATCTCAGCACTGAGGATGGTGCGAGCAGGGAGCAGAATTCATACGACCCTTCATAGCTAAGATTCGAATCTGGGTCACCTCATTGGAAGACGAGTACTCTGTCTTCTAAACAATCACCGCTCTAGTGTTTAATTTTTATTTTATAACAGTCATTGAACAGCCGACCCAAATTTGGGTTTACGACTACTAATGTTCAACTCCGTAAACTTGTAAGTTTGAACCCAATCCAGAAGACAAGAAAACTCCTGGATCAAGTATTGGAGGAAATTTGCCTTCATGAAGGCTTTTTGAGAGAACCAACCCGCATTTGCGTTACATGGAGAGGAAGACCACGAGAACCTCCATCGGTAATCCTGAACGTGAGGGGACTGTAACCCAAGATCCATCCACCACTGAGGATATCTCACGTCAGCACTGTGGTCGGTGCTAGCCGGATGCGGAATTCGTATTGACCAGCCATTGCTGAGATTCGAACCCGGTTAACCTCATTGGAAGGCGAACGCTCCATCCCCTGAGTCATCGCGGCTCTAGTGTTTAATTTGAAGAAAAAGTCTTAAACTATCTTTACTTTAAAAGTCAATATATATTCAAAGGTTCCAAACCTACACACTACATAGAAATTATTTATTTAACATTGATTAAATGATAAGTAAAAGCTTGAAACTTAAAATCAGATCATTTTAAAATAAACAAAAATTTGGAGAGAGAAAAGTTTTTAAAACTCAGTGGAAAAAATTATTTGCAATTTGAATTTTTATATATAATTTTATGTATTTCTATGCTAATTTTTTTTCCATTTTTAGGTACCTAATGAAGCTTCCAAGTTAGATCAAGAAATGGACCTTTATTTAGTTGGCAGTGACACAATCTTTAGTTCAAATCGGCCCCATTCATCATCTTCCTCAACTTCTCATTCCACAGTATTAGAAAACTCAGTTTCTAGGAATCTTCATGTTCCTCTTGTAAATTATAATTCTATTTCAAACACTACAGGTGAGTTAATTGAAATTAAGAAAATTAACTGTTTTTATCTCACTATATCTTGTTTTGATGCTCGATTTTGATTTCATATTTAAACAAAAGTGAACAAAAAATATAATGAAAACAGTAGTAAAACTATTCAATGATTTTTAAAAAAATTGAATTAGAAATATTTCATTGTCTGTGTTCTACTTAGAAAACAGGAAAATTTTTTCTCACTCAATTTCGAAATTAGTTACAATGTACTGCGCTCAAAAAAAACAGCCCACCCTGAATAACTTTTGATCTAATGATCAAATTTTCACGTTCTGGGACTCAATCTTAATGGCTCGATGGGGTAATCTCAAATATGCTAATTAATAAGAGCAGACGATGTTTTACTTACGAAATCAATCAAAAACGTACTTAATATGAATAAACATACCTTTTTTTTCGGCAGATTCAGATTTCTGACACCCAAAAATATAGGGGGTAGCCACAATCTGGAAAATATGATCAAGAGAACGCTCCAAAGTTTGGAGCCCTTAATGTTAATTTTACTTTTTGGATTATTCACTATATCTCGAGAGCTTTTTAAGTGAATTGAAAAATTCTTACACTCATTGAAAAATACTTACTATATTATTTATTTATAGACCCAAGTGCCCGCCATTAACCGAAAAAGAATTTTTATTTATTTTAAATTTTAATAATTTATTTACTTTAATAAATATATTTACTTTAAATTTTTTTCACCGAAGTTTAATTCAATAAATTTGGGCTGTATTCTCTTAACTTAAATTTTTTGTTAATAAGAGAGATTAGCATCTTCCTTTTGCAGTCTTTTCTTGAGGTATAAGGATATATTATCTTCGCATGTCACGCTTCCCGTCATTTGGACTTATATTTTCTTAAATATTTAAATAAACATCAAGTATGCTTAAGTTTTGGACACCAATGTAATTTCAAAACTTCATGAGAATAATTAATTAATGTTCCAGGCAGAACAGAGAAAAACTTACATTTCTACTTCCTTCCATTTTTTTTTTTTTTTTTTAAGTTGCCAGCTTTGACTATAAGTGTATTTTAAAAGAGCTAAGAAAACATGCAACTTCAAATTATGACTGTAAAGATTAATCTTACTTATATATTTTTTTTTAAATTTATATGTAAACATTTAAATTGATAGCTCGCTTATTTATTGTTTTACAATACCTCCTTAATATTTTTCTTCGATTTAAATTAAACAAGTAGATTTTTTCACAAGTAATGACGTAGAATTTCAAAGTTTTGTTTCAAAAACATATAATTATTATAAATAATGTCTAATTAAATAAATTAGGTGCATAAAATTCTCTTGCACCATACATATTTTTTGACACTATCATATTGTGTGAATATGTTCATTAATACGTATAACTTTTTGTTCAAATTTGATCATGATTGTTAAAGTATTAAGAATAACACCAGAAGAGCCTTATTGATTTAATATTCATTAAGACTATTATTCAAAGGTGAGTATTTATCTTGAATTAGGCACTGTTGCATTTTTAACAGTAGAATACTGTATGAATAAAATGTTCATTGATACATATAACTTCTAATACAGAGTTTATTTGATTTTTAATATATTAAAGGTAAGTATCATCAGACAAATTTTAAGTTTTAATATTCATTTTAAATACTTATTCAAATAAGAGTATCTATCTTAAATTAGCCAATTTTACACTGTTAACAGTATCGTATCGTGTAAGTAAAATGTTCATTCACACATATGAACACGAAGTTAACTTTGTTGATCTATCAGACAAACCTTAATATCATGATAGTTGTCATTCATAGTAGCTATCATACAAATGTGGGCATTTATTTAAACACCATTACACAGTTAACAGTATCATATTGTATAAATAAAATGTTTATTTCACTCATGCATCAGAGGAAACATTTGGTAAATCTTTATGTTTAGGTGACTGTTGTGGCGTAACCACAACTACGGTTATTAAGCATTAATTCACTGGTATATAAGACATGCTAACTTGATTCAATCACTAGGTACCTTTTGATAGATAAAGGTTGGCATGGTCGATAACTCCGCCCCAACATTGGTGACCTCCGGACGTGATTTGATCACGCAGTAACGCCCACTTATATCTGGTAACGCCTACTTCGATGGATGATCCACATTGAACAGTTGACTTGCTACTTGTGAATGCGACATAATCCACCTCCTAACCAGGGCCGTTTTATCCATTAGGCACTGTAGGCAACTGCCTAGGGGCCCCGCCACGTTCAGGGGCCCTGTGCTACAGAGAAAAAAATTGACAATGTTTCTTAAACAGTAAAAATTTAATTCGAAATTTCAATGACGATTGTCTTGCTCTGTACATTACATCGACGCAATTTTAGTACATTTCTGAACGCATTCCAAATTAGATATTAATATTATGGTAGTTAGTTCATATATAACGCAGTAATATAATCGCAAGCAATTTTATCGCGGTAGTTTTAACGCCGACTAATCAGATGACTAGACAGCAAGAGCAGCTTTTTTAACACAACACGCTTGAAAAACGCGCAAAATTTTACGTTGTGAATGCATACTTACTGTTCTGGTACCTACCATAAGTATGTATATTCTATGGCCAAGCTACCAAAGAGTATGTAAAAATAAGGTTGGCAGTACTGGTTCTTTCCCCGATCCGCTAAATACATACGTTGTATTGTGTCATAGACAACATTTTTGAAACATTTTTAATGTAATTGTTGAATTTTCACTTCGTGCAATTTGTTTGCGAGTTTTACGGCTGTGAATGAAAAGAGAGTTTTACAGTTTGTGTTTCAAAAGTAAAATGTAGTAAGCAATGTAGTAAGTAAATGTACCTATGTAGTAAAAAACAGCGTAATTATGAATAAAGTGTTGTGTTAGTGAAAAAATATATTAGGAAGTTAGAAGACGGTAGGGGGGGCCGAGACGAGCATTGCCTAGGGGCCGCGACTTACATAAGCCGGCCCTGCTCCTCACGCTGTTGCTGCTCAGTCTCGTCTGGAACATCGACTGCTAAAGGCAACACAGGAGCGACTACGACCGTAAAATTAATACACCTCTCACATTCGGCACTCAAAAACCCAATGACCTTAATCCCAGCTCTCCCGGTCTTTCACAAGTACAGCAACTAGTGGTATTAGTTCATCCAATTCTATCCCTGATTAAATTCTGGTGGGAGAGTATTGTGGCGTAACTACCACTACGGTTATTAAACATCAATTCACTGGCATATAAGACATGCTAACTTAATTCAATCACGAGGTACCGTTTGATAGATAAAGGTTGGCATGGTCGATAACTCCGCCCCCACACTGTCATACAAATGTGGGTATTTATCCGAAATTGTGTGGTATTGTCGATATTACCCGTATTGTGTGAATAAACTTTTCATTTACGCATATGAACACAAACTTTACTTTGTTGGTATATCAAACAAACCTTGATATCATGATAGCTATCAATCATGGTAGCTATCATACAAATGTGAACATTTATTTGAACACCATTGCACAGTTAACTATACCGTATTGTGTGAATTAAATGTTTGTTTCACACATGCATTGGAGGAAACATTCATGCATAGGAGAAAACATTAGATAAATCTTTATTTTTAAATTGTATTGTAGATATCATACAAATGTAGATATTTATCTGAAATCGTCATGTGAATTTACTAAATTATCCATAGTGTGTGAATCTATGTTTACTTTTTTTAATCTATAAGACAATCTTTGATATTTTTATATTCATAGTAGTTATAGTTCAAAAGTAGGTATTTATTTGAACACCATCACACGTATAACTCTTGTCACAAAATTAATTTAGATTGTAGATGTATCAAATATCAGAAAAACCTTGACTTTTTTTTATTCCTTGTAACTATTATCCAAATGCGGTTGCTTGCCTTAGATTAGATACATGCTTTGTTCCGCCAACTCATAGAGTAGTTTCCCCCCATATAAGAATGCCCAACATTTGACATAATTATTTTTTTTGTGTGCAGGTACAAATTTTAAATCCCCCGGAACAACGATATCATCTTCATCGCCAATCTCATCATCCAATATTTTCAACTCAGCTGCTTCTGAAATTGATAGAATCTTAGCTCGGATTGAACAAGATAATAAGGTTTTATCAGAATTAGAGAAGTCAAGAGCAACCGTTGGTGTGTATTAAATAAAACTTTAGTTACAAAAAAATATGTGTAGGTAGTTTCAAAAACATTTTGGCCGTTTCAATTCTTTGTAGAGCAAATTAGTTGTAACTAGCCACTTTTTTAACGATCATTTTAGAGTCACCCTCAAGAACTGTGAGTTTTGCAGCTCCTCGATGCACGATCTTGCTTAAATCTTTTAGCTTTACCGGAATTGAATTCTCAACTGAAGCCAATGATATTGCAGCGAACTCCCGAAAGTTGTAAATCGCATAGAAGCACTATCTGAAATTTAAACTCCGCTACCGAAGCAGGCATGACAAATCCTAAATTCATAACTTAATTTATTCTTAAGCTTGTGATATTCCAGAGAACCACTGAAAATTGTAATTCATTTAGAAGCACTATCTGAAATTTGAAATTTTGATCCAGGTGTTCCCTTGTCTTCTGGATTGGGTTCAAAATTGCAAGGCTACGGAGTTGAACATTAGTAGTCGTAAGCCCAAAAATTGGGTCTGCTATTCAATGGCGGTTAATAAATAATATAAAATATAAAAATATAAAATCATTTAGAAATACTATCTGCAATTTAATCTCCGTTGAAGAAGCGGGCATGAAAAACCTTAAAATCATACAGAAGTTGAAAGAACAAGGAAACTTGGAAGGATGCTTAACCCTCCAAAAATTCGGTGAAAGCAAAAAAAAAAAAAACAAAAAAAAAAATTAATTATTTAATTCTTTTAAGAAATTAAAATTAAAGTAACTAAACAAATCATAACATCTAGTAAGTGATAAATCAAACTACACGGAGAAGTCACTATGTTATAAAGTTTAAGTATAAATTAGACGATAGACCCACTAAGAAAAAGAATATAGTCAAAACTAATAGAATATGGTAAAAATTAATGTGTTTCTGTCTCTATTAGAACAACAAAAGCTCAGTAATTTTTACCGAAGCACTTTGGTAATGATTTTGGTAAAGGTAACAATAAAATATGGTTTTATGATATGTTATAAATTTCGCTAAATGTGGTGAAATTTGATGAAGTTACCATTATACCAGCATGGCTAAAAACCATTTATTCGGTTAATTTTACTTTTTAGTTTTGTATTTGTTACGAAATACGGTAAATAAGAACTATAATTCTGAAAATCAGAATGTCTGGTAAACCGTTACCTTGCAATTGGGAAGATTAGTAAACGAATGGTTTAAAAACCGTGCATTTTGGTTTTTTTAATCAGATTTATTGTTTGTTTTTTTTACCAGAAATGTCATTACCATGCAACTACAGAATTTTTCCCAGAATTTTTTTTCCATGTGGATGTTTAAGTGAATCTCTTTGATAATTCCCAATTGCAATTTATTTAATACTTTGCAAATCTATTTAAATCACTCTTTGTGAATTTAAAACCATTTTGTAGTCAATGCTCGGACAAGTTTGTTTTTACCGTATTTTTGACCTACTATTTTAACTTTCACAATATCTTAAGACAAAAAAACTGATTACAATAAATATATTTTACTAGGAAAAGAACTACAGAAATTTTTTGTTTCAATTTAAAAAAAAACAAAACAAATCCAGTGTTTTTGCGTATGACTGATGTGTTGACAATTAAAAAAATTACTTTTTAATTTGCATCCTTTTAAACAAATTTTAAACAACGTGTATGAGATTTAACTTTTAGATTGTCTCACTTGCAAAGTTTAATAATTTCCTCAACAATAGAAAGGTTTATAAAAAGGTTTTAGCCACAAAATTTCAAAAACTTTGTAACAAGATACTTGCATTAAATTTAAACACTCATCAAATGCAATTTTTTATATTTGCATATTTATTTCAAAAATATTTATATTAATTAGCAGTCTAAAAAATATTAAAAACTTAATACTAACAATGTATTATACTAGATTGTGCAAATTAATTGGTACAAGTCAGTTTTTTTAAAACCTCAGCCTTCTAAAAAAAACTAACTCAGTTCTATCTCTTCCTTAGTCTAAGTCTCAAAATTTTGATGGCATTTTTGTATTTTTGCTTTGTTTTTTCACTTAAATGTGAATTTTTGAATCCCAAATAAATACAATTTTGCATTCATAATTGAAAAAATTTTTCAAAATGCATATTAAGGGTGATCATCACGCAGATCATGTACATCTTCAATTTTTTTTTGTGATACTGTTGCCTAAATACATGGTGTCCTAAAATAGACTAACGGTTTTCAAAAATTTCTAACTCTTAAACAATTCAGATTTGAGAAAGAAATATATTTTAACGAATTTATATGGCTAATCATAAATGTTTCCTTTCAAAATTCCTAATTTCAGTTCTCTGCAAATTCTTCTAACAGTTTTTTCCGTTACATTTTGATGCATGTGTTAGATTGTATATATATAACAAAAGTTTTCATGACTGTGGGTTCGACAACTGATCAAATGTTACCGGGTTCAATTATTTGTGAATCGCTACTCTTTTTGTCCGTTTTTTTGTTTACGGATGTCGGTGGAAATTTTGGAAATTTTATAATGCAACTTTCATTTATAAAAATATTTCAGAAATTTCGAATTTGTAACCTACAAAATTTTTATCCTTGATTTAGACGTTATCTATTTGCAACGCCATCTGTTGCAAAAAACTTATATAAAACCAGAAATTCTGGGAGAAAATATTTATGCTATGTCACATGTTTTTCTCAAAAGTTATTTTTTTTTAAGCTCAACCGTTTTGTTGATACCAATTTTTGAAAATCGTCATTCAAATTTCGAAAATCCTATTGATAATATCAGTTAAATCAAGTTAAAAATACTGATTCCTACAATTATATTTCAGATTCTCCATCTTCTATGCATCTCGAAAGACTGAAGGCACAATATGAAGAGGAAAGAGGAACAGAAAACATGAGCCATAGCCACAGACATATGATGAGTAATATGAGTAAGTATGCATATTTTACGTAAATGTCATTCATATTTATATTTAAATAATATTTTTTACACTTATAGATTTTATATGGATATAATACTGTCATATTTTTTGTAATAATATGTGAAGGACTTTGAACAATATAATGGTAGGCCACTGTTCCAACTTGTCCAAAGAAACTGTTTCTGGTAAAGAAAATAATAAATTTATTAAATAATAAAACATAATTTCAATGAAGGCAATATAATGCTTCTGTACATTAAGGTATTATCTGGTGAAAATTTCGGAATCTTGTAATCTACTTATATAGAAATAATGCTAAGAAGCAATTTGATGTTAAAATATCACATTTAGGAAAAATGTGTCCAACCAATGAATTTTATCAAACCCTTCATTTATATATATTGCTATTTTTCTGTCTCATTCCAACTATATTCTTTTCTAAACCTATGAATTGTAATTATATTTCAAGGAATATTAATTGTTTAATTTGTAAAATTAATAAATTTGTTATGAAATGGGAGCAAAAGCAATAAAAAAATAAGTTTTCTAAAAGCTTATGACTTATTTAATAAGATGTGTTTATTGTTATGCGCAAATTGAACTACTTTTAAAACAGACTGGCTAAATTAGAGCACTACCTATAAATATAGATCAGTCCAACTAAATTTATTCATATATGTGAGCTCTATTTAAAGAATGGATCATAAACGCTTGTCAAGTCGAAGAACAGACAACTGATATCAGCGAAAGACAGCACTAAGTCCAGGGTCACGACGGGATTCCAACCTGCTACTTCCACGCATCAGAGCACTTGAAACCCCATGGTCACGTAGGTTCCTCAAATAGCTAAATGCCAATGAGTCAAAACAAAATCTTTTTTGACATTATTTAGCTTATATAATAAAGTAAAATGAAAATCATTTTTGTTGTTTCTGTTCATAAATTATTTGTGGGAATAAGATTAATATAATTAATCCATAACTTTCTATGTACCTCATAATTGTAAATATTTGGACAGAATCCTCTTTGTCGTCAACTGCGCTCGATCAATTATTAATTGAGACAGAGAGGAGTAAACATATGTACTGGAAGCTCAACAAGGGCAAATGGAGTAAGTATTTAAAGATACTCTTAGCCACTAGCGGCACTCTTGCTCGCCAGTTTATAGCTAGTGGCAGTAGTGCCTTGCTGATTTTGTTTTCAGCTTTTAATTTATATGATCATTTTATTATACTTTGAATTTGTTTGAAGCATATAAAACACATAAATACACATAAGCATGCATTATTCCTGAGTTTTTTAATGGCAACAAATATTAAAATACAGTGCGGTTATGTATTGCACTACATAAATTACATTTGTAGTTTAAAATGTTTTATTATAGTTGTAGCTATTTGCCTGTTAATAATTTTATTATCTTGTATGAAGAATTCTTTTATATACCTATGTTATTTAACTAGAACTGACTTTTATTGAAAATGCACAAATGAATCTAGCTCAATTTGTATAATTTCTTTAGGAAAAGTATTAATTGATGTATAAACATATAATTATTTAAAGTGTGAATATGCATAAAAACAAATGTATATGTGACGTTTTCAAAAGTAATATATATTCTTGTATATTCAAATATTTCCTATTATCAATTTAATACTACTAATAAGGTCAGCAAATAAAGCTCAATCAACCCTAGAGAAATTATGAAAACGTCAGGTTCAAGGCAGAAGTGGATCTAATGTTTTGATGGTTTTTTACTTATGTTGTTGTCTCGCAATTTGAAGTCACCACTAACAAGAACCAACATGCTTATTTTTAATATTCCACGTGATAAAGCGTTAACTGAAAGTCGACATCTTCATGATGAGTATGCTGTTGATAGCAGGTTTCTCAGGGTGATAACAGCAAAGTTCATTAGGAAAAGAATATTTGACAAATTAATGAATACTCACATTACTTATTACCTTTAAATCGGCCTATGAAAACACCCGTATTGAATCACATAAAAAAAAATCTGTGGGGAAATATTAGAACAATGAGTGAAACACCGAAATCGGCATGCCCGCAATTTGGTGGATTGATCCATCAGCGAGTGGTAATGGTTGCTAGTGACAAAACCTTGTTGAATTCGCTTCCTGACCGATTCCAAACTGTTATTAGGTCCAGGTGCGATGTTACATGATTCTAAATTAAGCTTTTCATGATTTCTCTATTAATGACTAATTTTCTACCTGGTGAGCTAAATTCAGACTATTCATTTGAAGAGTAAACTTGTCAAATAAAAACAATTATTATCGTACTATCAAAATTACTTTAAAAGCTATCGTGTTTGTGTCTGTATTTGTTTAGACGGTGTTATAATGTCTTGAAGAAAGACCATAAAATTAAATATACCAAGGACTAACAGCAAATTTTTGTTAGATTTGAAAATTACGTTCAGCATGTTTTTATGGATGATGTAATATTCTCATTCTAGTTGCATAAAATCATGGAGTAGTTCATGCATGGGAAAAAGTTTACTAATTTTTGTAAGAGTTTAAAAAATTGTAGTTTTGCAATTAATTAGAATTTTACTTTTGTAAAGTTTTTTTTTAAGTTTTTGAAAACTAATAAACTTTTTAGATGTTTAAATCTTATTTATTGAGTAGTTTGCCCAAAATTTTGAATTGTAATGGATCACCTTCCCTAAATTAAATTAGCTTGTAATAATTATATCTTTAATAAGCTTGCCTAAGGATCATAATGTAGTTTAATAGGATTTGCATTTTGAACTCTAGGTAGGTTAAATTACATAAGTCATGTTTATTTTATGATATATAATGAAGTAATCAAATACGATACAGATTATTCTAAAATTTTGGCTTTTTAGGCATTTAGCAAAAAAATATTTTTACTCTCTTTTACGACTAAGACTTAACTCAAAAATGCAGGGGAGAAACTTTATCAACGGCAGATAAAGTACCGTATTTTGATTTTTTTTCTGAATAATTACGAAAACAGAGATTTATTAAACTATTTGAGCAATAGTTGAAAGACAAATCAAAATGAAAAATTTAAAAATGTTATGAAAATATAAGTTTTTGTTGTAATTTTTTGCTGCATTTTTTCTGATTCAACTTATTCTCATATCCTTAATCAGTCTTCATATTATACACTTATAGATACTATCTACGATAGATACTGCACATACTATAGTAATTTACTATTATAATTATTTTGCTTCATTGCATTTATTTTTATTTTTCAAATATAATTTCGCTATATATTAATTATAAATATACTTTTTTAAACATTTTTTTTACAGTTTAATTTATATAAAGTCAATATTACTTTATTTTTCAAAGAAAAATTACTGAGTTTTATAGCTTATCATGCTTTTATCACGTAAAATTCATGTTTTTGAAATAAAATTCAATAACTAAAAATTTCGCAACTGTCTCCACTAATTTGTTTCTGAATATTTAAAACTATTTAAAAATATTTTGAAAACGAGAAGTACTTTGAAGATTTTTTTCTTATTTATAGAGTCATCTGTTACAATGAAAGAGCTTGATGTATTAATGCAAAAATTAGAACAAGACAACAAAATTTTAGCAGAACTCGATAGAAAAAGAGCCACCTTTAGTAAGTAATGTAACTCAAAATTTTACAACATAATGTTTTACATTATTTTAAGAAATTCCGTTCTTAATTATTTCATAAAAAATTATTCTGTCAATACTTGCATGAATATAATAAACTTTTATATTTACAATATGGTCTATGGTAAACGTAACAATTTAAGTTTTTTCTTCAAAGAAGATTTATTATATATTTTGTATTTTGAATGAAAAAAATCTCATAGGATACTATACCTCAAAAGTTTCTTTATTCAAAAAAGATTTATTATATATTTTGAATGAGAAACATCTGATAGGACACTATACATTAAAAACTTGAAGCACTATCTTTTATAATTATTATTAAAACACGCATAATGCTTGAATTAATATTTAAACATATTATTTACTCTAAGATATTAAGTGCGATTGAAAGAAAAATGCTAGCTTTATGATTAAAACAAAGGAAGACTGGTTGATGAAAGACGTCTTCAGGCGACTTCAGAATACGACTTCAAGAAACGACTTCATGAAACAATTTCATGATGAAAAATTCATTAGACGAAACATATAAGCGAAATATGTCAAACATATACCAGAACACATTAAAATATATTAAACATATCAGCAAACATAAAGCAAAATACAATAACGAAACAATTAAATGCTCTTATCCCAGCTTTATGTTTAAAAAAAAAAGAAGACTGGTTGATGATAGACGTCTTCGGGTGACTTCAGACGACAATTCAAGAAACGAATTCATGGAACGATTTCACGACGAAAAGTTCATTAGACGAAACACATAAAGCGAAATATGTCAAACATATTCCAGAACATATAAAAATATATCAAACATATCAACAAACATAAAGCAAAGTACAATAACGAAACAATTAAATGCCCTTATCTCAAAATATTTTTCCTTCATCGCTTATGTATTTTATGATAGATTCATCAGATAACTTTAATTATATTTCTACACAATTTAAAATGGAATTGTCTATGGTACTAGTTAGGCTCTTTTTTAAGGCATTTCAACATTGAGTTATTTATACTTTTTTTAACTACTCATTAAAAAGAATTACGATTCAATATTTTAAAGTGACGTCATCGTTGGTAAATGGTATTTCTCGAACTATCCAAAAAGTCAATCAAGAACCACTTAGCCAAACAGGTTCGACACCCACGCGTGACGTCGCTTACAGGTATCCAATTAAATCTGATTTAAATGACATGGTTAGGAATAATCACTTCATTTCTTCAAGTACCCACTTCCCTTTTTAAACATTTAACTAGATTTTTGTTTTGTTTTTTAACCTCTTTTACTGCACTTAATTATGTAAATATTTAAAAACTACAAACATATTTAGAAACTTTAAATATACAAACACATCGACAATTAAATATTAGGAAATATATAGAAAAAATTCCAAGAAGAATACTTCATTATTTTAACTTTGTTAACATTATAACTTTGTGTGTATCTAAATATATGATTTTCAATTAATTAAATAAAAAATATTTCTAATTTAAAAACTTTTGGAAATTAAAATAATTCTAAATAAATAAAGAAAAAAATAACCCAAAATATTTAAAACTTTCATTTAAACTTTATATGATAACTAATACAATAAATTTTCAATCATATAGAATTTTAGTAACATTGTTCTACCTTTAAATTAAAACAGCAAAAGTTACGACAAAAAAGTTTAAGCGAATGTATGTTTCAATTAAATTTGATACGCATTAAGATTTAATCTGGATCCTTAAATATTTTTTTTTTATGTTTTGCAGCTAATAGAAGACCTTTTTCAGCAACACCCCCAGGTAGTAGAAGCAGTACTCCATTAACGGGCACTTCTTCTCTATCTGGTATGCATGTAGGCAGTATCGGTCAGTCGGGCACTACTTACAATTCCTCATTACCTGCATTACCAAGCAGTACTCCCTATGCTACAACACCTGCCGTAACAGCCAAATCAGAAGACATGTACGATGAAATAGATTACATCGATTTACCACATAGAGGCCAGTGTAAAGTCTACATCGCCCGTTATAGTTATGACCCCATCAAGCAGAGTCCGAATGAAAACCCAGAGGCAGAATTGAAACTTACAGCTGGAGATTATGTTCTAATATTTGGCGAGATGGATGAGGTAAGTTAGATTCAATTTTAGTGCATTTTTGTTTTTGTAAATTAATGAGTGATAATATAGGTTTCATCTAGTGGAAAATTGTGCAAAAACAATTAGGGGATACCTTACACATTTAGATTTTTTTTTCTCCGAAAAAAGGGAGTTTTTTTAAAAGGTTTTTCATTCCTATATGGAAGAAAAATTATAACTCGTCGAAATATCCATGTTCATTTAATATAAAGTTAGTTTTCGTTTCTAAAACGCATTCCCGCTGTGTCTCGTTGTGGGTCAGGCGGTTAAAGCACTATAATTTCATGCCCAACGGAATGATGGTCAATATTGCGACCATTCATCTTTACTTACCACACAAACTGTTAGTCATCGATCTAAAGTTTGGTATGCTTTCAGTCGCCATTTGGAAATTGAACCCCAGAACTTCACAGTTAAAGCTCAGTGGCTTAACAATTGAACTATAGTGGTTCGCTTTCAACTCTTGTTTCTTTTTAAATTTCAACTTAAATTAGTTGAAATATAAAATGTGTATGCCTTTCACTATGCAATATGCAACCTAATACTTGAAATTCTTATCATTAAATTGAATATTATCTAGGCTGTTTTGTTCTTACTTTGCAAATTGTAGTTATTATAATTACACTTAACACCATCTGCCATTCAAAGCTGTAATAGGTTTGACTGTTATAGGCTATAATAATAACAGCTTTAATAGGTTTACGGGAAATGAAGCAGGTGAATCTGAACCGGAGTTCTAAAAAAATCCTTAAATCCTTCGATGAAAGGAAGAGTTACAGTTAAAACAGTGTACCTTCAAAATTTTGAGTATTAATTGTAAGTAATCTTCAAAAGCCTGCCAAAAAACACTGAGATTAAGTAAAGTTACAAAAAAGAGCCACATATAAACTTTAAATCTAATTTACTTAAGTTCACTGAAACACCACTTTATCAACTTAGCATTTAAAATTGTATAGAAAAATATTGCATTTTAAATCATAAAAAACATATTTAGAGTTGGTTAGAATGTGTCTGATATTGTTAGGCAGAATCAAACCTAAATTCCAATAATTCTTGTAGCTTCAATATTGAATCTTGAGTAAACCTTTTAATTTCAATCTACGTCCTAAATAAAAGTAAAGCATGAAACATCTTTGGTAAAACTACTTCGCGCATGAGTTAGATAAAGAGGAAAACCAGGAATTCCGTGGTTAACTCGATTGCAAGAGGATTCTGACCCATGATCCATCAAACACTAGCGACAACTTGCATCAGCACTGTGGTTGACATAAGTTTTTTTTATAGGTAATCAATTCTTGTAGCATAATTCTTAATCACTCTAATGTTAAGAAGTGTTAATAGTGTTAATGTGCTGGCTTTGTTGTTATGTATGCCAGCTAATAATATTAATAGTGTTGATGTGTCTGCTGGACAGCACAGCTCGTGCAGTGCTGGTCAGTCATCAAATTGAAGGGCTTGGACAGAAGATCGTTTATCCGTGATAATGGATGGGTATCTGATAGGATTACTCTTTCTCCAATAGGATTTTTGTGGTTGGTATCCATTTTAGTGTCTCTGATGATTTAATATCTAAAAAAGTCACTGGCAGTTGGATGGTTGTAAAACTTAGTAAAATATGATACAAAGACTACTTACTACCTCCATCTGATTCGTTCATCTAAATTCTGGCAGTGTAGTCCACCCATGCGCCATTATTCTCTTAGGATCATCATTAGGGTCATAAGTCCATTTTTGTAGTCCAATGTGATTTTTGTGTCAAAATTGAATCAAAAGTCTTTTAAATTAAATTCTTTTTAAAAAATTGTCTGACGGTGTTCGGTATACTTTAGTACATTTAAAAATTTCCTAAAAAATTCTAATCTTTACAACACATTTCAGGATGGATTTTTTAATGGAGAACTTATGGATGGTAGAAGAGGATTGGTACCATCAAATTTTGTTGAAAAATTAACCGGTGAGTTCAATCTCCTACAGACAAAATGAAATACATTAAATACCACGGGAATGAGATATTTCATTTATTTAATTTTAGGAGAAGATCTTTATGAATTTCAATCCCAAGTACTGTATGGAACAAGAGATTCAGACGATGGAAGTACTTTAATATTTCGAGACGTTGAAGGAGATCTTGCTGGAGACGATCCACAAATGTTCTGTAGACTAGAATCTAAAATTACAACGGGTACATACTTTTATTATTTCTAATATGAACATTTAGTTTTTAATTTTTAACCCTTATTTTTATTATGTATTTTGTATGAAAAAATTAGCGTACAGAAACAGCTATCTCGAACATTTAAAAGTCGGCAAGAGCCTTAAAATCGACTGTAATCTATTCAATTAAAAATTTATGCAGAATGTTCAGAAGATCGTCTATATTACATATTTTTAGAATCCTCGAATGTAGGATATTAATTTGGTTCACTATGCACAAAAGATGAAACCCACATTCAGACATTTCATTATGAAAACAAAAAAATAAAACATTAAACACAAAATAAAAAAAATGAAAGCAATACAGTCCAACTGATCTCGCGCACCAGCCGGAACAATCATTCGCCATTTTTTTATTTTATTTGAAGGATGATTGCGGTATGCCCTTTGGCGGAGTTAACGAACGCTACATAACCTTGAAATATTCGGGCTCTGTTTTTAATTTTAAACTTATATTTTTTGAATAAAATATGACATTCCAAAATATCTTTTTAGTTGCAAACTCTGAAAAATTTGAAAATTTTGAGTAACATTGTTTTATAAAATAAACAATTTTTCAGTTTTTATTTACTTTACGATTTAGAAATAACCTAACTGCTGTACACTATTGGAAAACTTAATTCAAATAAGAACCCTAGCATGAGCCAGTGGCGGATCCAGTGGGGGGGGGTCATAGGGGTCATAACCCCCCCCCCCNCTTAAAAAAATTTTTAAGAAAAAAAAAATAATTTTTTTTTTAATAGTTTACAAAAGAAATAAAATATTTTAAAAATTATTTAAGGGGGCATATACACTTAGGTAGGTCGGAAAAATCAATTTTTTCCCATCTAATTTTGCTCTTCACTGTTTCAAGAATCATAATCCAAAAGATTAAAGCGAAATTCGTCATAGTTTCATTGTAAACATTAATAATGTTGAAGCGCTCTTCAACAGGTTTAACAAAAGCTAAAAAACACATTACATTTATTATTAAAGATTTTGAATAATTGAATTATTTATGTATTGTTCTATTGTTCATTATGAAAAAAATAAATTAGAAGACTAACATTAAAAGCCTCAGTTTTTTTTTTTTTCAAAAAAAATTATTTTAAAAAAAATTTCCTTATAAAAAAAATTAGTTGTGGAGGGGGGGGAATCTGAGTCTATGACCCTCCCCTGGAAAAATTTCTGGATCCGCCCCTGGCATGAGTATGGTATTAAACTAAATATTAAGCCCTGAAATTTCATCCAATTCAGATTCCAAATTACTCAAAATGATGTAATTCAAACTAAAACATAAGAAAGAAGCGTATTTTGATATACTCACCATTTTCCTCATTAACAGAGGATTTCCACCGAATGAATGATTACATTGATTTAGAAGACATTGAGGATTTTGAAGAAGATGAAATAACAACTGATTTAGAAAGAGATGAAGGTCCAGGTAATTCTTCTTACTGGATTATTTTTCTTGATATATTTTGAAACACTTAGCACACTGATTTTCTTTATTTGCTGGAAATTAATATATTTATATTTCAGTACCACCACCAACAAGACTAGTCTTAGAAAGACAATTTAACAAGAGTATCCTAATCGGCTGGTGCCCACCAGATGCCCCGCGAGGAACAGCAGAAGCTTATCATGTTTATGTGGATGGTGTTCCCAAAGCAACAATAAGGGCTATAGAGAAAACACGAACACTAGTGGAAGGAGTTGATTGTAATCAGGTACTATTTCCTCTTATTCAAAGATAATTTATAAAATAAATGCCTCTATGAAAAAAGAAATCAAAAAATCACCAGTGTTTGCTTCAAAGTCAATAATGTGATTGAAATTAATTTAACAAGGAAACCGTCTTTACTGTTCATCTAGAGATCACCAATGAGTTACCAAAGATTTCATGCCAATGATATGAGATTTCTCTTATTGGTTGCTACACAAACTAATTGAAGGAACAATGAAATGTTCGATGCATTCTCAAGAAAGTTTTATGGATTAAAATTAGATGTTTAAATTCGTTTTTAAATCCGCAGAAGGAAAACGTTTAATTTTCTTATTGGATCTCATTTCTAATGATAATTTAATTTTACACCTACTCCTTTCTAGATATAGTATTCGTATATATTCTAGATATGGTAATAGTATTTGTTTAGTAGTAATATTTGTTGTTTCTATTCTAATAGTTAGGAACTGATTTATCAAAGTCGCAATCTTTGATACCCTGAACAAGTGAGGGTCTTAAAGCGACATATTTTAGCGTCCCCATTAATCTAATCAGTGTAGATAGTGCTATTCCGTAGATCAGTGTCATAGTGCTATTCCGTTAAGTCCCGCTCTCGCTTTTCAGTACTTTTAGATTTGATGATGTGGTTTTGGTAGACCTGCCTACTCTTTTTCCTGCTAATGCACCAAGTTTTAAGTACGATATTTCTATATCACGTCTAACTTCCCTTTATACTTCTGTTGCTAACTAAATTGTATATCTCTCCTCATCTCTTTTGGAAATAACGTGGTTTATTCCGCCAAGTCGCAGGTTTTTCAGTTCCTTTCATTTCAATGATACGCTTGCAATGAGTCATCCGACTTTTCCTCTTGCTGATACGCCCAGTTTCAAATACGATATTGCTATTTCACGTCTAACACCCTTTTATACTTCTGTTGCTAACTAAATTGTATATCTCTCCTCATCTCTTTTGGAAATAACGTGGTCTATTCCGTCAAGTCGCAGGTTTTTCAGTTCCTTTCATTTTAATGATACGCTTGCAATGAGTCATCCGACTTTTGCTCTTGCTGATACCCCCAGTTTCTAATACGATATTTCTATTTCACGCCTAACACCACTTTATACTTCTGTTGTTAACTAAATTGTATATCTCTCTTCGTCTCTTTTGGAAATAACGTGGTCTATTCCGTCAAGTCGCAGGTTTTTCATTTCCTTCCATTTTAATGATACGCTTGCAATGAGTCATCCGACTTTTTCTCTTGCTGATACGCCCAAATTCAAATACGATATTGCTATTTCACGTCTAGCACCCCTTTATACTTCTGTTGCCAACTAAATTGTATATCTCTCTTCGTCTCTTTTGGAAATAGCGTTGTCTATTCCGTCAAGTCGCAGGTTTTTCAGTTCCTTTCATTTTAATGATGCGCTTGCAATGAGTCATTCGACTTTTCCTCTTGCTGATACGCCCAGTTTCAAATACGATATTTCTATTTCACGTCTAACACCCCTTTATACTTCTGTTGCTAACTAAATTGTATATCTACCTTCGTCTCTTTCGGAAATAATGTGGTCTATTCCGCCAAATCGCACGTTTTTTAGTATTTTGGGTTTTGATGATAAGCCTTCTTCTTGACTTCTCTTTTTGCTGATATGTCCAGTTTCAAATGCAATATTTATATTTCACGTCTGACTATATTTTATACTTTCGTTCGCTTTGGTAATTCAATTGCACTTAATGTGCTTACGTACCATTTCTTCCTTCTGATTTTGATGTTGTGTTTCTCTAAAAGCCACTCGTTCTTGTTCACATCTCCCATGTTCATGTTGTAATTATTTGTTAGATTTTTCCGTTCAATTTTACTATTTTCAGTTTTAGGCTTTTCCCGGGTGTGAAAACCGTGATAAGAAGTTCACACATTTCTTGGACCAATGAAAGATTTCATTTTCTTCCTACTGCCAGCTGTGGATTACGATACCATATCATTAAGAGATTTTGCATTACTTGTCTTAGCAGAATTAAACTATGCAGTTGGTCCAATATTTTGCTTAATTATGTATTTAATGTCGGATGCGTTAATCGATTTTAAGAAATTAAACTCTACTTTTGAAGAAGAATACTCTTATAACTTTCGAACTATTTGTTTTAGAGATGATTGACTCAGCGTAGCAAAATGCGCAGAAAACATTGCCTCCTTCATCAAAAAAAAATATAAGGCGCATTGATATATATAAGTAAAAGTTTTTATTGTTTATGCTAAAATTTCATAACTTTATAGCTCTATCTAATTTATTTCGTTCTGTTTGCTTTATCGTTAATAAATACATGGAAAATTAATATTCCTTTTGCCTAGATAGCATTGTTTCTTCCTCATTTGTCCCCTCTCCCAATTTTTGGAATGCAGCCCGTGAAGGAACTTAAGAGATTTTTTTGGATAGATTGCCAACATATCAGAGTGATGTGTATCATGAAATTTTCAGCCAATTATACATAAGTGGGCAATCAACCCCTTTTTGTCCGGTATTTCCAAAACGAATATTTTGCGAAAATTTTACTTTCTGTCAATTTGGAACTATAGACAAATAATAATAAATATTTACGTTTTTCTTAGATAAATGATGATGATAATAATGATGACCTTTATAATGATGACCTTTGTCCCTATTTATAGCCATCCGAATTATAGGTCAAATAGTAAACTAATATGAATTGCTAAAAGGATCAGAAATATGGAATATAAGAATAGAATTCTTTGCCATAGAACAAAAAAATTCTAAAAATCTCAAAGTTGTTAAGTTTCTACAAGAAATATAACCATAGATTCTATAACTAAAAGTATCTGAATATAAAGTGCACAAAAGAATTAAACAGATCACCCTAAATAACTTTTGATCTGATGATCGGATCTTCACGTTCTAAGACTCAATCTTGGTGGTTTGAGAGGATGACCTCAAATATGGTAAATAATCACTGCAGACTATATTTTTAGTTAGGTAATCAGACACAAAAAAGTACTTTCTCTGAAGAAACATGCCTTTTTTTCGACGGATTCGGATTTCTGATTCTCAAAATATAGGAATTAGCCACAATCTGGAAAATATATAGTTAGTCCCAATAGTTTAGTCAGGAGAGCAGTCCAAGGTTTGGACCCCTTATGTCAATTTTACTTTCTATATATTTCAAAATATCTCTAAAACTGTTTAAGTGAAATGAAAATTTTTTGCATGCAATTATAAAATTCGTTTATCCAAAGATAATTCCATGCAGAATAATATTCAGCATAATAATATGTTAATATTAAAGCATAATAATAGTATAATAATATTAATAATAGTCAAAAATATTTTGAATTCTAAGCTATGCAATTTTTTACATCATTTTAAGGAGTGCAAATTTCAATAGAAAAATACAAAATTTGAGCGAAATCGGTTGAATAGTTCCTGAGAAATCGAATTTTAAGAATACGATTTTTTTCAAAATTCGATTTCTCAGGTGCTATTCGACCAATTTTGCTCAAAATTTGAATTTTGCCATTTAAAACTGCATTCTTTAAAATTGTGTAAAAAATTGTATAAATTACAATTCAAAATATTTTCGACTATTAAATAAAATAATAAATAATAAATGTTTACTAAAAGTTATATTTTGCATGGATATATCTTTGAATGAATTTTTATGATTGAGTGCAAAAATTATTCAGTTCACTAAAAAAAGTTCTCGAGACATGACGGAATACGTAAAAAATTAACATTAAGGCTTGTCCGAACTTTATCCTGACCAAACTATTGAGACAATATTTCCCATATTTCGACTACCTCCTATATTTTGGAAATCAGAAATCCGTTGAAAAAAAGGTATGTTTATTTAGAGAAAGTATGTTTTTATATCTGTATTTCGCAAATTAAAATATCGTCCATACAAAATAAGTAGTATATTTAAAGTTAATTGAAACCATTAAGAGTAAGTCCAAGATTGTGAAGATTTCGCACTCAATCTTAATGGAACTCTATCATTAGATCAAAAGAACTCAACCATTAAATCAAAGAAACTCAACCCTTATATCAACAAAAAAAAACTCGATCATTAGATCAAAAGTTATTCAGTGTGGTCAGTTTTTTCTTTTGCGCACTGTACAAGAATATGGTTCATTTTTGCTTCATATTAAGGAGGCAGCAATTTTAAACGATGTTACGGTTCAACTCGCTCCAAAATGACTAACAGTGTACAATGCATTTACAGCCTCACAGAATAAGCGTTCGATCTGTCAGTTCCACTGGTCGACATTCCAGAGATGCAGCTTGTACAATAGTAATAGGAAAAGGTATTTTTATAAAATTATGTACAATATTGCTTTTTTCACGTACAATTTGAATGACTCAAATAACATTTTATTTCATAGATATACCATTAGCTCCCGTTTGTGTCAAAGCTCTGAACGTCACATCGACGTCAGCTGTTATTAGCTGGTTGCCCAGCAACAGCAACTTCCAGCACGTCGTTGCCATAAATAGCGTCGAAGTGAAAACTCTGAAACCTAGTGTGTTCCGCCATCCAATCTCAGGTAAATGCTTTAAATCTTTCAATTTTATGTTATTTTTATACCTTCCTAAATTAGAAATAGAAAATGTGAGAATGAAATTAATGTTTCATTTTTAAAATACTGTATTATATTCATCTGTCATATATTTATGAATATTATTTGTTTGACTGAATGATTTTATGACGAACATATGGAGCTTACTTCATTTCATACTACGTATCTTTCTTAGTATTAACTTAAGGTATATTTTTATAATACTATTAAGTGAAAATATTTATAATAGTAAAATTTACTCCTAAATAGTTAAATTAAAATATTTTGTACAAGTTATAAACATAATTTAAAATTTTTGTTTATATATTTTTTATAATCTCAGAATTGAAAATATTGAGTATGAAGTTTTAAGAGTTATGTTTTGAGAAAAAAATGTATTCGTATACATAAATCATGATACAGATACTGGTTTTCTGAAAAAATAAGTGAAAACGGATACAATAGTTTCTTTAAAGTTAAATTCAAAAATTTCCATGTGATCATATGGTAGAAAAATTACAGTTATGTATAGAACAATACAATAAACAAATATTAGAGGGACAGGAAAGTAATGTCGTTTCGACGCATTAAATATTCGTTTGTCTTAAAAACCAATCCATTTTTGAAAGGCATTGAAAGGTTGTTGTTAACGAGGGTGAAGAAATTATTGATTAAAAAATAAAATCTTGTTAACAAATATCAAATGCACCGAAGCGACGTTACTTTCCGGTACCCCTAATACATTACTTTTTGTAGCAGATTTTAAAGTTTCTTTTTTTTCTGTTTAAAACTAAATGTCAATAAACCCATTATCATTAAGGGTTTGAAAGATAATTCTAAACCCTAGAATACTGATATACAGCCACATTTATGCCAATTCGTGATTAAAAATTTCGTTGATGAAGCTAAATCAACCAACAAAATGAAATAGAGCATTCATCAAAAAGGCGCTGCTCTATATTTACCATAACTGCAGTTTATCCCCATCGTGATTAAATGGGGGGGGGAAACTATTTATTTTGGAATTTAAACTCTTAGCTCTTGTTATAACACTCCGTATAAACTGAAATAATTTCTCAAAAACATGTTATGCAACCTTTATTCAATTCGACAAATTTATTGCTTAAAATTTATGAAATACAAAGGAAAAGTAATTAAATTTATTATCATTGATTCAACTAGTAAGAGAATTAGCACAATTTTTACCTAAAGGTAAATATTATATTATTGTTTTTAAAATTTTTTATGCTATCCTGCCAAATAGCGAGAGAAAGAAATAGTAAGAAAATACTAATAACGGATTTTCTGTAGAGACTAGTTTTGCAAATAATGGGTTACCAACTGCTGCAGATTTTCTGTAATTTCTATGAGTTTTAATTTCAATTACAGAAGATATGCAAGAACTGCGTAAAAGTCCAATTTCCAAAAATAGCCAAATTCCTGATATAAGAATGTTAGTGTCGTACTGACTCTATTTATCACTGAAATTTGTATCGCCATTCAGTGAATCAGTCTATTTATCTTATTAGTATCATGTGGGGTTTTTTTTGAAATTATTTGTTAAAGTAAAACAGTGCCACGAAAAAAAAATTTATTTTAATTCTAATGCCATAAAATTTCAAAAATGGTGATCGCAAAATTTGAAATTAGTAAAATCTACCTAGTATTTTACATAAGGTTTAAAGCAATAAAAATCAATTTTAAAACCAACCGAACAATTAAGGTTTTGTTTGAAAATTATTTTGAAATATTTCAAACTAAAAGGGGATTTTTAGACTAGCAGAACAACCAAAACATAGTTTGATTTTTGCTTGAAAAAAAAGTGCAATATTCTCTTAATCGGTTAATCAAATTAGTTTTATTTATCCGACTGCGTAAAACTCGGCAATTTCGACAAAAATTTAATTTCTTTTTTTCTTTTACTGTCTGTACTTGAACTTTTGTTCATTAGCTTTCTAAATCTTTTTATATTTGTGTTCTCTGATCTTTAGAATCGAATTTGTAGTTGTTCTTTCGCTTGCTGACAAACGGAACAAAATAGCAATAGCTTACTTTGAGGAAATCTCTTTACGCTAAAATACATTACAAAAAAAATTAATATACAATTCCCTGAAACTTTGTGCGTATATTTTGTATAATTTTAGCTATGTTTTGAACTAAAAGCTAAGGTCTAAGAGTAAATTTATTATTATCTAAGGTCTAAGTGTGAATTTGCTCTAAGTAACAATATTTAGAATTTTCAGCAATAAATCTATACTAAACAGCATATTTAGTTCCATTTTATCATATATTTGAATTTTGTTGAAGATTTTAGTTCAAAACATAGAAAATTATATTATTGATCTATGAAAAACATTATTTCGATATTTATGCATATATTTGTCGCAGAGCTGTTGGCGTGATATAGTTTTATGCTCAATATTGTCCTCATTTTAAAAATTTTTTAAGTTGACTGTAGATTTATAACCTTCCAAGTACCAAAAATAAAATGAAATCAATTAAAACCAGTCGGATGCCTTAACTTTTTAAATAATAAAAACAATGCATTTTCTAGATAAGGAACCTTGAATTCATTTTATCAAAATTTCAGCACGTCATGCGTGCTCGAAAAAATTAACTTTTTAAGTCATTATATTTTCTTTACCTTACTACTTACTTTTCAAAGTACCAACCATAATTTATTGGGTCATTTTCAGGCTTAGCACCAAACACTACATACCGAGTGTCCGTCAGAGCTCGTCCTGCCCGGTTGTTCTTCAACCACGATAATCCGAAAAAGATTGGACTGTTAACATCAGCCATTGAGTTTAAGACTCTTCCCAAAGGTTGTAAAGGTTAATTTTTTTATCTTCTCTTTGTGATTCTTCTGAGTAATCTTCTTCAAGCACTAACAATCCCTGCTTTTGCTGAAACTGCACATCTATGGTAATAAAAGAGGTATCACTTCGTGTAGCCAATGCTAAACTAATATATTAACTATTCGCACAACTAAAGTAAACTAGTATGGTGATGTTTCTTATGCCGTAGATCTGCAAGCAGCGTTAATGGCTGCCTGTACTACCAACCTACCATGAAGTCATGCTTGCAGATAAGTTTGGCTGTTTTTGTACCCTTTTTTTATCTTATTTTATATATAATTCAGATTAAATGTTGAATTATTTTCCATAAACAGTATGTAATGGCATTGGTAATTAAATTAAGCCATGCTTCAAAAATATCCACTCATCATATAAATTTTAATTTTAATTCCTTTATTCTCGGCTTAATATTATGCTTCAAAAAGAGAGGAAAGATAACGCATTTTGAAATAGAATATAGCATTAATAATTTCTCAATGATTTAAGTAGAACTAAAACGCAGTTTTGATTTAATGAATAAACATGGTACAGAACGGAAAATAAAAATCGAAACACCAGAATAACTTTTGATACAATGTTCAAATTTCCCCACTGTGCAATAAACATGGTCAAAATTATTAGAATATGATAAAATTTATAGTGTTTCAGTTTCTAAAGAAACACCAAAAATCTCGGTAATTTTTACCAAAGTGCGTTCGTATTAATTATTGGTAAGATTAACAATTAAATGCAGTTATATAATATGTAATAAAATTTGGTAAAAGAATTCAAATTTAGTAAAAGAAGTCAAATTTAATAAAAAGAAGTCAAATTTAGTAATTTTATCACGATATAGGTCTTAGAGCATGGCATGAAAACCATTTATTCGGTCAAATTTACTTTTGAGTTTTGTATTTTTTTTACTATTTTTATGGTAATAAAAACTATAATTTTCAAACCAGATTTTCTGGTAAACTGTTATCATATGAACTGAAAAACTACCAAATGAATGATTCAAATACGGTATAGTTTCTTTTTATTTATTAATTAATTATTTATTTTTTTGCCAGAAACTTAACACCATACAGTACGATCATTTGATTTAATCAAAGTTTTTTTTTTCTCTTTTCATGTACTAAGAGGCTATAGTAACATTTTGGAGAGTTGGTATTAAACATGCTAATTAATTAACATTGACGATATTTTAAGTTACAAAAAGAGATTTATCCATCAGAGAGCTACCCACTAACCCCTCTATCCCTAAAAAGGTTAACCTTTAGAACTCCTAATATAGCCTCTTAGTACGCGAAAATTTAATAATTAGTTAAAAAGTTATTTAGAGTAATAAGATTTCAATTTTGCTCAATGTACTTTGTTTAAAAAATTCTCTATTTTGAGTGGATATCTTAAAAGAAAGCTGATAAACCAATAGCTTTGATCAGAATTTCGTCATTTTATTCGTCTTTTAATGCATGCTTTCAATTGTATATTCCTTTAAATCGTAAGAGGCTTTTTTTTCGTGTTGTACAAAATATCTAAGTTTCGATGGCCATACGATGAGCATTCAGTTAAATATTTTTAAGATAAAGCTGCTACACTAAATTGATTAACAAAATAATTTATAAAACATTTTTTTTACATATTTTATCAAAATATGTTAAACATTAACTTAGATTCAATATATTGTGCATTAATTTTTAAATATAAAAACAATACTTAAGAAAAAAATGTGTCGTTGTTTTTTTATTTATTCTTAAAAACTCAGAAAGATAATCCTAAAAAAAGTGGCGTTAGTCCAGTCTTGATATAACAGAGATTCACTGCATAGATACTCATACCGTTACACGTTCTGGATATATAAATACTGTGTTATTCATAGCTTGTTAATATTAATACCTATTGATGTAAAACATGTAACTTAAACGAATTTTTCATTGATAAATGTCAGTGTAACAGCTTCATTTGCACTATGCTGAGTCGATGTTTCACCAAAACAGTGAAATTTTGCTTGCGTTTCTCAGTGTATGCATTGATGTGCTTGATTTAATTATTAATTTCAATTACTAAACAGTTACTATCATTTGCATCAAGTTACAACTCTTTATCTGTTTTTAAATGTTTAATCGATGTTTGCATGATATGTTGCTTACAAATATTGACTTTCCATTTGTCTGTGACACTACCAAATAAGCTTGTGTATATTTTCAAAAACATTATACAGTTTTCTATATCCATGTAATTGTAAATAATATACCATTTAATGATCCAAGAGTTAGCTATTTATAAGCTTTTTGTGCTTTTTTTCGCTAGTGCGTGGTGTGCGTGGTTATGGTGTATGTTTTATAGATTTTTGTCAACAGTTAAATTTTAAAAAAAAAATTTATAAAAACATGCACCTTACGAGTCACAAATCAATATTTGAACATAAAAAAACGTTATTAAAACGTCACAATTCATAAACTAGGTAGACGAGATTAAAAGCATCAAAACCTGTTCTATTAACGGAGGCTAGTAAGTGTAGCTGTAAAACACTCATTGAAAACATCTTGATGTATCATTAAACAATTAAACTGGCTTTGTTTTTTATCATAAATTCTTCAGTCGTGCATTTTTTTGGGGGGGTTGATGTTTTTTTTTTTGCGTTTTTCCCGCTAACAAATTAATTTGTCGCCTCTAATGGGTAATTTTCATTTCATGTTTAGTTAAAATTCTAAAAATATATGTGAGGCAAAAATACTGACACTTTATATGTAAGCAGAGGGTTTAAACAAAACTTTCATTAGCTTTTCGATCTACTAGTAAAGCGTTGAGTGAAAGTTTTAAATTTATTTTAAAAAGTGGCACACCAAGTGAAAGTGCAGGGTAATTAATTAAAGTATATTTGTCCTTAATTTTCTTTACTACTCCCAATTCAATTAATCACACTCCCTCAATTTCTCTACATCCGGCTCGAAATATTCTATCATTTTAAGTTAATTATAATTAATAATCTTTCTTTTGCACTTGATTTGCAGCTTATAAGAATGGTATAGAGTGCTCGCTTTCAAAATTGACTATTATCACTGTACACAATTATTACTCAAAATTTTCAAGATTTCTTCGTTATTGGCGAAACTGTTTCCTAGTTAACGATCCAAGCAAACATTTCCGTAAGTCACTGAAATCATTATCTTCACTTATTGAGGATATGTTGCATTAAATACAACGTTTGCAATATGTTGCATTTAATGCAACACATTAAAAAAAAAAACATTTTTTTTTCCAATGCCTAAGTCATACAAGCATCTGAAAGTTAGATTTGTTGGCCACTCTTTCAGTGGCACCATATTAGGTGGGCCAACGTTGCTCCCACAGTAAGGACAGTACAGAGAATGAAAGAACATCCATGCCTTTCCCGGGATTCGAACACAGAACCTTTCTGGTGCAAGGCCAGTTCCCTGACCCCTACGTAGGCCGGTCTGCTAAATAAACGTATTTGATTAGAAAATATAAAAGGAGTATTGGTTAATGAGTCATAACTATGAAACGAACTCTAGAAGCATGCGTTCCAAGTGAGTGCCCTAACCCCTGTACCATCCCCTTATGCAGGTTAAATGGTTAAAAAATTGGATTAAAAAAATATTAAGGATTTTAAAGAAATATTGAGGTGACACACGAAGGGGAATCAGTTTCGACAAATGTTTCAAGTTTATGCTTCATTAAAAATCGCTTGATTTCGTGACGAAATGGTTACCAAACGTAAGAAAATACACCTTAAGGATTGTTGAATTGACAAAAATTAATGTTTTATTTTTTTGAAGTTCTATATTCAGTTCAGTACAGTAAAGGCAATCAAGTTGCAAAACTTATGAAAAATATTAAAATTACTGACTTTTTAGTAGTGTTGCTCCCCAGGCTTATGAGTATCAATAACAGAAATGTGTCTTTCTTTCTTTTTTTTTAAATTGCAATACAATATTTAGGTCTTCCTGAACCTCCTCTTGATGTGCAAGTGGAACCAGGACCACAAGATGGCACATTGCTAGTAACATGGTTACCTGTCACCATAAATAACAGAGGAACATCTAATGGGGCTCCTGTTACAGGATATGCTGTTTATACAGGAGATCGAAAAGTTCAAGAAATTGAAAGTCCTACAGGTATCTATAATCACACAGGTATTCTAGATTAGTTAATCATAAACTTGATAGTTTTATAAATCAATTCATTACAGCAGTTTGATTCTCTGCACAAAGTTTATTGATTTATGAATTACTTTTTAAAAAAAATGAAGTAAAAAGTATTTGCAAATATACGCCACAATATTAGAGACTTCCTTTTTTTTTCATTTCATTTTTCGTAATTCATTTATAAAAAAATATTCATTTTTATAATTTTTGTATGAAAAATTACAATTTAATTAAACTATTCTTTAATGAAATGGCAAATTCTACATGCAGCAAGAGTCTTCCGTAGTTATGCTCTCACTCTATATTTGAGCCCTTTTGAAAAAATTTAATCAAAAAAGTATAAATTAGAATTATCAAATTAATATTTAAGATAGAGGGGAAAAAGTTATGGAATCTTAACGAATCGCTACAGAGGAAGATGGAACTGAAAGCATCCAAACATATTTGATTGCCGGAAAGAACAGAGACGATGAGATAGGTGATTATTGTAAATGCCTCCCAGTTTCAGTAGACTATTGAAATGCCTTTGATGTTTTTCATCCTGTCTTAGTCTCTTGCCTTACTGGATAGATTTTTATAGTATCTTAACTTCTTCTCGGTTTAAATATCAATTTCAGACCTTCAATGTATAAGCTTTCGTAATTATTTTTGATATTATACTAAAAATATGGAAACCATGATTTTTCGGTACAGCTAATATATTTTTTTACATTTAAACTTTATTTTTATTTTCCAAATAATAACCCAAACTTTTACATTTTTACAGGAGATCATGCTTTACTAGACATTTTAAATCTAGCTCCTTTAAAGAAACGAGCCGTGACCGTGCGGACAAAATCAGGAGATAATTTATCCATTGATTCTATGCCTTGTCTGATTCCTGTGGAATTATTAAAAGGTGTAGCAGCAACACTGGTATGTATTACATATTTCGAATCTCATAATAAGCATAAAAAATTTATAATCACGATATAATTTTATTTAGAACTTCCTTCCTATAGTTTTTTCTGACAATTTCTTTTTCTTTAAATATTTTTCTTGAATGAACTTTTAGTGCCCAAAACTTAATTTAACGTAGGAAAAATAATAAGTTATCAAAGCGTAGTTTTTTAAAAAGTCAGTATTAAATAAATTATAATTAATATTCAGATCAACAAAGGGTTTACCTTCATATAATTAATTCATTCACCATTTTTTTCTCGAAAAATTATTTTTATAACTTCGTTTCCTCTTTAAGATTAGCCCCCATACAGATTGATTTAGCTATGGCCAGTTTATTTTCTTCTAATTTAATTTAATTTAATTTAATTGGTGTGCTGCTAAAAAATAACTCCGCGATTAATTGGAGTACCATTAAAACAATATAATATTTTAATATAATTTATAAATTCAGAATTTTATTTATTGAAAAATACATGAGATCTCAATCCCTAAATTGATACACATGATTAAAATTTCTGCCTCGGAGGGAGTTCAAATGCTTTTATATTTAACTTGGAAGAGGTGTTTCTGAATATAGCATGGTTTGATTATGCTAGTTTTGAACTTGTGCTTCGTAGAGTCGTAAAGTGATGAGAGAAAGTATTGTGATAGTCACGTTGCAGAGATATATGAATACCTAGCATATCAATACAAAAGTTTTCTATCGATACAAAAGTTTTTAGTTGTGCACAAATAGATCTGAAGTGTAATGTCGTCAACACACGTCCTATTAGAGATATTCAAGAATTTCGTGTCGTACACATAATCGTGAACGTACGTTCTGAATTTGATCAAGCGTGATTTGAAGAACCTGTGGCCATGGACATGCACAGTTAGATCAAAACATAAGCACGTATATGTGATAGTTCGTCGAATCGCGAAATGAAATCTCTCCATTTATTTCATGATTTGTGTTGCTACTACTAAAATTGTGTAGATGTAATTCACACAAGTCATAAGCAATGCGACAGGTATAACCAATGGGATAGACAAAAAGGGACTTAAGTTACGTAAAATTTATGGATAGCGCAAGGGGGCAGGTATTACTATAGGAGACATCTCCTTTCACCGTAGTCATTGAGAGCCTGAACAATAATGACAAAAAATGACTATAACGGTCAGTATTAAACAGCGGGATACAAGGTAGAGTGATCCACAGTCTTATGATGGTGTATCTGCATGAAGCCCCCTAAAAGTGTACCATTTATCATTGGTTTCCTAGTTCAGCAATGGATTGAAGACTGTAGCCAAAGATCTCAACACAGAAAGGTGTCACCTACTGCAGTAAATGTAGCAGTCATGACAGGGTTTGATTACGATAAACCAGTACAAAACATTCAACGAGTTTCAGGAAAAGTCAAAGCATGTCAGAGGCTAACGCTTTCAATCTGTCCTTAGGTGGTGTATTGGTGGTGTATATTGGTGGTGTACTACCTAAGCCCTCTTAGACCTCTCAGCCAAGTAGCAGGAGTGCTTAGATTTGACTGGGAATTATATCTAACAGATGAACTATCCGTCTTATTAGTCACGTATTTCATTTTATAATTGGCGTTGAACAGCCGACCAAATTCTGAATCCAATGCTCAACTCAGTAGCCTAGTAATTTTGAACCCAATCCCGAAGACAATGGAATTTTCGGATCAAGTATTGGGAGAAATTTATCTTCATGGGGGACCTGTTGGTGGAACTAACCCATATTTGCGTAACATGGAGAGGAAAACCATGAGAACCTCCCACAATTAGCCTAACGGCAAGGGGACTTAGTCAAGTATTTTATTTTATTGTGGTCGTTGAACAGCCGATCCAAATTTGCATTCGTGGAGGACTTTTTTATGGAATTCAAAAATCTCTCATGGTTAGCCTGGTGGCAAGGGGACTCTAACCCCTGGTCCGTCTACCACTGAGGATATTTCATGTCAGCACTGTGATCGGTGCGAGCTGGATGTTGAATTTGTTTCAACCAGCCATCACTGGGTTTCGAATTCGTTTCACTTCATTGAAAGGCGAACGCTCTATCTCCTGAGCCACCACAGCTCTTAGTCAAGTATTATGCAAACTTGCCACGAAAATAATCTCGTGAAGCCATGATACCATCCACCTGTTTGTTTGAGGCAATGAGACTCATGAACCCATGACCTATCTATTACTACAAATAAATTATATCAACATTGTTGTCAATGCAGTTATCATCAAACTGGCCACTAATCTGTGACTTTAATGTTTCTAAATTCTTCATGTTTAATAAACCAAAATGCTCATCCTTTGGAACTCTATCCAGATATTTAGAAGTCCCACACTGCATGCTTTTCGAAATACCGTATTCCCCCATACTCTGTAAATTTACTTGTTTAATCTATTTGTATTCTTTTTTTCTACAGTTCTTATACTCGATATACAAATGTTCATTCATATTATTTACTTTCTTCAATAAATTAATTTTTAAAAAATCAAAATATCTTTAAAACAACTTTGAAATACGAAATTTATTCAAATCTTATCACTTAACTTAAATTATTTATTTTATATAATGAATTTTTTAAAAAAATTACAAAACTCGATGTTTTGAAATATGCTTTACTAAAAAATAAATTTGATAAATATTTAATGCCATATTGGTTTGTAATATATTGCCGTTCAGAGAGGACAACATATACAGTTCTAAATGATAAATCTACATAAAATTACGACTAGAAATCTTGTATATAATAAGTAAAAAATATGAATGGAATTTCAGTATTTACCCAGAATTTTCAATAGTCCTTAGAGTGAAATCTAGTTCTAAATCTCTGTTGCCATCCCTTTAAAGCTCCACCAGACAGAAACGGATGCGGTCCACGTGGAAGATGGCGAAAAGGAACCACAAAGACCACAAAGGAGGAGGTCTACAGGCAGCTCCGATTCCGAATCGGATACAGAGCTAGCCGAACTTCTGAAGCATGTGGCTCGCAGGACGGCTGAGTTCGATCCTGCCGCCGCTGCTACTGAAGGGTCTAACGGGCAACAGGTGAAATTCAAGACAGACGGTTTTATTGGTTGTGGGCTGCTTGCCGTTGTTTAATATTCTTGCTACTACTTCTTGTGCATTAAGAAATCAAAATTTAACTCTCCTTTTCACAGTAGGAAAAAACTTAACACTTTACCATATTAATTCCATGCATTCAGTGTTATTATATCACAACTTTTCAATTTTTTTTCGATAATAAAATTGAAGAGTTTTACTGACAGTATTTTATAGAAGGAACAAAACTTTTAATCCTAGAATATTGACAATTTTTTTTTATGAAAACAGCAATATGTATGTTTCACGTTACTGTTTTACTTTTAATTATCATTTATGGCATACCGGATAGCAAAAATAACAAAAGATTTTAATGGAAAGAGACAAAAATGTTGGTTTGTCGCGATCTGCTTAGAAAACAAGTGTGATCACCAAAATTCAAAATTCGTTACAAAGTTCATCAAAAGATGGCGCTGTTAGACTGGAAAAATTATAGAACAATGTGTTTCGCAACACCTTTAGACGCAATTCTCCTACATTTAACCTTTTCTAACCTTTATTAGGCGAAAAATCGTGTTAAAAGAGATGCACAAGAAGTGTTGGCATTTACATCTTGCTGCAGAATGGCTAACCTACCCTAACTCTGCTTCCACTAATCCACCCATTTCCATATTTAAAACCTTTTAGAATGATTTTTCTAAAACACTATATTAAGAGCATTTTGTTGTTTTTGCATTGCAACTTTCATGTGTTATGATAAGCATTTACTACAAGATTAAATGCATTTAAAAACAATTGTCTAAAGTATTCGTTTATTTCATAAATTTTTATTAAATCTAGTTGTTTAATTTAAGATCTTCAATTGGTGTTTCTATTTAATATAATCGATGTGGTGTTTATCATTCAATTAACAAAATTAAGCTCGCTTTTTATTGGTGTTTTTTTCTTTCTCTCTAAGAAGATATCTATTTGTTTCATATCCATACCCTCATCTGCACTAATGTTATCACTTCCTTCTTTCTGGTATATGGGCTCCACTGCTTATGGATGTTGTAACTCTGTCAAGCTTGCAGCTTAAATTTGCCAAGTATCTGATTTTTTTTGTGCATTTTTTAGGGAGCTAGAGTAGAAGACTTGGTAGAAGAAGGAATTAGATCTGAATTATCAGATATTGCTGAAGAACCTGAAGAGGATTTAATGCATTCAGAAGTGAGATGCTTTGTATAAGATTAAATCTTGTAATGCGAGTAAATATTATTATCTGCCATGAAATAAGCAAGCAAAAAAAATAGAGTTAAATTATTTAAACTGTTCTAAACAATCACTACTTTAAAGTTACTTATTTATAAAGCTACTTATTGACTTTAAAGTTCAACAATGGTACAGTGTTTAAGGTTCTGAGCTGTTGCTGTGAAACATGCTGAACATTGGAATTCCATGATGACTTATAACTCACTCAACTTAAGATCAGTGGAAACTTTTCTGTTTAGTAGATATGGCTTTTGTGCAATGCTAGCCACATTTCTCCTATCATGCCGTTACATGATCAGAAAGTTCTCTTGATCTATCCCCCTGACCAACGACTAATTGTTGAGGGAATACTTTTATTATAATCATTTTCATTATTATATCAGTATACTTAGTACTTTAAAACAAATATCTTCCATTCTCAATAAAAATCTTTCATAAAATTTTAAATTGCTTTTATCATTTACATTATCATTTTTATTATTATCATTGTTATATTCATTTTACTTTAAAATGAAAATGTTCCCTTTTATATTCGAAATTTTAAATTGCTTTTACTTCGTTATGTCTCTAAATGCAACACCGTGTAAAAAATTTGTTTTTTTTTTTAGATATTTTAAGTCTTTTAAGAAATTTCACTATTTTAGATGTTTAAAAAAACTTCTTAACTTCTAAAAAGTTTTAAAATATACTGTAAAGATAGTTTATCAGTATTTGTGTTTTAATTTCTCAATTTCTTTCAACACTGTATCTAATCTTCAATTTAATTTGTATATATTTTTCAAAATAGTAGTAAATAGTTATAAGCATCTAACAAAAAAATCTCTTGTGTGATTTTGCAAAGACTGAAACTTTGAAATGCAGTCGTAATAACTGGTATACTAGCGCGACTTTTTAGGCTTTTGCTTTCTTTGCAAAGCATAAGAAAGAACTTTATTGAAATATTGTTTTGGTAGATAAAATAAATGAACAGTTACGACAGACGAACATATTTAATTTTCAATTTCTCTTTATTAATTTCAGCGTAAAGATAAAAAAGGACAGCAGCATTCCAGAGAGGGAAAATCAAGGGAAAGCAAATCTCCCAGAGATTATGACCGTAGATCCGACAGAAGAGATGACAGGTACGATCGTCGTGTTGATGATCGTTACGACGACCGACATGGTAGAGTAGACGACCGACGAGACAGAGATACAAGAATAGGAGACAGAAGAGACCGAGATTATAAGGATGATAGATACGACGACCGTCTAGATGAGAGGTCCAGAAGAGATGGTAGAACAGACGACAGACGAGACCGTTACAATGTCCGAGACGGTAGAGATTCCGATCTTCCACGCACAAAACACTCTCAATCTCATCCCGATTCTCGGTCTCATGATCGACATCATGGGCGGTCATCACCGACTAATGTTCATAGAGACTCTAGAGACAGGCATTACGGTGGCCGAGGTGGTGTGGAGCATCGCCATAACTTAGATGTGGAAAGAAGAAACTCTGCAGGGCAAGTTGTAATTGAGCCTGAAGAGAATCTTAGTGATAAGGAAATATACCCTCAATCCCAACATGTTATTCCAGCAATAGGTAAGAAACATGCTATTCCTATCTAAACATATTATTCTAATAATAGGTAAGGAACATTTTATTCCTTTTCCTGACATATTATTCCAGCAATAGGTAAGGAACGTATGCACAATATTACATCTTAGAAAGGAGATAAGTGCGGGGTGCTGGATCATCATATACTGAGTACTCGATGCATAACTCGTAGTTTCAATTCGCTTTTCTTCTCAATACGCAGTATACTCTCCCACATTCGAAAATTCCGGTTTGTTTTTTCTTGTGATAATAAACTAAAGCAGAAATTTTTTTTAAAAATTGCATTGTAATAACACTTATGTCTGAATTCTGAAAAGCATGACTATTTATTTATTTGACCTTTTATATATCAGTTTAAATTATTTCTATTAGGAGGACGGGAAAGTAATGTCGTTTCGGTACATTTGATATTTGTTATCAAGATTTTATTTTTAATCAATAATGTATTCACCCCCGTTAGCAACAACCTTTCAATGCTGGATCGAAAATTAATCGAATTGGATCGGAGAAATGATTTGGTGTTTTTAAGACTAACGAATATTTAATGCACCGAAATGACATTACTTTTCGGTCCACCTAATATGTAGTGGTGGACAAAATTCCTTTAATCGTAATTTATCAGAACATTTAGACATTACCGTTGTACTATAGAGATAAATAAATTTTTTTTTTTCAAATTGTGGAATTTTCGTAGTGGTTGGAGGATATGACACTGTATTCTATAAACACTCAAAAATCGAAAAATTTTCTTCGTTTTTTGATGAAACTGTATTCTGGGCAATCCCCGAATAAACATTTTTAAAAAAGAGCCTTAAAAAATAAACTAAGAGCAGGCATTATTGAATATTTTATTTATATAATAGATAAGGTATCTTATAGTAAATGAATAATCACAAGAAACTAAAGTGGAACAATATATTTAATATTAAAACTTCATTTGCTTCAAAAGCTTAAGAAGGTGGTAAAAGTGAAAAAGCCTCGACAGCTCAAAAATATACGCCTATTCTCAAGATTAGCTGAACGTGGACTTGAGAATGGGCGCCTATTTTTGAGCGCTCAAAACACGTGTCGACTTTTTTCACTAAGTTTTTGAAGCAAATGAAGTTTTTATATTATCAAACCATTTAATAATTTTTATTGATGTGCATTTCAGAAATTACTCGAGACAGTGAGCTAGCCAATCATGACGACTACATGCGCGGTGGTCGCCGTGGCCAGTACTCTGATGCTCATAAAAGCCCATCGTCACAATACTATCCAGGAGATAGGAATCGCCCTCCTGCCGCATCACCAGCCCCCGTAAACCGATACTCTAGAGGCCAAGAGAATAGTTACTACGACGATAGAGGTCATAGTCGGTCTGCGAGGGATGACTATCACGGAAGGGATGACTATCGTGGCAGAAGTAGTCGCAGGAGCGAGAAATCTCGTATGTTCATGGCTGTCTACGACTACGATCCTCATACCATGTCAACAAATCCAGCCACTGCCAATGAAGAGTTGTCTTTCCACGAAGGACAGCTTATTAAGGTAAACAAAATTATTTCATCATGAATTTAATTAATGCAAAGTAAAGTTGTCTAAGCTGATGTCACTACACTGACTTGCCTACTGTAAATTCCTAATTGGACAATAAATTACCAGTAGCAACCAATTGGAATACGTTTCATTTCGAAGTAAAATAGAGTAAATAACTAGTTACCATTAAAATCTACAATTCTCGATTATATATTCGTTACGCGATTATATATAAATTACGATTAATTGAATAATCAAATGATACATTTCCAGCTAGCTTGAATGCGAAATCTCCTAACTGCATTATATCACCATTAACCTCATTTCACCATCTTCAATACAAAATTTTATTTTCCGTTTTTTTNTTTTTTTTACGACTAATTGTTTCAATTTTATAAAATACGAAATTCGTGTTGCATAAGGCATTTACCATAGTACGTACGCGTTGTATAGGTATTTCTGTATCTAATATGATTAAAGAATTGCAATAAGCAGCTTTAAACTTGCCCAGATTAGGCTTGGGGGGAAAAAGAAAATAGTCGTGCCGATTAAAACAAATTTCTCTAAACAAAAAACATTTTAAACAAAACAAAAAAATATTAACTGATGTTGATCTGATCTTCTTTTTCTTCATATTATTGTTATTAAAATAATTATTAAATTCTGTACAGTAATAAAATTAGTTGTATAATATTATTTTTAACAACTGTACATAACACTTTTTTTAGGTATTTGGGGAGAAAGATAGAAATGGTTATTTTTATGCTGAAATAAATGGTCGAGTGGGTTATGTTCCTTATAAGTTTGTCACAGAAGTTCCGTTAGATGAAGAGGAAGCCAATCACCACTTCATGAATGAAACTCTTTCTTCTCGCCATCATACAGGTACGCTTAGAACAAACAGCAATACAAGGTGCTTCATAATTACCACCCTTAATGTGCACTTGACTCTTAATCATTGTCATAATGAAATTAAAAAAAGTGTAAAATTAAAGGTCTCAAATTGATATTTAAGAGACGAAAACAGAAAAACTATCGAAATATGTCAAATCATTAGCAGGGTGGAGGAAAAGCATCAAAACCAGTTGCCTAATGAAATGGAAAGGCGTCTTTAACGATATACTTCTTCGTATTCCAGCAACCAAATTGATTTTTATACTTTTAATCTCTGCCTCCGCATATGATACATCAAATTTTAATATTTTTCCTCTTTTTGCTTTGGTTAAATATTAATTTGCCACGTAATGTTTTTTTTCGCTTAAAATGCATATTAAGAGTGGTAATTTAGGAACACCCTGAATACATCCTAGATATTTATTTTTTATGGGAATTTTGCAGGGGATCCTAGTGATCCATGGTCATCTCTTCCGGTCAAGAAAATGGTCGCTCTCTATGATTATGATCCTCAGGAACTTTCGCCAAATGTTGATGCTGAAGTAAGTAAAACATGCTTTTTAGTCAAAGCAGATCCTTGAATAATCTGTAATAGCTTTTGTACCTGATTAAAAAATATTTGCTCTCTTATCCTATATTATTAGAAATTCTATTTAACTGGGGAAAATATAATTGAACAAAGGTTGGAATTTACTACATGCAGCACATTGAGATTTACTATTTAATTTATATAGTTAATCAAAAAAAATTTCAATTTTGATAGTGATGACTAAATAAATTTTAAACAAATAATATTTAAAGCAAATCATTTGAGAAATAGGCAAAAATCATACTTAAAAATTTAGTTTATTTTCCACTCCATTTTGTAACTTATGAAAATAAAGATAAACACATCGATAGACTAATATAGTATAACTTCCCTCTAAAAATCATAATGTCAAAACTCCTATAATATTTAATAATTTTAAACAAAATATATCCCTAAATAAATTTTAAACACTTTTATTCATAGCAAATTATTGGAGAAGTAGGTAAAAATCACACTCAGAAATTTAGTTTATTTTCCAATCTCGTTTTGTTACGGATGAAAACAAGATAGACACATCAATAGACTAATATAGTAAAAATTCACACCAAAAATTATAATCAATGTCGAAATTCCCAAATTTAATAAATTTTAAACAAACTGTATTTCTAAATATATTTTAAACAACTATATTCATAGTAAATTAATTGAGAAGTAGGTAAAAATCACACTCAGAAATTTAGTTTAATTTCGATTCCCATTTCGTTTCGCAAAAAAACAAGATCGATACATCGGTAGACTAATATAGTAAAAAATTCACACTAAAAATCACAATCAACGTCATAATACCCATTATATTTAATTTAATAATACTATAGTCACGTTCAGATTTCCATGTAACAGTTAATCTTCGAATTTCCATATGAAGATATTCTGGTCCAAATAAATTTTATTGTGAAGATAGTCAATGTCTTATTTTAAACAAATTCCCAATGATCTTCTTTTTCTTCAGAAAGTATTCAGAATTAAGAATTAATCCATTGACCTTGAGTTCAAATAAATCTGATCCACGGTTTCAAGAAAATATTTCAAAAACTAAAATCTCAAGTTAAGGATATACTTAGCATTCTTTACGTTTAGTCATTAACACCAATCTATCCCATGTTGCCAAGTAAAAAAGCATTTAGCATTACAAAAATGAATACATGTTGGAATTATTCCCAAAATTACCATTTAGAACATTGATAATAAAAACCTATTATTCTAATTTCATTAAAATTTCAACATGATTAGTTCTATAAAAATAGTCTCAAAACTCTAAAAATAAAAACTATTACATTTTTGCATCCCTGTTTCGTAATCTTTTTAATAAGGAGAGAAAGAAAGAGAAAGCACCAATATACAATATTTGAGCTTGTTCTTTTTATACTTTTTAAAACTAATTCCTACTTTTTACATTTTCATGCGATGCCTTCCTTCATAATGGATTATATAAAACCGAACTTTCACATTTACAGCAGGTAAGCTTTCATAAATATTAAATAAAAATTATTTTCTTCAAAAATCGAAAACTATTTGTTCTTATTTTGCATACAATTTTTATGTTTCACTAAAATTTTTATCATTACTGACCTATAAAATTTTTTAAAAAATTAAAACAAGAAGTATTTAAAGAAATCGTTTTTAAATAATTATTAATTCATCCTTCATGTAGTTTATAACACTACATTATGGCTCATATTTGATAGTGCTTAATTTACTCAATATTATTTATTTAATTTATAAACTAATATGCATTTAATATGAAGGAAAAAAATTAAAAATCGTTTATAATCAGGGGTCTGTTTAGAAGAAATTTGGGTCCGTTAACGGACCCTTCACAAAATATCTTTTCATAAAAACGGACCCTTCACAAATTTGTTTATCTTCATTATTGTTTTGTTAATCGAATAAACCCTTCCCAGGGGGTTGAGAAAGACAGATGTAAACGAACTAAGTTTTGTCTTCGGCAGACGCTTCTTCCTTTATTCGTCCGAAATTAATATTCTGCGTTCAGCAGTATAGGCTAAATACCAAATATTTGTATGTTGCATCTCTAATTTAGTAGCGGCAATTGTTGTTAATCTTAGAAATTTTAATTTTTTTTATTATAATTTTGCAGTGTTGAGTATAATCTTGTATCTCTTTACAATTTAAAAACTCCCTAAAAAAGTTTTCTGCAATAACAGGACCCTATTTGCACAAATTCACCAAAGCAGGACCCTGGTTGAAAGAATGTGACTTAACGTTTATTTTATATTCACAAATTAGGAATAATTTTTTCACAATTTTACAAAAGCGGACCTTTTGCAAAATGTCTGGACAGATCCCTGATAATAGTTCAGTAAAAAACGAAGCATACTGAATAATTTCTGATTTACTGATCAGATATATTCATTCTAAATTTCAATATCCATTGCTTTAAGTTGCACCCAATTTTATGCTCATCAGTTACAATAAGTTTTATGTATTAAGTATAGTAATATGTGAGAGATTTTTTTTATGAAATATTAATTAAAAGATAAAGTTTTTTTCATGAAATATTAATTTTTAGCCCCTAATAATTTTAGTTCTTATTTGAGAAGCATTCATAAAATATGAGCTGATTATTAAGTGCATATGCGCTAGAAATTCTTCGATTCAAAAATATTTACACTAGATTTTGAAATGCACTGTGCCAAAGATAATTTCCCATAAAAATAAAATTTCTTTAACTTTTTTTTTTTTTGTTTAATTTTAATAGCCATGATTTACCAACTATAAGTATTAAAATATTTTGCATCATGTTTTAACTTATTTATATATAGTCATTTTAGCTTGTAAACAATTTTTTCGATTTTATGGAGTTATCGTCTTCAATTCGAATTTTGCATTGTATAGGAAGTGCGCAAATCAATACGTTATTAATGTTTAAAAAAATATTCAATTCTGTAGATGGAGTTGCCTTTTAGAACAGGAGATATGATTTATGTTTATGGAGATGCTGATGAAGATGGTTTTTATATGGGTGAACTGAACGGTGAGAGAGGTCTTGTTCCGTCGAACTTTCTTACAGAAGCTCCTCCAGATTTTAGAGACCCGCGATTAGCTCAATCTAGCCGTAGCGGAAGTGGTGCATACACAAAAGGTGAGTTTATTCTTTGGAACAATTTTCTATGAGCAGTAAAATTATTAATTTTTCTGCTACCCCGATAATGTGCTGTAGTAGTAGGGGAGAGTTGGATAAAACGGGATAGTCGGACAAAACGGGATATGTCGCCTAGGGACCAGACTATTGCAGCTATCTAGTGGACAACGACAGAAACATGTTATTCGACCGTGATTATATCATTCTCGGTGCGTCCCGCCTCGAGATCACTATTTGATAGAGTTGTAGGTCTCAGAATCTTTTTACTCTATTTTTTTGCCATTTTCTACATTTACGTGCGTTGTTTTTTACATTGTACTGCCTACATATATGGGAATAAAATTCCGGTGAGTATTTAATTTAATTAACCATTTATTTACCAATATTTTTATGTGCAGTCTATCTAATTTTCTTTTCACATTTACGCCGCAACCATGTTTGTTTCAAAAAGTGACGGAGTCGGACAAAACGGGACACTTGTGAGATGGATAAAACGGGATAGAGTTTTTCATGTCCCGTTTTATCCACCTATTTATTTATTTGATTATTACATTTTAAAATAGCCATATATTAATGTAGGCCTAGGCTTTTTAAACAACTTATTTATATTAACTATATATTTTTTTGAATAATTTAGTCTCTTTATATAGTAATGCAAAATTTGTTTATTAACGTTCATTATTAAGCATTTTATTTTCGACTCCAGGATTTCACATCTTTCTTTAGAACTAATTGTAATGTATTTCTCTGATGAAGACTTTTTTATACATAAACAATTATTATACATAAACAATTATTTATATATTTGCATTATTTATTATTTTATCTTTATATATATGCAAAAAATTAAACATTGTAAACCCTATCCCGTTTTATCCAACCCAGGTATGCTAAAACGGGATATGTAAGAGTTTGGAAAGGAATTTTTTTTTCTATTTCGCTGTCATTAAAATTAGTTGAAAATAAGTTTTTTGTGTGCTTCAATAAATGGTGTAGCTACAAAAAAAATAATGCATTGTTTTCCTAAACAGATATTTCGTAGTAAATAAAAACAATAATGGTATCCCGTTTTATCCAACTCTCCCCTACATCGCAATAGAACCCCGCACTGTCTGAGAAATATCTTTGAGGATGATCGCCGAAGACTTGCCATAGCAATTTTGACTCTCTGCAAAAGGGATAGCTCCCATACTTTGTTAGCGCTATGACTTAGACGCGAAATCGAGCAACTTATGGTAGAACAGTTTCAAAAGTTCGATATCTCACACCCACAGTCCTTTCACCGGTTGATCAAAGTGACCCATTCACTGACAGCTGCCAGTGATGCTTGACTTCGGTGTTCTACTGGGAACCGTGTCTTTACAATCAGCTCTCTGTGAGACGTGGTGGTTTAGGGGATAAAGCGTTCGCCTCCCAATTATGTGAACCGGGTTCGAATCCCAGCCATGACTGGTTGATACGAATTCGAATTCCGCACCGTCTCGCACCGACCACAGTGCTGAAGTAAAATATCCCCAGTAGTAGACGAATCATGGACCATGAGTCCTCTAGCCACCAGGCTAACCATGGGAGATTGTCGTGGTTTTTCTCTCCATGAAACGCAAATTCGTGTTAGTTCCACCAAAAAGTCCTCTACGAAGGCAAATTTCCTCCTATACTTGATCCAGGAATTCCCTTGTCTTCGGGATTAGATTCAAAATTTATTTTAAAGACAATAGAAAGCATGAAACAGTTTTAAAGCACTAAATCAGTGGTCCCCAACCTTCGGTCCGCTGGTCGATACCGGTCCGTGAATCAAATGGTACCGGACCACCCTAGGAACATTAAATTATTTCCAATCTATCTTTCTGTGGCGTATTTGTCTCTGAGCAACTTTCTATGGACGAGAGGTTAACTGGGAGCTGAGATAAAACTAAATATCTGAGATAAACTTAAAACTAAGATCCGTCACCTAAAGCCATGCCCATACAGGGCATTTAACTGTATTTTATTTTGAAGGTATGCTTAAATACAATTAAATTTAAGTTATTTAATCAAAACCATCTAAAATCTGAACAATCAACGTCCCCTCCCCTTCCATGGTAAAAGTTTCAAACGTTGACCTGTCAGCGGCGATTAAAAGGTTGGGAAGCACTGCAGTAAATGACTAATTTTGTTTATGAACACAACTTATCGATTTTTATATCATGTTCTTGAATCAAATCAAATAATTTTCTCTAACAAAGACATAACCTTTTACATAACAAATAAGAAAATCTTATTTGAAATTCAGAAGAGCGTATTTTAACCTCCCTTTCACGATAATCCAATTTAAAACTAGAAGCGGCTACATCTGCAGCTGTACGTACATCTACAGCTTATATCTGATGACAACCAATGTCATTCATTTCTAACTTATTTTAAAACCAGTACTAACTTATTTTAAAACTAGTACTAACTTATTTTAAAACTATTTCTACTGCCAAAAGGCACTACAAATCAGATAAGATAGGAAAAACAATCAAATTCAAAGTTTAAGCAGACTTTGCTGCTCCTATCCAGCCCATGTTTGTCCAGAGATGTTAAAATTTGTTTCTGTGATAAAATTCTAAACTTTTTAGTGTTTTTTCTGTCTTGTTTTATTTGTGGTGCCTTCTGCTAGACCGTAGAAATAAGCTGTGGATGTGAACTAGTTTGGAAATAAGACAGAAATTACTTGTATGAGCAGGAAGGTAGTGCTAACTCCATTTTTTAACAAGTAGAGTTAGACCATTATTCAAACAAGGCCTACAATTGTTCACTCATGTTTAAAACACGCTAATACATATTGACGAGCCGCGTTGGCTCAGGCTATAGAGCGCTCGCCTCACAATGAGGTGATCTAGGTTTAAATCCTAGAGGTGACTGGTTGATACGAATTCTGTTCCCGGCTCGGACAGTGCTGACGCAAGAATATCCTTATCGCTTGACCGATCCTGGGTTAGAATTCCCTTGTCGTTTGGCTAACTGTTTGGAGGTTTTTGTGACTTTTCTTGCTATGTAACGCAAATGCGGATTAGTTCCATTAAAAAAGTTCTCAGCGAAGGCTAGTTTGTTCCAATGCTTAATCCAAAAGTTTCCTTGTCTTCCAGATTGGGTTCAAAATTACAAAGCTACGGAGTTGTAAACTCAGAATTGGGTCTGATGTTCAACGCCTGTTTTAAAATAAAATGCACACTGACAAATTTTGGAAATCAGGAATTGTAAAATAATAATAATTCATTCAATTTTCATAAAATTATTAACACTTTCTGGTTTATTTCAGATTACCGAGATAGTTCGCAACCCATGCGTGGCAGTGGCAATGCACATTATTCATCAAGAACTTCCAAAGATCACATGCCATCAGATAAGGGAAGATATTCAGAGAGGCCTAGTTCAGATCGAACTGGCTACGATCGATCTAGGGAACACACAAGTGAAAGAGACAGCAGGGGACAGTACAATAGCTCAGGACGTTCAAACCAACACTGGTAGCGAATATTTGCTTTAAAAAAATTAACCAACAGATAGCCAGAGAATCAACTGTATGTATTACAAAACTTGTTCTTCCGCCTAAAAAATAATGTGCTACACTATCAGTGTTTCTCTCAGCTATTTTCTGTCATAAAAATATACATTGAGACTCGCTATATCTTTGTGATTGAGTGTTAAAAAAATCATATCGTAATACAACAAAGAAAAAAAAAGATTGATGTACTTGAACTTAAAACTGACGCTTGTGTTGGCTTCTTGCTTGAGAAGTGTTGAAATGCTGTTATTCACTGCCATTTAAGATTTTGTTCATCAATCTTTTTTTAAATGATGCTGCTTCCTGAAAATGTTTAATGAATGTTAATGTTTTTAATTGTTTATGAAAGATATACCTGCCTCTAGTCAGTCGCTTGGGTTGCTTAAGGCTGAAAAAGTCTCTTTTTTTATCAATTAAATAAATTTAATCAAATCTATATAATAAAATGTATTGGATGGTAAAGAATGGCATCGCATATGCCATTAACCGAAAAAAATTGGCCGGCTTTACTTTCTATTTCTTTTTTTAATTACTTTATTTTCTTACGTGACTTTTGCCAATAACGAATGAAACAAATGATTTAGAAACATGACGGGGCGCTAAAAATATAGATTTAGCACTTTCACGTAGCTCTCTCCAGGTTCGTGTTCGTATGGTCTGCGCAGTTACAACAGTGCAATCTTGGTTCTCTGCAGATCTCGTGCAGAGCAACAATATTTCACTTTTTGACTTTATTGTTAACGAAGACTCCGAAAATATATATTCCGAGCAGTTATTACAGAAAAATCTGTTGTAATCATGTTATAATTTTATAACATATTAATGGCATTAAGTCTTTTTTTTTCTTTAATTAATTGTTCAATACCAACTAAAAGAGTTTTCGAAATATACCCTTATTTTAACTAATTTAGTTTCATTTATTAATTCGAATATCTCTGATTTAATAGTTGAACTTTAAAGAACATTATTGAAATCTACAAATGCATCAATTAAAGCTAAAAACACTTTTTTTTAATTATGAAAACCCAAGCCTGTTTAGTGCCTGCAGGATGATACTAGTATAGGTGGTGTAGACGATTTTAGGATGCCACCATCTTCTCATTGTTGAAACTTTGTGCCTTTTCGAATGTAAGATGAATATCTAGTTCAGTTTTAGAGAGATAGATCATTGCTCATTCTAAGCATGGATGGAAAGAATGATTGATGAAACGGAAAATAAACATTGATGATTACAGGGGCAAGGTATACTTTTGTTTATTTTCATGTCGTAATTTTAAAACGCTCCTCTCTTGTTTATTTAATTAAAAAAAACTGTAATAAAATTAAATATTTAAAGGAATTAAGATTTCAAAATGGCCAAATCCACTTTTCACTATTTTGAGAGAAATACTCAAAAATTATGTGTGCTTTGATGTTCATTAACTTTAAATTCGTTATACATTAGGAAAAAAAGTAAATAATAATTATTTTTAAATTAAAGTTAAATCTTAGCACTTTATTAAGGTGCCAGAAATTTTTTACAAAAATAGGGTTTAATATGCTGCAATATTTTAACATTGTAAAACAACAAAATTATTAAAAAATATATGTTGGACTTTGATACCTTTAAAACCCATTAAAAATAGAACTTGATAAATTTTGCCTCCTTGATTTTTGGCTTTTATGTGTTTTTTTCCTTTTATGGTGTTAGTATAATATCTGTATCGCCTGCTGCTATAGATGTAAAAAAACATTTGATCACTTTTAAAAACTAAAATTGCTTATTAAAATCTTATCTCAAGTTAATTTTTCTGTATATAAAAAAAAGTGAGTGAAAATTGCCCCATGGAACTTAGTTATAAATAATTTATAATTTGAACATGTCTGTTTTTAATATTATGCATTAAACAAACTGAATCTGGTCAGTTTAAAATAAAGTTTTACTTATTTATTTAAAACTTTAGCTTAGCTGGCTTAAACTTTTTATTTTTAAGTTATTGGTACTTCTTTGACACCTCTTCTGCATTTTATTTTAAGGGTTAAAATTGTAGTCTTTTTGGAATTGGTCACTTTTGAATCTAAGTCCTTCCTTTCTATATATATATATATAATAGGAACACATGATTCCTGTATAAATTTAATACAATGTACGTGTAAGCATTTATTAAGAGCATTCATTATATAACAACGAACAATGCCAAATTTAGGCAGCATAATGTTTTCATATCGGCAGGATTACTAGAAAAAGCGTTAAACTAAATAAATACCATTTTTAAACTGCAAATTTTACATAAACTAAGCATAAGATGCCTAGTTGATAAATAGTATTTTACACTTTTCTCTACATGCTTAATTTGATAAAAAGCGCCGGAGTAAAATTAGCATAAACAATTTAAAAACTTCAGCATCGCATTTTTCTCAAGAAAATGCTGTGATAACTCTGTATTTCTATTAATGTGTTATAATAATAAAGTAAATAAAAATTTGTAAATTTTGATTGGTAAGGCATCTCTAAATGTATTCTAATTCTAGTCTTTTATCAACAATTTTTGAACTATCTTTCCATATAATGTATACCAAAGATTAGTGAGTAGTGTGAATGTTATGAGTGCTAACTATACGATATTTACAAAAATAATACTTATTAAGCGAGATCTATTGTTAATATAATCAAAATAAAAGGTGTAATTATGATATTGCTCTTAAAATTGCAAAATATTGCAGAGATTGCTAATTTAAATCAGGCAATTCTAAATACCGCTAAAAAAAAAAACTCATATCAATTAATGAGCTTTGTGTGCAATACTAATAACATTTAGAATGCAACTTATCTATTTCATATATTTATCTATATATAGTGATATTTATTTTAATGTTTCTTATATTTTGATATTTAAAACCAGAAAAAGAAAAGTACATTTTTTAAAGCTGTAAGTGTAGCATTTGTAAAATGTAAGATGCTATTTAAGCTATCATTTATTTGATTTCAGTTTAAGTGTAGTAAAAGTGCAAAAATGAATTTCTGCTAAAAAGGAACTCTAATGGATTTTGGTTCTAAATTTAGTGTGTTAGGTTTTTGGTATGATATGGTGCTAATTTTCCTATATTGCCTTATTATTGAACAATCAAATATTTTAGTGAACTTGATGTTTTTTTCTCCATTAATGTTTGTTTGTTAAATAGTTTTCAATATGTTGCTATTTATTGTAAAAATGCAGCTCTATAAAAAAAAAATTCCAGGTAATAATACATTTTTTTCGCCTACATATATACTAAAAATTAACAGCATTAACGGTTATTAACATTTTGCCACACAAGCAAACAAAAGCACTAAATGCAACTTAAATAAAGAAATTGCAAGCTTATTTAATTATTCATTTAATTTATATTTCTTACATCACATAAGAGAATGACAAAAAAAGTTTCCAAACATAACAATTAAGCTGTTTTTCTTTTGCATGGAAAATATTTTAAAGTAAGCAGATTTTACTTCAAATTAAATATCTATTAAATTTCAATAACAATTAAATACGAAAAAATCTTTGCATTCTACTGAATATAACAAATAAAAGTGGCGAAACAAAGAAATAAAATGCATCCGAAAAAAATTGAGCATTTTTTGAAGCATAGGTATGCAAAAGAGCAAAAGTATGCTTTTAAATCTTTATCACTGTCATGCTTATAACTCACACTTGACGGCTGTATATAACTTAATTAATATATTTCCCTAATGCTTTTACCACCGTATAAATTATTCGTAATCCATATTTACCACATAAACGCCAATGTTAGCTGTCATTGCTGTCTTATGACGAACAGTTTGATAAGAAAAAGTTTAACTCTCCTCTCGCTAAACTCGCGTTCAGCTTTTGGCCTAAGTGACCTTTCAAGAAAATGCTACCCTCTGTGCGCATGCGTGGAAAAAAATGAATGTCGGGACAACACGCAATGTATTGGCATATGAGAAGCAAGTGTATATCATGCAATGGCCCTTAAACTTTTAAAATCAGAGTAGGACATACCGAATAAGTGATTAATGTGCACTTTTTATCACATTTATCAAACAATGTAGTTATTGCTAAGAATAACCAAATCAATAAGAAGAAGAATGCACTTGCACTTGCACTGGAGTGAGTGCACTTGCCAGTATTCTCTACATTGATGCTATTTTAACTTCAGGTCAGACGATAGAGAAAGAAGCAGTTCCCCAGGCCAGCAAGAAACAGAGTTTCTGCCTACCTAAGTGTACGTATACACACATGTACTAATATGAGATATAATACGAGAATACCATATTAAGGTCACTTCCAATCTGATCTTGAGCAGCTACAGTCAGAAAGGTTCTTTCCATATATGATACAGTGGAAGATGAAGGAAGTATTGCGAGATCACATATGTGTGATCATAGTCTAAAGTTCTTAAGGCTAAGTCATTGTCAAATATTGCCTACCACAGAGGAATTTCCAGGCTTGTACACTGAGTGCAACACTTTCATGAAATGTCACTTGGATCAAGAGCTAGACGCAAATATTAAATTATGAATCAGTTTTTTTGAGTGATAACTGGTTTTCTAAAATTAACTCTTCAAATTTTGCTTACAAATTTAATATGGCTGACTATATATATTTTTTCCTATAATTCAAAGCGTCAAAGTTAGCCTGTTGTGTCTTACTGATGAATGTAATGTTTTTTGAAATATTATTCTTTGGTATTTTTGATGAATATGTTCATGTATATATGTAATATTTTGAAGTTCTATCACAGAGATGTACAGTTTTCTTTACTGTTAATGGTTCCTACCATGTACATAAATATGTCTCATACCAGCATGCAGCCACTTGCTGTGTGTGTAGTGGACATCTGTCTGTGCATGCGTTTCAGTGGCCATAAATGTCAAATATCCACCTCACTTGTTATCTTTGTGTCAACTTATTTTCCAAATACAACACAATTAAAGAGCTAAGTGGATGAAGGTTCTAAGTTAGCTTTAATGTTTATACTTAAACAATAAAAAATGGAATATTACCTTTATTTCTAATCTGCGAGCTTCATAACGGCAAATCAACAAATCCCTAACATTTATTTTAACTTTCTAATAAAAGACAGTTTCTCATCTATTTGTAACCAAATGCACTTCAAACCCTCTTCCAATTCGAAAAAAGAAAAATTTCACTCAGTACCTTCATTTACTAAGATCTGCAAAACTTAAAGACCTAAAAATAAAACAAAATTAATGTTGCACAGTTAAATAATACCAAAAAAAAGGTTCTTTAAGGTATTTCGATTTTTTTCTCTAAATATGTCAATCAGAGCTGTCATCCACTAACCTCTTAAATTCATAACTTCCACTAAGTGAAGTTTAAATCACTAACTCTCACATTCCTAACCATCTTGAATTTTCGATAAATTTTTTGATTTCAAAAACTGACACAAATTAATTTTCCTTAACATAGATTACACTAGAACAGCACTATTTTACCAGTTTACACACAAAATTGATTATAAATCTTCCATTCTAGTGCACAAATTAAATTAAAAAATTTTTTTTTTTTTTAAAAAAAATCTTTGGTTCACCAAATGAGATGAAAAATAATTCACTATTTAACATTTTTTTTTTTTACTTACAGATTTATAATTAAAAAATGTTCGCTATTTCAAAACTCCTTTAATGAACAGCTGCCAAAAAGATTAATAAAAAAATTAATAATTATTGGGTTTACCTAATAATTAATCATTTTACAAGAGAAAAAAAAAACTTTAAAACTTATAGTCTATGCCAAAATTTCTGTGAAAGTTAACAACAGTGCTCGCTTCCATGAAGAACTATTGTCATTATCTCAATATGTTACATCTCCTGCACAAGAACTCATCTTAATTTTTAAAAAAATACATTTGGTGCTTACACATGGAACTCACTACCTCGAGATGTCACAACAAACCCAGCTTAATTGTTTAAAGTGCACTTTTAGAATTCATTTATTTCTGTTGTTACTTAAGGACATTCAAATAATAATAACCTCTTTAGATGTAGATTTGGAGAGCTCAACCTACAAGATATGTTTTATGTATTTAATTTCAAAACATTTAATAAACCGACACCTTGACTTTTTGAAATATTAGGAATTTCAGGGATTATTGAAAAAGGCAGTTCAGCTGGTAACTAGAGGCAATTAATATAAATTAAACAAATTGGAAATAAAAGAACAATTGACAACAGTTGTGAAATTTATTTTTTTATTTTTGCAAAATATCAATTTTAACATCGTTTTCACAACAAAATTTATTCATACATCAAAACATCCAAATATCACAATAAAATCTAACACAGATAAAAATATACATACTTGACTTGAAATTTTTTTTATATATAAATACTCATATATTTCAACAAAATAATAAATACAATCTAATTTAAAAATTGATATTTAAAGTAACAAACATTTTTTTTTCGTTCATAAATTAGCTTTCAAGTTAGAAAATAATACTGAAGCTATAAATTATATACTTTATTAAACCAAACATGCATAACACAAAATTCTATATCAGAAAAATTGAAGTATAATCAGAATGTAAATTGGGAGTTAAGCTGAAGATAAGAGAAATTGTAGTTAATTCTTCACTTATTTCTAATTAGGCGCTTTTTGTCTTAAAATTTTTAATACTAAAACAATATTTCTGTGCTTTTGGTTTAAAAGTTTAATTGCATATCTTTTATATTAAAATTAAAGTCATTAAGTCTAAAGCTTCCAAATAAGAGTGTTAGACGTGAACAGATAGTTCAACAATTGGTAACTTTGTCAGCACATAAAAAGATCTCAAATTTATATATTCTTTAAACTTTTAATACTTTATAGCAATTAATAAACATAAAATTAAAACATTTTTAAAAAGCAGTTTATGAATCATTAACACTATGAAATAATAATTTTCATCAAAAGGAAAAATAGTAAAATGCTTACCTTTAAGTGTCGTTATTTTTTTGTATTTATTAGTATTTAATTTTTTAAGATTTTTAATTTGATTTTTCTACACCATGAAACTGACTGTCACTTCTCTTGATCAAATTTTATTACTTATTTTTAAAAAGAAATGAAATCAAACCAACAAAAGCTCTTTAAAAACTTCTACGGCAAATAAAGTACATGTTCCACTTTAATGAGTGAAACTTAAAACTAAATAACTTATAAATATGTGTTGTAAAAAAAAATGAAATATAAGATAATGAAGTTGTAATTCTTCTCACCACAATAAGTCATCCTAAATTAAACACCTTCACGGTAAGCTTCATGAGTTTTATATTCAACTTATAAATTCATCAAATAATTTGTGAATATTTTATTGTGTGAAATAAATATTGTGTTACCACAAGAAATATTCATAAAAATTATTTTACAATTTGTTAATCTTTTAACTTAATTTCTCTTAATTGAAATTTCAACTCAACTCATGGTTATCAAAATGCATTGTGTGAAAGAAATATAATAATATCTTAAATTATGAGAATAAAAACTAGCACATAATTAAAACCCATAAAAAATGACAATAGCTGAAATAAAATTTTGTCAGTGTAGAACTAAGTTTACCAGCAACTTCAAAACATTAAAACAAACCAGTATATAGAATTTTGAATATAAATAAACAAATACTATGTTTAAATGCAATAAAAACTACAACAACTGAGGTAAAGTTAAAGCAGGTAGTAATGGATCAACACAATTAACCCAAAAGTTTGCACATGTACTGTGATAATTTCTTCCTCCATATGATAACTTAAGAGAACAGTCATCCTTATTTTTTATTTCTACATTTAACAGACATAAGCCACAAGCTTTAACATTGTCAGCTGCATCTGTTCTTAGCAATGATGATGAGAAATCAAAAGAAGAATCTTGAGGCTGTAATAAAACTGGTATATGACTTTCAAAATAAAAATATTACATCTTAATGTCTCTAATCTCTAAAACTAACTTAAATTCGAATTAATAATTTCACTACAAAATCAATGTGTAACTAGCAAATTTAATGTAAAAAAACATTTCCCTTTTTTTAACATATCAATATGCTTTAAAAGAAAAATTTGTTCTCTACACATAATCTGTAAATCCAGTAGAACACCATACATTCAAACCCAAATAATTCGAAACTCACGATAATTGAAACAGTTATTACTTATCAAAAATTTAATGTATAAAAAAGGAAAAAAATATTCAAAACAGAACTATGAAAAAATGACCAATCAGTGAATAATAAAATACGAAACAATGTATGGATTTCAATTAAGATGAAGAACATACAAAATATGATAAAATAACTTCATATTATCCCCTAAAGTTGTTCCAATGTATAAATCAAAGTAGGAAAATAACACAGATTTGTACTGCAATACAATAATATAGAGATATATAACTCATGTTGATATAAATCTATAATAAAGTATCATAAAAACTTTAACTTAGTTGCAAGTTTTTGAATTGTTTATCACATGAATAATGCGAACAACGATGCTAAATGTGATCAGTTAATAACAATAACTTCCATTTTTTAAATGATATTTTTTCCAGAATCAAAAATACTCAATTGCACAGATTTTTTTGGTACACTAAGAAAATGATCGCCAGAATCCTCAATGCGTTGCGATATAACACGATTAGAAAATACTTGTTTGCCTTTTATCATAACAAAATTGTAACAACAGAATCGGACCCAATAAATTTGTCTAAACAAAGTTCAACTATAATTGAATGAACTAGTTTGCTGATTAAAAATGCATAAATTGTAAATATTTTCTATAATTTCTCACTAAAATTAGTAATTCAGCTTTTATAACTAATATGCAATAATCTTAAATAAAATTTTAGTGCTCAAATGAATACAAGTTAAAAATAATTCTGTTTCATATACAAAAATTTTAAATAACAAAAATTTGATGTATTAAAATATTAAGCTTTCGACCCACAAAAACTTAAAGATATCCAGTAATGAATTTCTTTAAGTTAAAAATTCAATTTCCATTATTCATATTGTTATTTGTTTAAAAGCAACACCTTCAATATTTCTGAACATTAAATTATGAAAGGAAAAAATTTGATAAATAGCTGTTTTTAGCTTACCATTAATGAAGAACCAGCAAAGAACCCACAGATAGAATTCCAAATTTGTTCTACTTCTTTCAATAGATCAAGGATAGCTACACTTTGTTTACTATATGACTTGGAAGTAAATTTTATCCTGCATGCCACTTTATAAACTTCAATCACATCTAAAATGCAATATAATTAAACATTAATTTCAATATGAGAATAATAGTATATAAGAATAATAGCATATATTAGAATACAAAACTGTTTCATTTTTTAACTGTTTTACTTATTTAGTCTATCAGCCTTCGGTGTGATAAGGAGTTAATTAAAGACGTAAATATATACTCCTCTATCATTATAATTTTGAGCCAAGCTCAGTAAATAAGAGAATTCTTTAGTGGAGTTGTCGAATACACTTAACACTATGATAGACTTTTAGAAAAACTAAAAGTGCTGTTTCAGAAATTCAGTTAACAAATTTTATATACTGGTCTGAGGCACCTTGATAAACAAGTTTAGTTTCACAAAAGTTGAGTTCAAGAAAATAACCTGTCACAACTGGAGGACAACGTTCACTGGTATAGCAAGAAGAAAAGTTATAGAAAAGTGTGTTTAGTTTAAAACATTTTCTGATAAAAAACTGATATGATAAAAGAGGAATGAATGAAATTTATCATGATAAAAGAGAATTAGAATTAAATGATGAATAAGAAAAAAATATAAATTTTGGAGCATCTATTTTGGAGTATCTGGAGTTTTAACTCATGATTTCATGAAACTGCGCTTCATATCAGTACTGCCTGTACAATTTTAAATGCTAAAACTATTAACACATTCTATGAGATATAAATTAACAGTCTTAAGATTGTATCAGACTTATCCATAAAAAGTATAATAAGCAGAATTAAAAACTTTCATCCAAAAATATACAGAATAACAACAATTTTACCCAAATAGGCATTTCCTTAACCCAATAGTCACAATCATGACTTTAATTAATTTCTTTTTAAATCATAGTCATTCTAGCATAAATTTTTGTTTATTTACTCATATCAAAAAGAAAAAAAATTGCCTCATAATTTAATTATTTTTCAGTAATTTTTTTACCGTTTAACTGCACTTATTCTGGCATAAAATTTTACTAATCTACATGATATCTAAAGCCTATTTTATAAGGGTTTATTTTTTTTAACTTATACAGTACATTTTTTGTATACAGCTAGACAAATTGGAGTTTTCAAAATTCACTTTCATGCCTTGAGACACAAACCATTACTTTCAATACTTCTTGCACTAAAATTTGCTTCCTTATTTACAAAATAATCCTTGCTGCTACACATGTGACACTAAAAATACAATTAATTTTTCTTAAGGTTTAAATACAATATTTGAATTCTGGATAAATTTGGGATATAAAAATGTAGTCTCAGCTTATAAGCTGATTGGCTCTTATTTGAAGCTATAATAGTTATTCCTGCAATAACTCGGCTTACCTATACGATAGCCAAACAAAATTTGTAGTTAAGTGCAGAATTGTTTAATAAATTATGTCCCAATTCTTCGGAAAGATATGAAGTTTCTGAATTTTTTTGCCTATCTTTTTGTGTATAAAAATGGTACCATTTTAGAAAGCTTTTACCATTATCTTTCCCAAAAATCAGAAAGTTCTAGTATATAAAAATTTCCAAGGGTTTCAATAAATACTGAAAATACTGTTTCAAGATTAATGCAAAAAAATATCTCTTCATACCAATAACAAAAAGAGTGTCATACTTCAAAAATCGAATTGCATGGTTTTTAATTAAATTTCAGTTGCCTGCCTTAAATAAATCAGACAAAACTAAATTAAATCATAATAGTTCGTACAATGCTGGGTAATATTCCTAATAACAGAAACAGAATTAGGAATTCCTTCGTATAGTATACCTATTATTTTTATAATATATAATAGACATATATTATATAGCTTTATAAAATATTGCTTTTTATTTTATTTTTTTATTAAATCTTTTTATAAGAAAAAAGATATAGTGTTTTTGTGAATTTTCATATTAAACAAAATAGTTTTCAGTTATAAAAATACATAAACTCAGTATACCTTTCACATAATTCCCTCCTTCTTCAGATGAAAGAACTTCATTGCAAACTGAACTACAACTCATCTGATTAAATATTTTCTTTGTATTTTCTAATATATTAACTGAGCTTTGCAGACAACGAGTCCAACTACTGATATGTTGGTCTTCTTCTTTCTTCTAAAACAATTAACAAATTATTTCATTAAATATTTAACAAAATTACTTCAATTCAATTTATCTAATTTTTTTACAACTTAATACAAATGAACATCTAACATTGAGTAAAGAAAATAATTCAAAATAAAATAGGTTGCATTAATGAATTTAATGGTAGCATTCAAATTGCTCGATATTACTTAATTACAAATTGTTTTAGTTACTTAAATAAAAATTCAGAAATTTTCTCTTTTCAGCAGTTAAGACTATAATACCACAAATCGTATGGTAAGGAAAAAAAACTTCAATAATTTACCATTTAGGCTTTTGTCAATGGGGAGATTTAATAGAATATTCAGGGTGAAGAAAACTGACTCGCAGGAGAATGCAGGTTGAAACACAATTTTTTTTTAACATGTGAAAACGTAATAGAGTTAACTGACTGAACATAAGTGGGGACTAAAGACATCTTTTCATTAGTTGATTTTCCTGCAAAAAAAACGGATTATCTTTCTGTTATTCAATGAAAAAATTGTATATAGAGGAGAAACTTCTATAAAACACTAAAACTCGGTTTGTCTTTCAGAAATTTAAAAATCAAACATAAATATATTAGAGACAGTACATTTAAAAAAGACAATTTTAACATAAGCGAAGTGTTATAATTACATTAGGAATGAACAAACTATGGATTGAGGATAAAATGTCGCTCTTGAATGGTGAATGTGTGGTAATCTGCCTTTCAACTAAAAAGTGAACAGAAAAACTACCTTTATTTATGACCAAGGAAATTTCAAAACTTTTTTCAAACTAATTTCAATAAGTTTTGAAAAAGAAAAAACAACAAAATTACAATATAGTGGTATGAATTCAAAATGCTAAGAAATTTAAATCTTTTGAATTTCTTTTTCAAGAAAATTTCTTTAACCAAAATATGCTCAAGTAAAGTAGCTCAAAGAAATCTTGAAGAGTATAATTAAACTAAAATCTGAAGATACAATTAATTTATATGCAGTAAAAAATTATAAAATTAATTTTTCCACAGAGAAAGTTGAAAACCTGCAACACTTAAATTAAAATTTAATTTACTAAAGAAGACATAAGACAAAGTGTGTAAAATTTCAATTTTTTTTAGTTCAAAATTATTTTATATATTTGGTTTTTAATTTTTTATACAAATTGATAGTGTTCTTAATACACTAAGGAATAATGAAATTATTGTGTATTGATATTAAAATTAAACTCATTGCAGTGCCAAAATTTAATTTCTGTACCCCTTTTCAAAACTATGCACCCCTAAAAAATGCCAAAATTAAAACTGTTGGATTATTATAAACAGTATTAATTGTTTATAAAGAGTAATTAACCATAAAATTCATTTTTTTTTTTAAAAAGTGAGTAAAAAAACAAAAAAATAAATGTGACTAAAAAAACACAAGCATGAAAAAAAGTCAGTTGAATGCTTGAAAAGGCACAGTGTCACTGTGATAACTATGCACCAAATTCTAGAAATAAAATACAGTGAAACCTTCAAGAAAGACCACCTCTATTTATGATAACTTTTGTGAGACACAGAATTTTTTCCATAAACTTCATGTTGAAGAAAACTTTTATGAGAGACCATTAAAACCTCTGCACCAAATACGGAAAATGTCAAATAAGCAAACATGAAAAAATATCAAAAGAAAAAATACAGTGAAACTTGTGTATAACGATATTGTCTATAACGATAAACCTGTCTATAGCGATATTTCCTTGAGGTCCCGGTGAAATTCCTATTTACTCAATGTATTTTTAACCTGTTTATAGCGATAACCACTTTTCAGTTAAACATGTCTACAACGATAATTTTTCCTCTTTTGATAGTTGATTGTTCTATTCCGATTTTTCTACCGTTGGAAAACGACTCCCCATCGAGCCTAAATGTGAGATAACAAAACGCTTTTTTTTTTTTTTCATCTCCTTTGTATGTAATATTCTTTCGTTGTTTCTGAGAAAAAAAGCCACTTTTAGGGGAAATTAGAGCAGTAGAAATGGGTGAAGGGGTATTGTAGGAGGGAGAGAGCTTCGTCAGAAAAACGGGTGACACACTGACGAGACATCGATGCAGCAGCGACACGACAAGATTTCACCCGAGAATGCCATATTGCTAATTAACACTTTGCAAGATTTTGTTGCAACATTACCAAATGTAACTGGTATTTCATTTGAATTCTTTAGATGGACTGAAATCTATGTGCATGGAAATGGCAATTGCTTCCGAAAATAAGCAAACAAAACTAACCGATTATTTTTCTAAATAATTTCTGTTTTGATTCATAAAATTGTAAGTAAATTTTTCTTGTGTGCTGTTTCATAATTCTAAGTAAAATTTTCATTTGGAGCCTATAAAAGAAGTTTAATTTATCATTAGTTTTAAGCGTATACTTTTAAATTTCAAACCTGTCTATAACGATAACCTACCTATAACAATATTTTATTTAGGTCCCTACAGTATTGTTATAGACAGGTTTTACTGTATTAACAAAACAAATAAGTAGATTAAAATGTATTCAAAATATTCATTTGAAACCCTTATTTAGAGAGCTCCTTTTGAGGGTCTCTGATTGAGATCTACAATCTAATGTCGCAATCAGAGTGCACTAAAGACGATGCTATGATTTATTTTTAAAGTTAAAAGTTAAATTAGAAAAAAAACTTATTTCAAAATAAACTATGTATCTCAAACAAACAAACCTCTTCTCATTGTTTAAAGCTAACTAATTTTTATGATACAAAATTAAATGCTAATTATTAAATGATAATTAAAACGTAAACAAAAAAACACAATTGTTTATTTATTTAAAATAGTTCTATAATTCATAATTGGTATATTTGTTTTTACTCATAATTATATCAGTAGGGATCATTTCTATTGACAATCAATTTTATTCATCGATCTTGTTTTTATGCTGCCAGCACAAGTGGCATTTCTGCACCAAGAAAATGACAGTGACTAAAATTAAAGCCATTTGCAAAAAATCATGTACCTTTGATAACATTTTAAAGCAATGGATGTAACCCCTAAGAATGACCAACCTCCATTGACGACCATTTTACTGTGGAACGGAGAGTCACTGCTTCCGAGAGGCATCACAGTACCTAATATGATTAACATAATAAACACCCTCTACTTTCTAACTTTACTATCTAGAAACACTTTTTACAATTTAGCTAGCATATTTTTCACACTTACCAGATAAAAATATTTTGATTTCAAAATTAAATTTTAAAATTTATATATAAATTATTACTTACTTCTTCAGAACGTATTACACTGTATTTATCAGTGAGAGGAACAATTTTTGAGGGCTGAAAGTTTGAACTGAGAGATATGCCAGATAAGTTGCCTAAAAATTAAAAAAAAAAAAAAGCAATATTTATCAAAATGAATTTAAGAAGTATTTAATACAAAAAACAATACACTATATTTTTTTAATATAAGATGGAATTTAAATCATAAACATGAGTAACTTTTGACAGTTAAAAATTTGAACCAAGAAATATGCCAGATAAATTATGTAATCATACATAATTATACAGATTTTTTTAATTTTAAGACGGAATTTAAATGCTCTAAAAAGTTATTTCATATCTATTTATTAAAAAATAAATGTAGAGTGAAACTTAGTATAAACAATGAGTACAATCAAAACTTAAACTTTTTAACTCTCTTTAGGGAACATTTTTCAAGGAATGTTATGTTAAAATATTTTTGTGATTGAGATTGAGGCTTAATCCTAGCATACATTACACAGTGGATTTGGTGACATTGGAGATGCTTGGGAGGGATTTATAAAATTAAGGGAATTTTCAAAATTTTAGCTACTGTAAAGTATAAAGAGACGCCCGGTGGCTGAGCGGTAGCGCTTCGCGCTGTCGTGCCACAGGTCCTTGGTTCGATCCTTGGGCCGGGCAAGGCCGACTCAGCCTTTCATCCCTTCAGTGGGTCGATAAAATGAGTACCAAGCATGCTTGGGAACTAACACTGGGGGTTCCGCGTTCGGCTGACCACCTGACCGGAACATATGCTCCTGCACCCCAGAGCCCAAAGGTCAAGAAAACTGAGATGGGCACAGTCGGCCTTGGCCCTCTTAATGGGCTGTCGCGCCACTGAGTTAGTTAAAGTATAAAGAATTGGCCACTGACCATAAAGAATAAGAATCGGCTAATGGCCTTCTGTGCTATTAAATAACCAAATTTATAAATTCTTTGTTTATAACTATACAAATAAACTCAATGAGAAATTATCAAATGACGTAGAAGGGAAAAATAACTTTTGTGTGTTGATTTCTCTTCTTGACCCCACATGAACCTTAAATGCTATCTACATTTATTCAGCAGATGGCTGCACAAATCATAGGTCGGAAAACAGCTTCCCATCGACATTTAAAAATGAATGAAGTATGCAAGAAATATGTTTTTCCCGGCCTAATAAAGGGTTAAATACTGATGATGACTGAATCATAAATGAGTCGATAAATTTGTTTACTTCACTTGTTACTCTAAAAATTGCATTCAAAAACATTTTTAGAATCTATCTCGAGAGTACAGTAAAAGCTCAAATTAAAATAAAATCTTTTTACTCACTGCCTTCTATTCCTTTGACGGGTGATGGAGTTGTAGAAACTCTGTTTGGAACTGGGGCATTTTGGAAGTCGCCAAAACAGTCTTCACTTTCATTCACTTCTAAACCTGAGCTCTTCAAATCTAAACTTGGAATAGAGCCCTGCCGACTTAGAGAAGATTTAGATTCGCCGCTATGACCACCCCCATCAAATGTTCCGAGTTCCAAACTTGAAACTGACTGGCTTTCGGCGAGGGATATATTGTCTTTTAAATGGCGGAAAAGGAACTCTTGACCCAATTCAACTCTGCTGGACGCCGGAAAACTACTGGTGAACTCACCAAATTCCTCATTCATTTGTGAATTCCCCCCAGGCACAATCAAGGCTGGAACAGCAGATATGCTATCACTGAAATTGGAGAAGTCAGCAAAGTTGGTGCTCATTTTTTGCAACTCAGTAGTAATGTTTGTCACACTTGAGTCCTGTTTCACTTCAGCAGAAAGGAAATCTCCAAAGTCATCTTCTTCTTTAGCTGCAACTTCGACATTAAAAATATTGTTTGCAGAGAAGGCAAATCCCCCGTCATCTTTAAAAGCGTTGAAATCTGAAACATTTGCAGTTTTCACGTCGGAAGATTTTTCTGTGATACTAAGTGAAGGTGCAGGAATGTTATTTGTAGATTCTAATGAATTTGAAGAAAAATCTGCCCAATCGTCAGTACTCTCGGGTTTTTGCAAAAGGCGAAATACACTATATTTGTCTTCCTCGGGAGACATTAAATCTTGTTTTACTACACTTGGCTTCATTCCGACAACAGGATTTGCTGTTTCGAAAATTCCTTTTTTAGAATCAACTACAGCAGAAACAGGAGCTTGCTTAAAATCATCAAACTCATCTTCTTGAGAGATACTATTACTTGTGGAAGATGGATACATCATGAAATTGACACATGTAGGAGTAGCTGATTTAAAATCATCAAATTCATCATCAGGTGAACTTATGAATCCTAAAAGATATAAAACACATTTTAAAATTTGATATTGAGAATAATGTATCTCTATATTTTGAACAAAATAATCTCTTAACTTTATGTACACAGATCTCTAAGATGCATCATTATATTTTTAAAAAAGTAAATACATATAATAAATAACATTTATTGTTATAACCTATATAACTTATTTTTATAACCACTAAAAAACCTATGCAAATATTGCGTCAGAAATAAAAATGCTCTTAAATAAATCTACCATAATTATATTTAACAAAAATAAATGCTAGAAAATATTTTTTTTTCGTATTATTAAATTAAAAAGTTAATGCTCATGGCTATCAAAATTAGATTTCACTTTAGATGCAGTGTATTTTGCATAACTTATACAATTTCATCAAAAGCAAAAAGACTGTAATAGTTTTTTGTTTACTTGAAATATAAATTAGAGTGTTAACATCTATAGTGGTAATTTAAAGTGCTTTTACTATTTATAGCAAAGAAGTATTTTTATTTAATTTAAGAAAATTGTTTTGTTTTCCATGAAAGAACTGCCATATGAATTCAGAAATTTGTGTGAAAACTCATCTATACTTTTAAATATGCTCCCTAAGTTATACCATTATGCTATTTTGGTCATTTTAATCGTATAATATGTTTGATATATTGTTGCTCCCCATCATTCTTCTTTTTAAAAAATAAAATTTAAAAGAAATTTTGTTTTTATTGTTAAAATTACTATGCAGGGCTGTAAACAAACAAGTAAATTATTTTTCAACAATTTTATTATAAAATATGGAGCATTAGATACTTACTAAAGCTAACACAGAAGTAAAAAAATATCCCTATCATACAACACTTAGCTAAGCCTAACCATATAATCACTTTATCCCACCTCAGAAACCAATTCATAATAAATATAATTTTTAAATTTCTATTTAGATCTGTTCTTTAGATGTCCCTCTAACAGTTTGAACTAAAATTAATAGTTTTTGTCAGTTTTTTATGATATTAGAAGAAAATTCATCAACAACTTAAACTAACATACTGTATAAGTTGATGATGAACAGATAGTTAGTAAACATTAAATTTTTTATCAATTTATAAAAATGGAAACAAAATGCTTGCCGTAATCCCAGTAAATGTCTCAAAAAATATAAAACAAATTATCTCAATTTAAAAGGAGAAAATAGATGCATTTTTAACATATACCCACTTTACCCCATCTAACTCTACTTTACACTGATAACCATGAAATTAAAATTAATAGCTTTTATTATTTCCTCCAATCAAAAAATTACACTTTTACTTTAAATATTTAAAAAAAATATTTTGCTGATAGTATTTATTCATAAATAACTCAGAGAAATAAAAAAAAAAGCTGAAATATACCAATATTCTGTTTTATAACAGAATTATTATACACTGTTCTAATTATACTTTTTTCTGGACAGCTTTATTAAAAATTTCAGAAAACAATAGTTTTTTTTTCTGAAACTCATAAACTTTTAAAACAGATTTAATCATAAATTTTCTAAATTTATAAAACCATAATGAAAGAAACTAAGAAATTGTTACCAAGATTTACCCTCCAATTACATTTAAAATGAAAAATTTAAAAACAACTTAAAATCTTTAAATAAGCAAAATAAAGCATACACAAGTGAATTGCGTTTACATAATAGGCAATTATACATCACTCAATAAATCTTTGATGTAACACATTCAACACTTTTGTTAGAACCATATGATTTCTGGATAGTGGCTACCTTCAAAGGACACATCACAAAATTTCATGACATTCTGACAGTTGTTTAGAGGTCACAAGTGGTTTTAGTGACCCTGATATTGTAATTTTTAAAAACAATGGTCAAAAAAACATTCTGTGCATTGATTAAAAATTGGTTTTCTGACTACTGAAAATACTGAAGACAAACAGTGACTTGATAAGCGTTAGGGAGACTTTGAACTAGGAAAATTAACTTTTAATGAAAGGTTTAAACATGGTCATAAAAACAACAATGATGCTGAGCGTTCTAGAGCTCCAAGTTTAACAGTTACTCCAGAAAACATTCACTATTTATAATAGAAATTAAATATTTTAAAAACATAAAATTTTTTTCAAAAAATTACAAACAATATTTTGAAACAAAAAACAATACAGAATACTTAAAAATCTAAAACCTCTAACCTGTTGATGAAATAGAAGGTAATTTAGAATTAGTAAAATTATTTGCCGTGCTTGGAGAATCCAGTCTAGGGATTTTGTCTTTCTTGAGAGAAATAGCAGTTGGCCGAACTGCTTGGTAACTCAATGAATCAGATGTTGCTGTTGGACCAGAAGAAAGAGATACTACATCTGATGATAGTTGGTGAGGTTGTTTTTCAACATCTCCCGCTGCTTGGTCTGAGCTGGTAAAACATTGCAACCGTGGAACCGGACCAGAAGGGAGGTGGTATAATATATCAATTGTTTTTGCAGAGTGACCACTCTAATATAACATAAACTATATTATTTGCAAGAATTTTAAAGTGATAAATGTATAAAAATACAAGTCACAATCAGCCACTAAAATAGCTAAAACTTAAACATGACCAAAATAAGAAATTTAAGATCCAAGATTCAATTACTTTTAAAACATATTGCAACAAGATATTTGGCTGTTTTTCTCTCCCCTGTAAGTGTCTCAAGCAAATGTGTGAATATTTCAATTATATATATATATATATATATATATGTAAAACAAAAATTATAAATACTTTTGTATTAATAACAACATTAAAACTCTTTCGTTTTCATAAAATGTCTTTGGTAAAAAATAGTTGTAGAAATTCTATTTTGGGACTTCAAGGATGAAAACATATCATTGAATTATAATTAGATTTATATTTCAAAGGAGTTATTTTTAGAATCTTGTCCCTCTTTCACTTCCATATTAGGAAGCATTAAATGATTATCATATTTTGCGTAGAGTTAGAAAGTATGAACGATTTTAACCTTTTCACCTTTTTGTCCATTAGTATATAATGCAAGAGCAATAGTTTTTGTGAGTCTTTTGCTGTACGATGTTGCTAATTAATTTTTTATTAATTAATAATTTTAAGTTTATAATTAATAAGGTTGATACTTAATTATACAATTTTACTGATTTTAGAAAATTAACATTTATTTTTTTAAAAAAAGAAACACGAATTGCCTGTTTTGCACAGATTTTTAGCCACGGATTTGCCCATACTAAAAACATAAATTCACAATGAAGTTTTTAATAAATTTAGTAATAATAACATACAATGTATTACATTTCTCCATATTTATATATATACACTACTGTGCAAATTAATTGGAAGTTTGTGCAAATAAGGCAAACAAAGGCACTCGAATTGTTAATGAAAGTGTACAATCTGAAAGTATTAAATAAAAAGTATTTTTTAAGTGATATAAACACTTAAGAGATAGAAAAGATATTTTCTAACACAGTGCAGATCCAACAATGTGTAACAATAGTGCATCAAGAATAGTCAAGAAAATTAGGAGTATTTGGCGACTGCTCATAAAATGTCAAATATTTTTGTAGCACATGACAATTACTTTGAGTGCCAGTACAGGTATTTTGTTTGTATGCCATGTTTCCCTTCATGTATAATATTATTCACTGAAAGTTTTTGAATACACATTTTATGTAATTGCATTGAAAATTATTTACAAATATTTTACCTGTAAAACTGCAATAAGTGCTAATGCAGCATATATTTCTTCAATAGTCAAATAACCAGGAGCAGACTGATTCACCATTTCCCAGATTTGAGCCAATGACTGCTGAGGTAAGCCTGATGAAACTAATATTGGGAAAAGCAAACTTGTTTCCGGGGCATGAGCACCATTTCCGGTAACAATTGACTCAATTTTATGATACAATTCAGGAACTTTCTCTCTGCAACACCAGGGAGGGAATCCTATAAAAAAAAATTTTAAATAAAATCAATATAAATTATTGAGAAGTAGAAATTTGTTTTCAAAGTTTTGAAATGCTAAAGTTTTTTAAAAAAAAGTTTAAAAAACTGTATTCTCCAATATTTTTTTTGAAAAATATTTTTTTGCTTTACCTAAAACAAAAGACGACATTAAAAATATGAATAAAACAGTAATAGCAAAAAAATATTTGAATATAATTACTAGGTCTCTTCTCAACAAATACTTCATCAAGTCCTTTAATATCCCTCCAATTTCTGGCTTTATCACTTGTAGTGAATGTTGACCGTGATTGCGTTGTTGGGGTTATTTCTTTAACAGGAGGTTTGAAAAACTTGTTTGCTTTCTGAGGGCCACTTAAGTTTGAACATTCCATCATCATAGCATGTAATTCTATCAATAAACATAAAGAATTAAATTTATTTTAAACTAAGCAAAAAAAGATTTTAAAAAATCTGCCTTATAAAAATAAAAAAATGAATTTACTTGATCCACAATTAAAAAAAACTATAAATTAGTATTATAAACAAAGGTGTCAATACAAATATTATATAGAGTACAAAAAATTGAGCTTTTTAAAGACAATGAGCTTCTTAATCCAAAATCTTATTGTTTAATTTTATTTTAAAGGGAAGAAAAATTTAAGCTTATATGCAAGAAGAAGAAAATTATACTTAGTAGTTCAAAATTGTTCCACTAAAAATAAATTGTAAAACACTTTATTTTATTTACTTTTAACATGTTCAGCAAAATTTTTAGCCCATCTATGTAAAGTGCTTAAAATTTATTAAAACCACATTCCTTCTGAGGACATGTGATTTTTTATAAACTGGTTTTATGGTTTAAGTCTTTGAATATGTAAGGTATTCAAATTATTAAGTTTATTTCTATTTGAATTTCTTTTCAACTTTTTGGGAACTTCCTTAACAGTGAGAGTAAATGAGTGATTAATAATCATTGACATTAAATGATGATAGCCAATGAATAACTAATTTGGATTCTTTTATATTCCCTGTTTTATTCTTTTTTAGCTTTAACTCCTCTAATCACCCCTCCAAATAATAATCTGCACCTACAGCTCTGTTTTATTAATTCATTGATATCATATAGATTAGTTCATGTAAATGCAAATCTGACATTGATATGCTACACATCTTTCAAAACTTAAGAAGGAAAGAAAATTGTAAATATTCAAACAAGAGAAAAGCATTTCTTCTAAGCATATGCTCTAAAAAACCTTCATTTTAAAAATTATAAAGATAATGAATTTAAAAAAAAAAAAAGAAAAGAGAGAGAGAGATGGTTAAATTTTGATATTATAAGGATTTTGTTCATGTTAAATTGGCTTTAAAAAGAGACTGAGAAAAAGAGATTTTATGAAAGGCCATCATTTTAACAACATATTTCATATTTCCTATTTTTATAAATATTAAAAATTCTAAAATGTTGATTGATAAAAGCAATATACAGAAAATTTAGTTTTACGCAAGAATTAAAACATATTCAACCATTTAAATGCAATTAAAATGCATCATAATTTTGTTATTAAGAGGGATTTTTTTTAATTTATTTTATTTAATTTTTTATCAATTTTTATTTATTTATTTGAACTATTGAAAGTAACTAAAAGCATAGGCTCAAGCAGAACAAATTAAGTAAATTTTTTTTTCAAAAAAAAAGGGAAATAGTTACATAGTTATTTACCTTTTTTGTCTTTTTCTTGTTTAATTACTGAATTCCCAGCAGGATTTGCCATTGGTGCCGGAAAAGTACTAGCAGTCATAGGAGTAGAAAACATGTTTTCAAAAGGAACAGAAGAAATTTCTGTAAGTGGTTGATGTGTTGTAGTTGGTATAGTTTTCTTGATTTCAGAATGATCTGGCAAAACAAACGTTTTCAAAATTATACAAATGAATATCGTTGTAACAAAAAATACAAAACAAATTACAACAGCCTAGATCATGATGACCTAAAAAATCCCTTAATATTACTGAAAAATACCCTTAATAATAGTGAAAAATGACTCTCATAGTTTCTAATTTTCTTCAAAGTCTCAATATAACAATCGTTGATATAGTTTTTCACAGAGTAACTATGTCAGACAAAATATTTTTTTTCTATGTCAGACAAAATATTTCTATAGCGGCAGGTACGGAACTTTTCGTTCTTCATCTTGTAAGATGCCAGAAGTGTTGCTCGTCTAAGGTTACCCAGTGGGCACCTGTGAACCTAAGTCACGGAGACGAGCAAAATTAGCCATGCCACACTGCCACAAATACCCGTTCATAGGGTGGGCCACATTCACAAATCACACACAACAGATGACAACACATAGATAGAAACATCCATGCCTAGAACGGGATTCGAACACGCAGCCATTGGCTCGCAGTCAGGCACGCTAACCGCTCGGCCACCTGGCCGCGTTACACAAACTATGAAAACTGTGTATTTCTAAAAACTGGCAACTTTAAGAATTATTAAGCGTTTCTAGAAGAAAGTTTGCCGACATACAAACCCTACATAACTCTTGGCAAAATGATAATTTTCTTGATCATGTGGATGAATTACAGTGCTCAACCCAACGTTAAGATACATTCTTTCTTGTTTCAGCTAGTTGAATAACTCTTATAAATTTATCCCTTCTAATATGATGGACAACAGTACTTTGTTTTCAGCTGCAACTTTAGTTACAAAAAAGTTATAGAATTAAGTCATTTCTTATCAATTTTCTACCTTTATCAATAGCTCATCTCAATGAAAGGCAATGGTTATTTTTTCCCTGGAAATGGTAATGCATAAAATAGTATAACTCAGTTAAAATGGGTGGTTGCAGTAAAAATGAGCTAGTACTTCTAAACATTTCAAAAAATGCCCTACAATTTAAAAAAAATCCCAAAAATCTAAAATAATGTCCTAAAATGAAAAAAAATATATATATATAAAAATATGCCCTAAAAGAGCAAAAAAGAGAAAAACTAAAAATAAATTAATAACAATATCATCGAGATCCGAGTATTAGAAATTTCATGAATAATTAAAAAACTAGAAATTCACCTGGGTTTGATTTAACAGAAGTAGAATGTTGCACAGTTTCTTTCGCGTGGCTTTTTCCAAACATACTATCAATCAAATTATCAGCATTCATACTCCCTTTTTTACCAGCTACAGTGAACTGTTTAAGCCTTTGTTGTTGTAATTGGAAGTTCCTATCTTTTTCCATTTTTCTTTGTTGCTCTAGCAGTTTAGATGGATCAATCGCTGATGTTCTACACATAAAAGCAAATTACAAGTTGTAAAAATAGCAATTTTAATTATGCAATGATTCAAGAAAAAAAAATTTCTAATTATCTTTAAATAGATATTTATGCTAAAAGTAACAAATATAAATTTTATACATAAATAATGCACACATGAACAATTTTACAAACAAATTCAGTGCAAACTTATTAGTTATCTGCAATGCTAGCAAAATTTACAACAATAAGACAGAAAAAGAATTCTTAAAACTTGATCATAGTCTATCCATATAAAGTAATAACAATAAAAATAGCCACTACATATTTCAAAAACAAAACTTAATTTTTTAAATTAACACTTACCTATTCCCAAAGATTCTAAAAAGAAGAAAAATTATTNAAATTTCTGTGAACTAGGAGTTGACTGTAAGTGAGTTAAGAAAAAAACAACAATACATTTGAATAAAGGAAGGGGTACTGTGGATTTATTTCTTAGTTTTGTCGTTTAGATTGTTAAATCGATATAACCTAATATCGTGATATAAAAGGGTTGACTATATCGATTTAAGAAATTTCTATATCGTCCAGCCCTAATGGGGGGGGAGGGCAATGCTTAGTAGATAGGGAAGACATTAATCTTAAAAAAATTTATATATATACTTTTTGGTTAATTTCTTTAAGGATAAATGATGTCTATAAATTATTGGAAAGGTTTCTTTAACCTGTAACTCCTTATTAAAACACAAAAACTATGATTAAATATCATAAAATACAGCTTAGAAAAAAAAAATTAATTTAAAGTTCAGTTCAAAATGTTATAAACCAAATTACAATTTTAATCAAATTTTAACAAATCAAAAAATGTATAAAAATTAAGTAGTTTCTCTTTCATATATCTTTGTAGACTGCAACACATCAAGACAGGTCTAGATTTTTCCCAAACACTTGTTGACTCTGAATTGTAATGATAATGTCAAACTTGAATTCATAAAGTAAAGCCTGTGTAGGCAAAGACAAAATCTTTGATCCACAAGAAAAACTCAGCACTCTTATATCTAGTGATTTTGAAATTTAATGATCTTAGCCTCTGTCATACAATTTTATTTATTTATTTTTTTTTGAGAAAATCTTTTTAATGTTTACTTTAAAAATATGTAATATTTTTCATAAGCTTTTTTTTTTAATCAAAGAAGTTTTAACACAGGTACTTTTTTTAAACACAGGCAATTATTATGGACTACATTTAAGTGTAGAATAATTAGTAAAATATTATATTATTAATGAGAACTAGAATAACTATTAATTCATAAAATTTTTAGTATTCTTTAGCCTATTTATTTTACCAAAAAGAAAAAGTCAAGAGTACGAAGTAAATCTGAGGAAAAGTGCTTTGAATTTTAAAAATTAAAGGACAAAACCCTTTAACTTAAAAAACTTATTAAAAACACTTAATTACTGTTTAGTAAACTTCAAAAAGAGTTTTAATACCAATTTAAAAAAATAACAAATCCAATAATGAAAAAGTAGTATGAGATAAATAAAAAATAATTCTTACACAACTCCGGTTCCTGCAGGCATTTGACTTGCATGCATTTGAGAAGCAAGCACAGGTGCTCTTGGAATTTGAGCAACAGGAATGTACATACCAGGCATAGTTGGTGGAACAGCACCTACCATAGACATTCTATTCTGAACATTCTAAACAAAAGAAAAAAACTATAATAAATAATCGCATTTATATAGATGCTAAATGAAAATCGAATGCTAAAACATAACAAGACACTTCAACCAAATCTTAGTACCTATGGGCCATCTAAAATGAAGTCACAGAAAGTTAGTGACAAGTGGCAAGGTTAACAAAGAAGTATGATATTTCTTAATTTTACAAAAATAAATTTGTTGAAGAATATTTTGTGTTCAGAATGAAAATATAGATTTAAAAAAAATATCTAATTATATATTAAATTTTAAAATGCTATAGTTTTCACTTTTTTATAAGGATGCCCACAGGGGCTACCAAAAGGAACAATTCGCCATAGTTATTCTTGGAGAGAGGGTACAATTTTTTTCTAAATATTCTATACAATTTTTTAGTTTTAAAACTGTAATTTTGATTTAAGGAATATTTTTGATTATTTAAGGAGGCATTTTTAAATATTGGGAGGGGGATAATTGTTCAATTCTTTTCGATTGGGGGATATTTTGCTCCTTTTTTTCACAATTTTTCAAGTTTCGTTTCACAATATTAATTTTTTTCTGAAAATAATATTTTACAAAATATTTCAAACCATGAATCAAACTGAGATAGCTCAGTTATAGACAAAAAAAATTATGCGTTTTTTAATTGTTTGCAAAAATGAGGAAAGAGAGAGTTTGAGAGGGCAGTCCCCATCAGCTTTGCACCTTGTTCTTTTATATATCACTATTGTATAATAAATTAACTAAATTTTTTGCAGTAATTTTTAATCATAATTTTTTTAACGAAATGTCATTAAAACCCATAGCAAAAGTTAAAAAATAAAATTTGTAATATGATCTATGATATATTCTTGTTTCTGAACTGCAAGTTACATGTTAACATAGTTATGGCATGTGACAAGGATAGTAGGAAGATGATCAACAGTAACACTGTATGATAAAAGAAAAAAAAGATTTTTAAAAAATCCAAAAAAAATTTGAAAAAAATTATTACATCAAATAATACTATTCATTTTCCCTAATTTTAATATTTATGCATATTTTAAATAAAACAGTAACTCACTGAAAGCTGATTATATGCAAGATGAGATATGAACTGGGGATGAGGTTGAGCTGAAATCAAACCATAAGGATTTGGATGTACTGGATAAGCAACAGAAGGGACACCTGTCTGAGTAACAGGTGTAATCATTCTTCCACCAGGCATTGTTGGCGGGCAGCCAGTTAGAGGTCTGTAAAATATTAACTCAGCTTTAGAGTTAAAGCTTATTTATTTTTGAAATCACAAAAAAAAATTATTTAAACATACATGAAAGGGAAACAAAACAGACAAATAATAATTATAATTTAAATATATTAAAAAGATGTAAATCAATATGAACATAGCTTATAAAATGACCATAATACATTAACCATAATAAATTATCATCATATACAAGAAAAGCTTACTGTCTCCCTCCCCATTGACAAAAAGTTTAAAAGAATTTTCTAAAAACAATTTAAAAATAAAATTAACAAATTTAAATATATTTTAAGTAATTTGTATATTGAATTTAATACAATTTCTTAAAACACATCATGAACCCAAAATACATAGCCACTTCTTTTAATAACACCTGTCAAACCTTCTCATATAAGCAGTTGGATTATTAAAATCTCATTTACTGGTCTATTAGAGATTGGCATTATATCTAAATGCCATAGATGAGGGAAGGGCTTATTTCCTTCTGAAACTTATAGTGCTGTATCATTATATAAATAAATTGTAATAAATATCACTTAGAAAAAAACTTAGCTGTGTATACTAAACACCACTTTTATTTGCTTTCTAATAAAAAAGTTTGTTAACTTTAAACCTCTTAAATTCTTTGATCTTTAAAGACATTTATCCATTTAAGAGTATTAGTATTTTTATTTCAAATTAGCAAAAGACAACATAAATTAAGATTAGGGATGCAACCAATAGTGATTTGCCGGTATTCGGCCAAAATAATCAGAGGAATATCGAATATTCGGTGGTTGAATAACAACATTCCAAACAAAATAATAATAATGAATACATATTATTTTATATATATAATTAAGTTTAGTCATTACTGAAAAATAATCAAAACTTAGCTGTATTATTGGTATGGGGCAAAAACAAAAATTTAATAGAAATGTTTAAGATAATAAAGATAATTAAAACTATTTAAAATAAAATTAAAAAAACTAACTGTTAAAAAAAAGTTTTAAAAAAGTTTGAAAAGTTAACTTTTTTACACTGCCAGATTTTTATCAAAGACTAACTATAAAAGAATAATGTTCATTAGAAAAGAAACACTCTTTAAAAAATGCTGCCATAGTAAAAACAGTCATAAAAAGAAAAGTTAATGAGAAAAATAAAAAGAGAAACAGAAAAAAAATTGTTTTTTGATTTTGAAATATAACCTTAAAAATCACAGTTTTCTCTGCTACTAGTTATCTGTCTTACCGTACAAGAAAAAAGCGACAATAAAAGAATAAAATCTATTAGAAACACTCCATTAACACGCGTTGCTCGCTTTAAATAAAAACGGGGAAAAAAATCTCATTTTTAAAACATAAAGAGTTGAAAAAATGATTAAATTGACTTGCTTAAGTATAATTAAAAAAAGAAAAAAATAAGCATTGCAAAACTCGTGGTTCAGTATAAAGTAATCTAATTTCAATTTTTCAAATTTCACTTTTCCAAGCGTCTTTCAGAACATAAATTAACAAGCTTCAGAACTTTACAAATCTGTGCAAAAACTATTTCTAATAATGTATAGTAATATATATGATTTGAATTTATTCTTAATTAAGTCTATTCAGGTCCCCCCCCCCAAAAAAAAAATAACTTTGTCGAAAAATAACTTTACAAACAATATTTCTTTGCAGAATATTTGGCCAACCAAATATTCAGCAAAAGAGCCGAATAAGGAGAATACCATTACACCCCTAATTAAGATACTTTACAAAAATATAATTTATCACTTTTTGTAATACTGAAACTTTCAATTTTAAGCCAATTTCAGAGACAGTGGGGCAAAAACTCTTATAGATCTTCTTGATAAAAATATCGGTCTTAATTTTTCTACTATCCCAAAGGTTAACAGAGGATAAATTTTGGTAAAAAATTTTAATATATTTTTAAGCTCTACTTGTAACACGAAACTCATTTACTTGTTACTGAATTTCTTCGTGTAGTGCACTTCCAGTTATGCTTTTTTTTTAAAAAAAATTAAAAGCAGGGGTCTGTCTATATTTTTCTGAGTGGTACCTATTTTGTGAAAATTCAGATATAATTTGTCAAAAATTAAAAATTATACTGAAGAATCAACACAAAAATATGGTAAAAATATGGATTTATCGTTTCTTAAGGGATACAAAAATAAAATTTTAAGAAAAAGTATTTTGTGAAACTATCGTTTTTCGTAAAATTGAATTTGTGAAACTACCGTTTTTTCTAAAGTTGAATTTGTGAAGGTACCGCTAAACGGTAGTAAATTAGGCCTAGGCAGACCCCTGAAAAGGCTCCTTTGTATATTTTACAAAGTTCAATCTTTTCAAATAGTCAAATAGTATTTTTTTTTAAATCTCAAATCTGTTACAAACTATAACTTCATGGGAAAAAATAATTGTACAAACAACAAAGGCTTAACAAATTAATAAAAGTGGACAGATTTCTGTATTATGATCTGCAATAAAATAATCCGAAATCTTGCCAAATTCCAGGCCCTGGCCAGGGAGTAACTAAAAAATACATCACAGAAGGGGACCAATTCGAAACTCATACCAACTCCCTGCCGCTACATGTTTTTAGTTTTTTTAAAAAAATTTGCAATTTTAAAATCTATTTAGTGCCTTGACAATTGTAGTTGGCGTGACAAATCATGATACAGAAATATCCCTATAAAAGCCAAATTAGAAAAAGGAACAAAAGAGAACAGCATCTAAAGCATTTAGAAAAACTGCTTTGAACCATTTCTAAATTATGGTTAAGTTTATGTAGTATTAAGTATATCAGCTATTATAACTATGATAGCTAAAATCTGCATTTTAAAATCCGGATCCATCTTTTAGTGTTTGAATGCCTTGGAAATTTTTGTGTTTATTTTTGGTAAATGGTATGATGTATATATATGTGGCATATCAACCACTATAAATATTAAATACCAATTCTCTAGTATATAAGACTTGTTAACTTGATTGCATCTTGAGGTACCTTTTGATAGATGAAGGTTGACTTAGTCGATATTTAAAGCTCCACATATACATTACATAAACTTCTTGTTTAATAGCTACAATCGCTATAACAAAATTAACAAATAATGAATAAAAGAAATTAGACTTGTTTCTCATATTCTTATTTTTTTAAACACGAAAATTCAAAAACTTAAGTAAAATCAATTAATAATCCCATAAATACTTTCCAATAATCTGAGAAGAAAATAAATTTAATTTACTTCAAGAAAAAAGTAAATCCCAACTCAGGTGATACAATATTTATTGCTAAAGCATCAAACCAAGAAAAAATTTTGGAATATGAGGAAAAGAATCTGGTTCAAAATCGAGAAAATTCTAAGAAAATAGTCTAAAATAGAAAAAAAATCACAAACCTATTTAGATCTGACATTTAAATCTCCTATGTACTTCTGTGTGACAAGCAAAGAACAGAACATCAACAAAAACAAAGTACATTTTGAAACGAAGAAAGTGCAAAGAGAGCTTGACAGTCTCCTTTTAACCTAATCAAAATGTTCAATGTGACTTGCTTAAATTTGGTTGGTCTTCCTGTGGTAAGAATATCACTTTCTATAATGGAAAATAGATTTTTTCGATATTTTTATATTCAGTGGCAATGGTATTTCGCATTATACAGAGCCAGTAATACTTCTACTTCAACTTCCAAACGCCGGACGAAATTTTGTCTGAAATTTTCAATTTTTCTCCATAAATTTAAATCCTTTATCATTTAATACATTTTCATATAAATATTCGTAAACATGTCGATAAAATATATACACTAAGTATAGAGATCAATCGTATTCAAAACACAGTTTTTTTAAGAAAAGTTTTACTCTTTGATCTTGTTTTAAGGTAGTAAAAAAATCTTTGTGATTGTTAGAGTAATTTAAAGTCATCTCAGACAAAATTTATAATTAATTTTAAAATGCCAATCTATATTTGAACAAAACTGTTTCGTTTGATGATGGTATCTGTGCCATCTGTTTAAAAAAATAATAATAATAATGATTTGTTTACAATTACAGCCAAACAAAATATTTTTAAACTCTGTCTTTATTTTCATATGAAAACGCAATTAAAAGATGTAATTCATTTTATTGAAAGATAAATACTAGCAGTGTAGCAATATAACAGTGTAGCTATTTATTTCGTACACTTATAATTTGTTTTCATCCATTGAATTTCCTCTATTTGCTAGTGTATTAAAAAAATTTCATACACATTAATTTTCTGACTTTTACTTAAAACTCATAACTAAGTTTCACTTAGTACTTGGTGCTATGAAAATAAGTTTTGAATAATTGTAACATATACTATCAATATATGTTTAATTTGTTGTTTTTATTTTTCAGTCGTATTTTGGAGCACTCTTTATTTAATTTGTTTAATAGGTATATATTTATAATCTAGTCATACAAATTTGTGATTTTTTTTTAATTAAAAAAATATGTAGGATTTCTAGTTGAAATTTAAGTAAAGTAGTTGTCAAGCAAGTGGCTGTATAACCTATTTAAATTTAAAATTTTATTAATTTAAATATAAGTTTATACTTTTGAGCAACATACATTATATTTCATTATTTTTATTTTTTTAATTCATTTTATCATATGAAAATATTATATTCATATGAAAGAGTTAACTTAAAAAATTGAAAAGTTTATTTATAGAAATATCAATAAACTTATTTTGAGATTTTAAAGACTGGTTTCTTGTACAACAAACAAAACACTATTTTTTTTTTTCATGGTTGTAGGCTTGAATAGTTGTTTTTAATATTAAGAATAATTTTAATTTTACTGTTATTTGAAAACAACCCACTATTCACTTTTCTTATTAGATTGTGTAATTGTTTACTGACATATTTGATTACACAATTATCATAGCATAATAAATTTTTTAGATACTGTTTAATATTATAATATATTTTCTAATAAATAATTTACAATAACTAATTTTACAAAAGTTATAATACAAATATTAATAATTTATATACCTATTTTAAAAAAAGATTTAAATATTCATGTAAATGTATTTTAAATAAAATATTAATACATGTCATTTTATTTCTATCTAATAAAGTATTATTTAAAAAGTGTTTTATTTTTTTTAAAGAAATCCTTTTTTTTCAATTCATTGGAAAAAGATTTTTTGATATTAACTCTTAACGGACCAATATAAACTTGAATAGTTGTTTTTAATATTAGGAATGATTATAATTTTACTGTTATTTGAAAACAACCTTTATTCACTTTTCTTATTAGATTATGTAATTGTTTACTGACGTAAATGATTACATAATTATCGAATCATAATAAATTATTAAGATACTGTTTACTATTATAATCTATTTTCTAATAAATCATTTATAATAACTAATTTTATAAAAGTTATAAAATTATTGATAGTTTATATGGCTATTTTAAAATTTTTATAAACGATTTAAATATTGATGTAAATGTATTTTAAATAAAATATTAATATATATCTTATTTAATAAATTGTTATTTAAAAAGTGTTTTTTTTTTTATTTGAAAAGAAATCCTTTTTTTTAATTCATTAAAAAAGCTTATTTAATAACTCTTAATAGATCAATGTCGGCATAAAAGCTATATGGCACTTTCACTTACTGGGACAAAATGCCAAATCATTTGGCGACAAACCAGTTTATTATTTTCATCATTCTCATAATTACAAATAATTTAATTATGAATTTATTATTTATATTATGCAAATTGTCCTGGGATGTAAACTTGAAATACTTCCGGACCGTTAATAGTTAAACTGTATTTTAAAAATGTAAGCTATATGTTAATTTGAAATATATATTTTTTTTAGTATACATAAATTGCTTTAGTTTAAAGATATATAAATAATTATAAATTAATATTTTTTAGAAAATAAGAGACATGACTAACACTGCCCAGAAAACTCCCATCAGTCTTCTTCAAGAATTATGTGCACAGAAAGGAATGACACCAGACTATAAACTCATGTCTGTTGAAGGGGCAGTTCATGCACCTACTTTTATGTACAGGGTTAGTGTCAATGAGATAATTGCATCTGCCACTGGACAAAGCAAAAAGAAGGCAAAGCATGCTGCTGCAAAAGCTGTTCTTGAAAAGCTGCTTTCAGAAGAAGGTGGTTTTAAAGAAGGTTTTGTTTCTGATAATGTGACTGTTAATGCAGAATCTTTGAATGAAATTATTTCGTAAGTATCTGCAAGTAATAATTTTGAAATTTCATAAATTATTTATGATTGCAAATGGAACATTTTACAGAACCAAATTTGTTATCTACAGCTTTTTTATAGTGATATTTTTTAAAATGCCAATGAACTGTTTAAAAAGGAAACCAGGAAATTACACACATTTTTGTTAAAAAAAATCCATGAAACATTAAATATAATAATGTAAAGGTTACTTTAATAGGTGAATATTGAGTGAAATAAATCTTCCTGGTTTTCAATGAACATCAATTAATTGTTATTTAAAATACTTTCAAGTTATAAATGTTTGAAATCCAAATTATTGCATTGTTGCTTAACATTTTAGACTTATTCTTTCAAAGTTTTGGCATATGAAAAAATTTTAAAGCAGCATTGTAATTTTTTTACTCCCAAAACTAGAAAAATTTTACTAAGAAAAACTGATGTCTTTTTCTAATCTAACATTTGCTACTAAAACTTTGGATTTAAGTTTATTTGCATTGAAATCATATGATCGAAACTTTCAAAATTGAAGACTTAATACCCTATCTTCACTTGTTCAATGTCTTTGATTTTAATATTTGCTGCAACTAAAAGTTATCATTTTCATAGGGAACCACTAGCTGTCCCCATTGCTGAAGAAAACGCTGCCGATAATCCTGTAGGAGCATTACAGGAGCTTTGCATGAAACAAAGGTGGCAACCACCTTATTATGAGACTGAAAAAGCTACTGGACTTCCTCATGAGAAAGTATTTTCTATTCTCTGTATGGTTGACAAATTCACAACTTCTGGTAAGAGATGTTTATTTTATTATATTTTTTGTTCTTTTTTTTTCTACTTTGTAACTTTCAATAAACTGAATTTTTTTCGCAAAATTATCATTACATTTATTTTTTCTATTTTTTGTTTTCCATAATGTAAAACAAAGAAATCACAAAAATATATTACTTATTTATTTTTAGATTAAATTTTCAGTTTTTTAAATACAGTCAAACCTCAACCTATCCTTTCTGCATCTTTCACTTTCCCGTATATGTAGGGTTCGTACAGACTCCTTATACTCCTTGGAAATAAAAAAGTCTCCAAGTAGTACTTGGAACTACTTAGATTTCCAAATTACTTCTCAGAAACTCCTTAAATTATTGTGTTATAAAAATGAACTTACTAAGTATGGTGATGAATTTGCTATCCAAGCTGGGAAACTAAATGACCACATATTCCATGAAACTGACTTTGCTTGACTATTAGATTTTGACTTAGCTGTCAAAATCTAATAGTTTAAGAACTTTAAAAGAAAAAAAAATTGAATTGCAAGAGTTAGAAGAAAAAAATTACAGCAAATAGTTTTACTTTTTTTGTATAAAATTTTTTAGATTTTCTTATGTATTTAAATTATAAGATTAGTAGGTTTTTATGGTAATCTTTTACATCTGTACTTTAACAAGATTGATTAAAATATTTGAATAAAAATTAATATAAAATTAACTTTATTTATTTTTCTTGATGAAGTTTAACAAAGTCGAAATTTATTTCAAAAGGGCTAGAAAAAAATATCTTATGCAAAATATACATTTTTGTAAGCTCTTTATAATAACTGCCTTTTAATTTTTAAAAAAAAAACTGTTTAGTTATCTTTTACATAAAGTGTTTACATTTTTGATAAGTCCTTAAATTTTTCGACTCCTTGGATACTCCTTGGATTTCTTCTTCTGATGTCTGTATGAATCCTGCGTATCTGTCATCTTGTGACAGCTCCATCACAAATGCTATTCTTATAATGTTAATATCCTTTTTGATCGTTTTTTAAACTACCAGATTACTGTCCCTATCGTTCAAAAATTCTACAGACATTTTCCAAAAATATTGATGCTAATTTGCTTTGAGAGGAAGAACTGTAAGTCCTGATGCTAATGATGAAGAAGTAAATGAGGATTTTTTACAGAGGAGGAAAACGTCATATTTGATGTTCATGCATCAGTTGATGAAAATGTTGAAGCTTGTGGTATTAACCTCTGGAAAAATGGTTGCTGAAGCTTAAAGAAGTGCAATGTGATACTGAAGAAAACGATGGATTTAACCACAATAAAGTTTTCAGCATTTGAAACAATAAGGAACTTTTTGTACTCATAGGAACTTGCAAGAAATGATCGGCAATTTGTTGCAAATTTCGAAAATTTATTGTTTGCACTAAAAAGAAAAGATTGTGTTCAAACTAAAATTTCCAAATAATAAGTAAATGTGTTCCGTTTTATCTATTTTTCAATAGTCAAAATTTATGCATTAAGTGTATAATTTTGTCAATTAAAATTTTTTAGACTAATTATTAAGTTATTTTCAAATCCATTTCTTCTTTATAGTTATCCATATATTTTTCTGTCATTATTCTATATTTTAAGTTGACCTAGTTAGTTGAATGGTGCTTTGGAAAACAATCGAGGTTCTGCTGTATAAATATATTATATTATTAAATCTCTTATTGTCATAGAAATACTATTAAAAATAAATAATGTTAGAAAAATCTTAATATTTAAGTTCTACTGTATAAATATATTCTATTATTAAATCTCTTATTGTAATAGAAACAAACAATGTTAGAAAAATCTCAATTTTTATAGGTGAAGGAAAGAGTAAGCGGCTTGCAAAAAGACAAGCGGCTGATAATATGCTGAAAAGATTGACTGAATTGAAAGTCATTTCTCCTGATGAAGAAGAAGCTGTAAAGGTGAGATTATTTTAAATTGCTGAATCTAATTCGCCAGCATTGTACATGATGTCCTACTCATGATTTTTACCTTCTGTAATTTCTACTTTAAATGCATGTTTTTTTAAAAAAAATTTTAATGTGTTGTTCATTTTTAAACATTAGTAAGCCATGAGTTTGTGCATAGTTTTTACTCTTTCTGGTTTTAAGTTTAACCGTTTAATTCCCAGAGTTGACATGATTTAAATCACTTGTTCTTTTTTAATTCTGAATCATTATATCAGTATGTTCTGATATTCTTTAAAATCCAATTTCATTGACAATGAAGATTTATGCAGAATATAATCGAATGCATAGCATTTTTAAGTAGCTTTTAAAGATGCTTATTTTCGATTTTCATTTTTTAAAGCCTTTAAAGGTGCTTTTAAAAAGTGCTTAACTTTTAACGATTGTTGCCATAAATTTTGCAAAAAGTTTATTCTTATCTCGCCCCGCCCTATTTTAGGGCATACGAGAGTTGATAAATACACAAATGATACCTTAAAAATACATAAATCTCTAAAAGTTACATCAACAGTGAATATAAAAATCTGAATATCTAAAATAATGTTCAGTACAATTCTATAAAACAAGTTAAAACCAAATAAAATAATAAAGTAGTAAAAAGGTTAAAAAAAAAAAAAAAAAAAACACAAAATCACCCAAAAACCAATAAATGTTAAAACTTTGCAGGAACATGCAAAACAGTGATAAAATATAGAAGTTAAAATTCGATAAAGAGGTTAAAAGGCAGAACAAGTTAAGAATCAAAACAATCAGTTAAAAGTTGATAAAAACAATGCTTGTTAAATTAAAAATTTATAAAAACAATACAAGTTAAAACGTAGAGAAGTTTAAAATGAAATTAGATAGATACACAAGACACCAGCAATAGTGTTCGCAGGCTCCGAGCATAGTTAAATGTGGTTCAGAGTGTCCTCCAATGTTACCTTTATAATTTGTTTAACTATGTTTCTACAGACCAACTTAGCAAAGCATTGGTGCAAATTTTGTCCTGCAAAATGGTTTCCACGGAGTGTCTGGAAGTGTGGGCAGTTCAAGATCAAGTGTTCGATTGTCTGATTGTCCCCACAGTAGGTACAATTTGGGTTTTTATTGAAAAGTCTATTTTGGTATTCTCCAAACACCCCGTGTCCAGTAAGTAATTGGTTTAGGTAAAAGTTGGCCTGTAGTCGTTTGGTGGAAGGGTCTTTAAAAAAAATATAGGTTTGTCGACCTCTCTCGGAGCTCTGCCATTCTGTTTTCCATCTATTTAGGTTGTTGGACTTGATGATTGTTTTGATCTGGGCCTTGGAACTTGGGACCTCTAAATTGATTTGGCTGAGACTGACGGCTTCCTTGGCTGCCTGATCCGCCTCCTCGTTGCCTAGGATACCAATGTGCGCCCTGACCCAGTTACATGTGATGTTTGGTCTCCATAGTTGTTTAGTATTTTCTGTCTCTTTGTTATTTGGAGTTGGGTCACTTAGGGCTTGCAACGATGAGAGCGAATCAGTGAAAAGAGTGGCGTCCGGGTAGTCATTTTTAGCCAGCCAATCAAATGCACTTTTAATTGCCATCAGCTCAGCCATAAAAATACTGCAATTGTTGGAGAGTCTAATGGAGTCCGCTTTAATGATTATCCCATTTCTCTTGATGATAATTCCATAACCGGTCTTGTGCTTTATCCTACTTCCATTATCGGTCTCTTCGGCGAACTCCACTCTTGAACCATCCGTGAAAATTTCCAACCCCTCATTAGTGGGGAGTGACCTACCCCAAGGCACCGAAACAAACTTTGAGGGGTGTTGCCTTACTGGTCGTTGTTCCAGTGCAATCGAGTCCAGAGAGTGGCCCAAAACTATTTCCAAGTCAGCCAACCCCCAGCCCCAGGTCAATCTTTTTGTGCTGATATCTTCAAGAATCTTTAAGTGAATAGGTATCACTCCCGCCAGTATCTGGAGGGCCTCCGTACTTGTAGTAGAGTAGGCTTTTGTTATGGTAATCAAGGAGGATCTCTGAATGGATTTAAGCTTGTCATTGATTTTTGTATTATTGCGATACCAGACACTGGCGGCGTAGAGTATAATTCTTTCGGTCGCCCTGAGGTAGATGATTTTTAAGATCGATGGTTTGAGGCCCCAAGTGGCCCTGGCCACCCGTCTGATGAGGTTGTTAAAATTGTTCACTCTCTCTTTGATCTGATTTAAATGGGGTATCCAGGTCAGGCCCGGGTCGAGCACAACACCGAGATATTTTAGCTCCCTGACTTGCTTAATTGTTTGGCTATGATTGACACTCATTTTAATACGTGGGTGTCTGCCGATTCTTTTTTGGTTCTTAGGGAATGTTAGGCAATTAGTTTTTGAATCACTGAAACTCAGTCTGTTTGACTCGGCCCAGGCTGAGAGATGAGTGAGACAATGGGTAGCCAGCAGATCAAATCTATACAGTATCTGGTGTCTCAAGAGAAGTAAAATGTCATCTGCAAAAACAATCAGTCGGCTGTCATCTTTTTTAAAATCGCTAAAACCGCTAAAATCAATATTGTTAAAATTGTTAAAAATCGTATTGACATATACCAACCACAGCACCGGTCCCAGGGAAGATCCCTGCGGAACCCCCAACGACGTATCTTGTTTAAATAGGCACTGACCTTCTTCATCTATATATGTAACCTCTCTATTACTTAGGAAACTCATGATAATGCTGACAATATTATCTGGAAGGTCAAGTTTAAAAATTTCGGACTTCAAAATCGACCAGTTTGCATTATTAAAAGCATTATTAATGTCCAGAGCCACCCCTATGCTGTGTTTGTTGTTTGCTTTAGCCTCCTCAACAAATTTGACCAGCTCCAACAATGCGTCGTAAAATAATATAAATTTTGCAAAAAGCTAAATTTTCACACATTTTCTGTACACATTGTACATATAACATGTTCTGTACATTTTTACATTTTATTCCACAATCCCTTTCGGCGTACCCTAGTGTACAAAAATGTTAATCATTTAACATGTTGGATGAATTACTTATGAGTCCACATGCTACACTGCTGCATTTTGCTTGAGATTCCCAATTTCAAGCTTCATCTCTCGCCCTCTGAAATCGAACTTAAAACCTTTAGATATTTTCTGATCATGGGAACCAACTAAGCATTGCCCAAGTTTTCAACTTTAGCAACAATAAAAATTTCTTGTTAATTTTTTTTGCTGGTGAAGCGCCATTGTTTTTGCAATTGCCAAGTTAAGAATTTCTCACACTGTTCTATATCTAAATCAGAATCACGATCTTGACTTGGGGATTATTCTCTAACTATGTATTTTCATCAGATAATTTTTTAATTTGGAAAGATTTTGTCAGAGGAAGCATCCCCTAATTGTATAAAATATTTTAAATTTTTTTATATTGTAGTGTTATTGTGCTAAATTATTAAAATTTTCACTGATCCTGAGTTCTTTTATGACGAAAAAAAATCTCAGCAATTTTTAAGGGCTAGGTTGTTAAAAAATATGAAGTGAATTATTTTTCACTATTTTAACATTTAGCAAATGCAGTAAAAAATCTTATGATGTTCAGCTTTGTCACTTCAGAAAACTGTAACTCATCTCTTTATCATTTGATTAGAAACAATTGAAATGAAAAACGGATTTGCTTTAACAAATCTGAGATTTGTTAAATAGAGACCATATAATAATTTACTTGTGACAAAAAAGTTTAACTTCAAATACTTATAGTATTTACAATGCAAAATTATTAAAATTCTTTTCAGTCAAGCCATTAAAGAAATACTGAATCAAATAAAGGTTTTCTAAGTTTGATTAATTTTTTACACATCTATGATCAATAATATTATCAATAATATTAATCTTGTATATGTTTTTCGTAAGTGCACTTTTATGATTAATTTTTATTAAAATCTGAAAAATACACCTAATAACAATAACTTTGCAAAAGTAAAGTTAAACTAGTTGTAATTCTGAATTTTTTTTTTTTTTTTTTTTTTTTTTTTTTTTTTTTTTTTTTTTTTTTTTGCTTACTGGAAAAAAAGTAATTATTACTTTAAAAAATAAAATAAACAACTCAAAATGGAATAGAGCCATTTTAAAAGCAATTTGTAGTATTTTTATTAACTGAGAGTGAATTTTTGATTATGTAATTTACTAATTTACTAACATGTCAACGGATTTATTGATCTGATCTGACTCAATCAGACCAGATGGGAATTAGCAACAACAACTAATTTAATAACAAAATTATAATTAATTGTTTGTACTAACCTTTCCTGCATTGCATAAAAATTGTTTTAATTTTTTAACTTAAATATTCTACATTTATAATTTCTTTTATCCTTTTTTATATTTACAGAAGTTTGAAGAATTAAAAATATATGAAAAAGAAGATCCAGATAGCTGCCAAACAAATCTGCAGAAGACCTACTCCAAAAATGTTTTAAAATTCCTGAAAGATTTGAAAACTTCAAACAGTTCTTTCCTTCTTGCTTTACAAGATATTGATCTCCTAGATCCAAATTTGGATTGCACTAAATTGTTACAGAATATTGCTGCAGAGCAAAACTTTGATGTTCACTATATTCCTATAGAACAACAAGGCAAAAATGGTAAGTTATAAACAAATTATTAAGTATTCTCTATGTACAGAAATGCATATTATCATTCACATGGCTCTTGAAATACAATAAAAATTCAAATTTTTGAGTCTGGACTATATGGGAGAGTGGTTATCGACAATGTCAACCTTCAACTATGAAAAGGTACCCCATCATAGATTCGAGTTAACATGTCTTATATACTAGTGAATTGTAGTTGTAATTTTGTAGTGGTACCCTACAGTACTCCCCCACCAGAATTATAGCTGTGAGAGAATTCGATGGACGGATACCACTAGTTGATTCATTGCTGTTTTGTGAGAGGCCAGGACAGCTGTATTAAGATCACCATACTTTTTTTTTTAGTGCTGAATGTGAGAGCTGTATTAACTTCACGGTCGTAGTCGCTCCTGTGTTGCCGTTAGCAGTCTAGTGTATGCAAGCCGACGTTGTGCTTTGTTACCTTCTAGAGTTTTCAATTACGATCTAAATTTTTTTTTATTTTATTCATGTAAAAAAATGTTGGTTTGAGAATTAAGCTCTAATTTAATTAGGCTTAAGCTCCGTTTTTGACTGTGTTTTCATTAATCACTGGAGAAAATAATCCTATATTTTTGTAATCTCGTGCATTACTCGGATTTCTGGCTTTTCTTTTTGTAATAATGTTTTATATATATATATACATAAAATTGAAAAACCACACAGATTTAATGATAAAATTGTTGCAAAATCAAGCTAATGTGATCAAAAATTGAAAGGTGATTACTCATTAGCGCAATTTGAGATACAAAAATAGTAATTCGTGTAATATATCTGTTTTAGAAAAATCTTGATTTTTAAACTTTTTTAGAAATCCATGGGTGTAATTGCGGAAAAAGTTATCAAAAAACATGTGAGCTCAAATGTGAACAAAATTGGCACATAATTGAACCTTTGCATCTAAAAGTTATTATTTAATCAAATGCTCGATTCAAAATTCATTTACCATACCCTGGATTTCAGAAAAACATTTAGAGATCCGTTACAATAATTGCTGAAAAACCACATGCGTTTACAATGTAATTGGCACAAAATCAAACCTACTGAAAGTTGAACACCGTAAAGCACAATTCGAAATTTCTATTACATAATATTTTAGGCAAATTAATTATAACTGTCCGCAGCAATCATATAAACTTTGTGCAGCACTTGTTGTCTCAGAATTTTTCTCGATCCTTTTTCAGGTCTCGTAAACTCATAAGTTTTAAAGAAGTTTGCGTCCCAATTTATAAATTTTAGTGAAAAAGAAATAAGCTATGTTATACCTTGTTGCGTGTGACTGCAAATTTTCAGATATCATATCAAGCTTGAAAGCTTTTGATGAAAATTAATTTCTCAGGCATCTGTTATTAACACAACTGATAAAGAATTTCCCATGCAAGACCAAATCAGGTACTTATGTTCGAAATATAAATATGTAAATATTCTGTAAAATAAGGCTAATTATTTTGATATTGAATACTTATGGACATATCAAAAACATAGTTTCTCTGAATAAACATTTTTTTTTTTTTTTTTTTTTTTTTTTTTTTTTTTTTTTTTGGAGTGATTTGGATTTCTGACTCTGAAAATATGGGGGAGTAACCACAATCTGGGAAATATGGTCCCCATAGTTTGGTCTGGAGAGCAATCCAACATCTGGACCCCCTAAAGTTAATTTTGCTTTTGTGTATTTCGCCGTATCTTGAGAACATATAAAGCAAATTGAAACGTTTTCACACAATTTTAAAATTCTTTTTTCCAAAGATAGTTCCATCAAAAAAATACATTTTACTAAATATTTATTATTATTTTATTTGATAATAATTAAATAAAATTTTGAATTGTAAGGTATACAATTTCTTGCATCATTTTAAAGTATGAAAGTTTACATGACAAAATACAAAATTTTAGTGAAGTCGGTCAATCAGTTCCTGAAAAATTGAGTTTTAAATGTACGACTTCTTTAAAATTCGATTTCTCAGGAATTATTTGACCCATTTTGTACAAATTTTATATCTTGCCATGCAAAATTACGTATTTTAAAATTATGTAAAAAAAAATTTACATTTCAATTCAAGATTCTTTTGTAATAAAATAATAAAAAAAATTAAATATTTACTAAAATTTATTTTTTGCATGGAATTGTCTTTGGATAAATGAATTTTGTAATTGTGAGCTAAAATTTTTCAATTGACTTTAAAAGCTCTCGATATATGGCGAAAAACACAAAAATTAAAGTTATGGGGTCCAAACTTTGGATCACTCTCCCGATCAAACTATGGGGACCATATTTACCAGATTGAAGCTACCCCCTATATTTTGAGGGTCAGAAATTCGAATCCTTTGAGAAAAAGGTATGTTTATTCAGAGAATGTGCATTTTTGAGTTTGATTTTTTAACTTTAAATATATAATTAATTAACATATTTGAGGTCCCCCCCTCGAACCATTNCCCCCCCCCCCGCAGGAACCATTAAGTCCTAGAATGTGATCATTAAATCGAAAGTTATTCAAAGTAGTCTCTCTTTCTTCTTTTTATTTTTTTTTTTTTGTACCAAATTTCAGCTGGAACAGGGGGAGATTATAACGAACATTTTTTTCAAAATCTTGAAGCCCTGAGCATTTATATTTAGAAAAATTCTTCCTCAATCCTCCAATAAAAGATCCCACATCAATTCTTTGACATTTAGTCATGAGATCTGAAATGTCCTTTTCAACACTTCCTCTACTACATAAACTTTGTCTCCTTAGCAGCAAATCAATAAATTTTGCCTTAGGACTTAATTAAAGGGTTAAAATATATTATGTTGATTTTAAAAAGTTTCATATTCAGTGAGTTAGACTCGCATCATATATTAACTTTTTAATTAGATTTATTTGAACTAAGTTTTAATTCTATCTGCTTCTATTTAAATAATGTTTATATTTCTTCCAGGTGATTTTCATTGCTTAGTACAGATTACATCCTTGCCAGTTGCTGTCTGTTTTGGCACAGCAGCTACCAAAGAAGATGCAAAAGTTAATTCTGCTCGCAATGCCCTGAATTTTATTCAACTGATGTGCAAAAAATGATTTTATGGATTAAATCGGAACTTGTAAAACAATGTTCTCCAGGTTTGTCTTTTCTGCATTAAAGAAGGGGTGGAAGTTTGACTTTTAATGAATTTCCATCTTTTTTTAAAAAAAATCAAAGTTTGTTTGGACAAATTAAAAATTAATTCACAATAATTAAGAAAAATATTTAACTCTCTTGGATTGAGCTATTTTTTTCTTTATTTTATCATGATCTTTGAACTACTTTAGTTAGTTTAGGTATGCACTTGAACATAATACTTTTTTCTCTTCTGAGAGTAAAGTCATAATTTTATTTAAAAAATTGAATGAGTGAGGGGGGGATACCTGATATTTAATCTGTATTACATATTTATATAAAAAAAAGTCACCTAATATTTATAATATCTAACAATAAAAACTTAATAATTCTTAAATAAGGTGAGATTATTTGTTATAATTTTATTTATTGAGTAAAAATCAGAATTTTTTTTTATATTTATTCTATTTTTGTGGAAATTTTGTTGACACATTTCCATTAAAAAAAATTGCTTTTTTTTATTTTTAAAGTGTAAAGATCATTGTTTAATCTTTTTTTAAAGAAAACTTGGAAAATACTTCTTTTATTTAAAAAAAAATTTGTTCAATTTTCACTCTTGTGTAAGTGATCATTAGCTATATAATTTTGTTCTCTAATTAAGACTATTCTATTTCAGGTCTTTGACATGTTAAAATGGAATGCACCCCAGCAAATGAAACTCAAGTCCGATTGGTCATTTTTAATTCTTTGATCACCCTAAGGGTTATGATACTTCCAACTAAACTAAAACTTTTAATTATCTGATGTATAATTAACTTATTTTTATGTAATTCAATGCTTTGTACGTTATTGGTGTGCCTTTTGAAAATCACAATACTGTTTTGTTTCACTACGTAAGGTATACTATAATTGAATATATAAGTAGAAAATTGTAATATCTACTTTATTTAAATTATCAGACTAAAACAATTACTTTTATGTTATCATAAATCAATTATTTTCTTAAAAATGAAAACAAATTTGATAATATAAGATTGCAATGTGATATTTTTTTGTATTATCATTTACTGTTAAATGCATGTAGTTGTTGTTGTTGTTTTTTTTTTTTTTTTAATTTAAAATTTATTTGTAGCATCTATATTTTATTTAAAATGATATGCTTTATATACTGCAAAATCAGAAAATATTAAGAATTTTGGAGCAGATAAATTAAAGGTTTTGTAAAGCTACAATTTCTAACATTTTATCAAATCAGTCATTATCTCTTTAATCAAAACTTTATTAACATTGAAAATTATGGGAAAGGAAATTAATATAAATCATTTACAAAAATTATAAGTTTTCAAATTTGTTTTTAAAAAAGTGCTCCAAAGACATTTAAAAACAAAGTCATTGTTTTTGAAAAAAGGGCTGCAAAGTCATTTTATATTTATAATTTATGCCAGTTTTTTACCTATTTATAATCATTTTCTCCTTGGACAGAATCTTAATTATCTATCTTAAACAGCCAAGATAGTAAAATTCTCAACGAAAATTTCCATGACGAGAATTGATATTTTGAATTGAGTGTCAGACAGGATTTAACAAAGTTTTTTTTTTTCATACAAAAATAATGTATGATAAAGATTTTATTTTACACTCACTGATGCAGTTAAGTTCACTACTTCTTTTTTGAAACAATTAAATGTCTCACAATGTTCCTTTATAAGTGCATGTCTATCAATTCGTCTTGTTTTTCTTTGTATGTTTCAATTATACAAAAAAAATCTTTAACTTCAATTTTAACATATTGATTTCTATTAAAATGAACAGTGATCCTCAATGATGCTTATCATATTTTATTTAGAATGTTAAATTAATTACTGCAAATTAGTTTCTTTTATTTAGAACCGGGCATTATATTTGAAGGCTAAGTATTTAATCGAATTTTTATTCATTGGCATTCTTAGTTTTTTTGTAATGTTTTTTCTTGATATTTTATTTTTTATTGTTTTTTTACTGATCATTATGAGTTACGTTATGGTTCTTTTTTTATTTTTTTTTAATGTTACTTCTATTTTATGCAGTAGGAGGAATTCTTTACAATTATATGGTAGCAATCAATGTGTTAAATGTCTAGATTTTCTTTAAAATATGTATTTGATTTACTGTAAGAAAAATTGCTATTTTTATAATAGTAGAATAGTTTATTCTACAATATATAAAAAATAAATATGAGAGTGAATCAAATAAAAATGAGACCTTTTAAATAGCTTTTTAATAAAATTTAGCTTACAAAAATTACAAAGTAATTTTTACATAACTCTTTTTGCAGAATTTTTTATTTAATTTATTATAAAAAATAAAATATACTTAAATTTATTCAACAATACCTTGCAAGTCAGTCAGACTATACTTTAAAGATAGGTCAAATGATGCTAAGCGTTAACTAAGAGAAAATTTTCTATGAAGATCATGTAATAGAATTGGAAATCTTTAAGATTTCAGCTAGGCATCCTTGCATAAATTATATGTGAGTATGATTCAAACAGATAATTGAGCTTTTGGTTTAGATAATTAGCCAGTTGGTTTCACTTTTTGACCTAAAGTCAGCAGTGTTCCCAACTTTTGTTACAAGTAATTATTCATCTCCTTATGCTTTGAAATTATTTTTATTTTTTAAAAAATTATGACTGGGAAAATTTTTTTTTTGTTTTTTGCACAAGTGTGTTAATTGAAAAAAAAAGTTTATATATATAAAGCAGCTTGCTGTAATTTTTGTAAATATCTTTTTAAAAGGTCTCTTTCAAGTACTCTCTTGTAGATAAATGTATCTACTTATGAAAACATGTTTCTTTCAAATTTATATGAGCTGCTTTATTTTATATTGTTTTAGTAAAATTTTAACTTTTAAACCATTAACTGAACAAATTTGTTTTATTTTTTAATAAAATTACTTTCTCATGTATTTAGATCTAACTTGAAATTTTGAATACTTAATGTGTATAAGTAGAAAAGTTTATTGTTGTAGGTTTTTGGTAAAATTTGAATTTCCTATTCAAAACATATCTCTCACTTGGAAGGAAAAAAATTACTCTAATTTCTAAGAATTGACTTTGTTTTTTCAATTTTTCCTTACTCTAATGTTTTTTTAAAGAAAAAAATTTATTAAATGCCCAAAACCAGGCATTAATGCAGATATGAATATTTAATTTTGATAACTTATTTTAACGTTTAATTAAAATAACACAGGAAAAGAAAACTTGTATTGATCCAGAATTTTAAAATAAATGTTTGCACAATAAAAATTATGTAATTCCTTACCATAGAATTGGTTTTATTGGTAATTCGTACAGGGTAAATGAATAACTGAAGTTTTCAAAGTGAATGGCATCATTAAAATTCTCCTTTTGTAGCTGGATATTTGATCTACAATTTATAATTTTTGGAAGTAAGGGCCGGTCATAGAGGTTTCAATGGCCAATGCATAGTGATGGTGGTTTGTCCAAGAAATGCTGTTTTAATGTTGTAATGATGTGATATATATGTTGTAATTCTAAGTCATGTACATATATTGCTCACAATGTATTTTTCCTGCATCTAACTCAATGTGTCATATGAATTTTAATTTTGCATGTTTTTATTAAATATGTAATTTTTGTTAAAAATTCATTGCAGTTTTTGACTTAGATAGCATTTGCTTGAAAAGATTATTTTAAAATGATGAACTATAATAAATCAATGAATTATTTATCAAAGATATAGATTTTTAAATTGTAATTTATTGTATTAATTTCTGCTATTGTAAAAAAATGGATTTTATAGTTCACATAGCGTTAAAATAAAATCAATACTAAAATCTCTTTGAGTTTTGTCTTTCTTTATCAATATTCTAATATTCTTGCAAAATAGTATTCAAATATAGAGGAATTTCCGATCTTAAAATAATTCATTTTGAATTGATGTTCACTGTTATTAAAAACAGTTTTAAAAGATAAACCCAAACAGAGGTGCTAAAATTTATCTAGCATTTGTTACAATTATAATTAATTATATGTTAAAAAGTATTTCCACAATTGCGTATTGTTGGTCATAGAGGTCAAGGTTCCACAATTTCATGATCAACCCACATGAATGGGGCAATGTGTTTAGCATTGTGCTCCAACCACATTATCTGTTAGATAAATAAATAATAGGAGTTTTTCTGGGTTTGATCTTTAGTTGATCGTTCATAATAGAATTTTAAATAATTTTTTTTTTTTTTTCATTTTGTGAATCTAGTTTTTGGTGACATGGTGTTTTCGCACATCATTCACTTGCTTCATAAACTACTAGTGTTCGGCCTGTCTTTTTCATTTGTTGTTGGTAGGTCGTGATGTCATCCCTTATATGTAGTGCAAGGGCACTTAATGTTATATGTCTGTTTTACAAGTTAATGTTTTTTACAAACTAAGTTTTCCTATGGAAAATTCCTTTCTGTTTTAATGTTAGTATCAATTCACATTAAGGTTCTTGTGGCTATTTACTTCCCAGACAAGATGGTACTCATCGATCTGAAGTTGGTTGGGCTTCAACTTAACACAGGGGTATAAAATTAATACTATGAATTAGCGGTCACTTACAGGTGACCATTTCATTGAAAACGATTCAGCATTTTCCTCAACATGGTAATTAATAAAAATGCATTAACTGTAGTTCCTAATGTATTTTTGAATACAATGCCATTTTAATTTTATGCTAAGAAAGTTGATATTGAATATTTTTATAAAATTATAAATTACATATATTGCTGAATCTGTTTTCGGAAGGTTGCGTTAAATTATTAAAATACATATAAACAGTGGCAATTATCTAACGTTAAGTTTGAGTTTTGTAAAAGTGGCCTCCAAAACTGAAATCGACCCTTTTTTAGATGCATGCACTGTGCCTTTTTTTCTAATTATTTATAGACATTTCTGAGAATATGTTTTTATTTTTGTTTTCTCATTTTAAAAAAAAAATTTAATAAAAAGATATACTCAATAAAAAAATTATTATACATTCTAATATTTCCTTTTTAAAGATAATACTAGTTTTTTTTTTCTTACTTTTCCGTTGCATTTATACTTTTCTCAGAGTGGCTACCAATTTTTATAAATCCGGTAGCCTGTCTAAGAGCTCTATATCAAATCTCAGACCTTCACAATGATAGCTCAGTGCCTTAACCTCTGAGCTATTGGCTAATATTTGGCTAGTGTCACTAATATATTTTTAAAAAAAAATTTTAATAAAAAGATATACTCAATAAAAAAAAAATTTATTATACATTCTAATATTTCCTTTTCAAAGACAATACTAGTTTTTTTTTTTCTTACTTTTCCATTGCATTTATACTTTTCTCAGAGTGGCTACCAGTTTTTATAAATCCGGTAGCCTGTCTAAGAGCTCTATATCAAATCTCAGACCTTCACAATGATAGCTCAGTGCCTTAACCACTGAGCTATTGGCTAGTGTCACTGATATATTGCACATATTTTAATTATGTACCATATCCCACGATTTTATACATTTCCCCTTATCCAAATCTCTGAAATGAGGAACATCTGTTGGCAGGCTCTTTCATCTTCCATTTTCTTTGTATTGTTGAGCAGCAGGATAGTTGAATTAGTAACAACAAAGTGAAAAATAACTGATGCATATCTTAAAAAATAATTTTTCCCAGTTAACAAGTTGGTTTGGCACACAGAAAGATGCACTATTTATCTTAGGTCTGACAATGAAAAGCAGTTCATTCCCTCCATACAAAATTTTTAGCTTTGTGCCAAGAGTAACATTTTTACAAAAGCAAATCAACATGAATATTATCATTCAGTTTTCAACCACATTTATTACCATTCAACGATTGACTCAGAAAGAGCTCTGAAGTGTATAATGGCGTTCTTGTGAAAGTGTACTGGAAGAAATCACTAACCATCACAATGTTTTTGAAAGAAAATTAAATAATTGGGAAAGTCAAATATTTGTTTTATGCAATATGCTCATTTGTGGAAGGTTTTCTTATGCTGTCTTCCTATCATGATTTCCTTTTTTGACAATGTTGCAGATACCATGCAGCTTCCACTCCCTAAATTAGATTTGACTATCAAGTTTTTTTGTTACAGTAAATAAAAGAGTAGATTCAGTTAATATGTGAACTATTATTTCTTAAAGAATCCTGTTTATTCAGTAGTTGTTTTTTTTTAATAAAAAAAACACCTGATTTTTAGGTTGCATATTTGATGCTTAATTTTAATACATTCATTAGTTAATTTTTATTGTGCATAAATGAAAGTTTTTCTTTTTTTTTTCTTTCAATTAATGGGTTTTTCTGGTATGATGAATACCAGAAACCTTCTACTGAATGATCCAGTGCCGCACAAATAGTTAATTTAGTGCTCATTTAAGTTACTTTTTTTATGTACATGGTGTTAAAAACAGTAAAATGTAAAATTTTAACATCTAAAATTTATATATATACTGTACAGAACCCGTTATCCGGAAATCAGAAAACCGGAAAACCAAAAAACCGGAATGAAATTAGATACATTTTCGCGCCATTTTAAAAAAATATTTTTTTTTTCCTCATAAGATTTTAGGATTTTTTTTCTTCTTTTTTGAAAGATGTTTACCTTACCATCATTTTGGAAATAATCATTAGTGTATTACNTTTTTTCATCTAAAATTTATATATATATATATATATTTTTACAACCTACTTTCAATTTTTTTTTCTTTTTAATAATCTAAAATCCTAAATAACACACATCTAATATTGGTACATTACTGATAATTTAAGTGAAAATCAAATCAGGAGATAATATTGACATTGGGCAAAGCTAATTATGTATTTTCAGAAACTTTGAATAAAAATAACATTAAATATATATGAAGTTTAAAATTTTTGTTAACTATGTCGTGTTTTCAAATTAAATAGATAAAAGACAAATTAAATTTGGAGGCACAATTAATAGCATTCTTCAAACAAATAGCTACCAAATTAAAAAAGAATTGAAAGAAAGACAAACTTTTCACTATAGATAAAAAAGTGTCTTAGCATCGTAAAATAATCAAAATCAACAGGACAATAAAAAACTTAAATTTTTATTAATTAAAATATAATAATTTATATAAAACAGGTGAAATTATGTGAGCGAGTCGAAGTAAATGTTATAAACTTTTACATGGTGATCATTTCCACAACTAGCAAGTTGCAAAATCTTCTCATTCTTTTGCTTAGAACCAGCTTCCCCATGAACAGGAGAAAACCTTAATTTATTTACATTCAAATGATGAGCAGTACTAAAATAAGTTAAAGAATATTTTAACAAAAATGCTTATGCCATTAATTGAATACAAACAATTATAATTACTTATCTTTAATAAATGTTAATAAAACAAATTTAAAGGTTATCCTTATAAAAAAAAATTATCCTTATAAGAAAAAACTTATTTGAACATTGAAGTTTTTCTAAAAAGTGAAAAAAGTTTTCTACCACTGAGAGCTATGTAAGTTTTAATATATAAACTAAAATAATAAAACTAAAAAGCAATTATAATTCTACAGAGTATATACACAAATTCTGGAAAAAAATGTTCTGAGTATGAATAGCAATAGTTCTTAACATACACAATAATGCAATACATCAGGTAAAGATATTGATGGACAAATAACACCAAAAAAAATTCTTAAAACCAGAAAAAAATGATACATTAGTACCACATTTTAGTACATAAGTACCACATTTTATACATCAATATAAAAATGAAATAGGTTATCCTTATGTAATATCTAGTTGTCATTACCATTAAATTGTTACCATTCCATTCTTACGTAATATCTAGTTGTAATTACCATTAAATACCCCATTATTGATACTCAGATAAGTCAAACTCTTGAATTTAAAGAATTTCAAACAAGAAATATCACAAAATTTTTAAATTGATTTCATGATAGATTTGCCATGAAAAATCATAAATGCTTTAAGGGAAAGTTCTAGTTCTTAAAGGAGAACCAGAAATTTCCTTTTTTCCATTAAAAAAAAGAAACTTGAAATTTCAATTTTTATAAATCAAAATCCTAATTAAAATAATAACGCTAAAAAAAAACTTTTTAACATAAAATTTCTGTATTGATGTTAATGATTTCATATCAAGATTTGCTTAAAAAAAATGTGAATGAGTGAAAAAAAATTTTTAAACTGTTTAACATTTTTAGCAAATATTTGAATTTTTAGTGAGCTTTTTGAACTGATTTAAAATATATTTTAAATTTGTTTACATTAATTGAAGGCAACATTTACACAAAATTATGAAAAAATAAAATGAAGGATACTTTTGATCTAATATTTGAAGGGTGCACCAACTCATATTTAGAGACCAAGAACTTAACATGATGGATCCATTTTCTAGTCCTATAGCAATAATATACCTACAAATAAAAAAAACACTATTTATTTAGAACAAAAGTAAATACAAGTGCCCACTTAAAAGTACTTGTTCACACTGCCTTGTTCACAACATAAAAAAAAATATTAAAATTTTTTTTTTATTTTTAATGGTTGAGTTTTCTCTCAAATTTGAAAAGACATGGCCCCTAAAATGCAAAAAAATATTTCCTGTTTCTTTGCCACAAAGAGACAAAGCTCTAAAATTACGTGTGTTGGTTTATTTATTTATTTATATGTACTTTAATCTAGAACAAAACATTGCAAAGCTTGAGTTCAAGCGTTACTTCAATACAAATATGTTTGCTAAATAACAAATTAAAGATTATATGCTTATTTCTAATCACACCATTTCATTACACATAAAGAGTATTATTAATTTAACATTACATAATTTTCTCAAAGTGACTGCACTGTAATTGCTTAGATTAAATATGCTGTCTAATACATTTGAAATTAGAAGCAACTAAGTACATAAGTATTATAACAACTAAGTATTATAAGTGTATGTATATATACACTTATAATTATCAAGCAATCAATGATAAAGATTTTTGAAGTTAATGCATCAATTACACATTATTTTCAAGATGATAACACAGAAAAATAAACAATTAGGTTTTTGGGGAGCACAATGAATTTAGTTGTTATGTAGAACATTATTTAATTTTTCTTTAGTGTATTAAGAGTAACATTAATTTATCTTAATATTAAAAGATAAAGTATTTTTTTCAATATTTGTCAATTAAAAAAACATATGAAGTTTTGTACACTAAAATTAAATTGTAATATTCTCAGTGATGAATAAACTAGTTTCAGAACCTTCATCTGTACTAAATAAAAACTTTTATTTTAAAACAAAGTCCAAACCAAAAATTATTTTAAACACAAAGTAAGATGAAATTTTCTTTAAAAAAATCGAAATCTTAAAAGAAAAAAACTAAAGACATCTAGGATTAATACTTCCACATTTTGGAATTATAAATTTTTTTTTCAATATTTATTGAAATTAGTTTGAAAACAAAAGGAAAATATCCTATGCGAGTTCTGTATAACTTTTAAATAATGTTTTTGTTAGAAAGCTTTATCCAAAGGGATACATTTGGTCTCTTAAGTCATAGGTTGTATAACCACAATTTTTACCATGCGCACACAGAGAAGTAACTTATTTATGTTATTCAAACATACACAAACATTATGACACTCTTGTTAGAAAAATACATTAAAAGTTTGGTATAGCTGGAAGTCATAGAAAACTAACTTGTTTTGAAATAAGCCAGGAGCAAAAGATACTGCAGTTGCGGCATCCTCAACTTCTAATGGTTCTGATTGCAATGAAAAATTTTCAGCATCTTTAGATATATCTTTACCCCATATAGCAACCTAAATAAAATTGCAAATCATTGAGCTCATGCTTACAGAGACAGCTTTACATACAAGTGCAAATGCTAATTACTTTTTTATCTCTTGAAGCTGTAGCAAAATATAAACTATCAAATGTCCAGGAACAACCCCATATAATTCTTGAATGTATTCCAAGCTTTCTATCTAGATTGGCTATTTTCCGGTAAGGTGGAGCTGAATAAATAAATAAAAACCTGGATTAAACTGAAAATTTGACTAACAAAAACCATTAAAATAAAATCTGAACTATATAAAAATTTTGTGACAAGTACAAATTCAGTATTTGAAATAATAAAATATTCGAAAATAACTGACAAAACTTATATTGAAATAGTTGTATAAGAAAAATAGCACTTATTAAATATAATTATAAATATATGGTTAAGCAAAAATATTCCTTCTGTTCATTTAGTCTTTTATCTGTCAAACTTTCAGCTAAGTTCATTTAACCCAATTAATCTTTTAACCCATATATTCCCAGCATATTCAATTTTTGAAGCCTAAAACAAAATAATTATAAATAACAAAAATAAATTATAGATTATTCGGGTTAAGTTAAAAACTTTATGCACACATATATACAATTTGAATTATTGTCAGCTTTTCCCAATTAATGTATCATGGGTGTCACAGCCATCTGGTTTCTTGAGAGGGACTAAATTAAAATACACAGAATAGTTCCTTAAATTTTAAAAATGAAAAGGAAAATTAATTTTTTCCCATCCTCTTTTCAAGATCTGCTAAAAGAATTTCTTTTTTAAATTTCTTAACTTGTTTTTATACATTGAATTTAAAGCAAGTAAACAAATTTCTCCATCTGTCTGAAATTTTGAGGGAGACTTTCAGAAATATCTAACTATTAGGCGGAATGTAATTCTAAATGCTTGGTTGGGTAATACTTTCATTCCTTTTAAATTTAAATTATGCACACTCGTGGCTTAATCATTCATTTTGATTATTTTATACTAATATAAACAGCCCTAGAAATCAACAATTTTAATACTAATCAGCAGTAACAGGTTAGCATAATTTAATAGAATAAAAATAGTATCTTACATTCAGAGGGGAAATGTTTATAAATAGCCCACATTCTATCTCTAGACACTGACAGTAGGTAACTATCATCAGGAGAAAATTCAATTTGAGTAATAGTTAATGTATGAAATGATAAATATCCTATTTGCTTCCACGTAGATGTACACCACAAAATAATTCCAGCATATTCAATTTTTGAAGCCTAAAACAAAATAATTATAAATAACAGTAATAAATTATTATAGATTACTTGGGTTAAGTTAAAAACTTTATGCACACATATATACAATTTGAATTATTGTCAGCTTTTCTGAAAAAACAAGGCAGCCACCCTCCAAATAAAATTGAATTCCCTGAAATTACCAGAGTAAAATTTTTAAAAAATTATTAAATTCCTTGAAATTACCAGAGTAAAATTTTAAAAAAAATTATTAAATTTTCATGGTTAAAATTAGCACAACTTTAAACACATTTGAAAAGTTTATACATATTTATACATCTAAGGAATTTATATTAACTTGCAGATTTCTTGTAACACACTTACATAACAAATTTAGCAAAAAGAGTATCTCTTACTAAAAATTCATTACTGTCTTAGGTAAAAAAACACTGCTTCTTTACAAAAATAAATAAAAATTATTAATGATTACAAGTAGTATAATATAAATTATACAGGGGGAGGACAAAATATAATAAATTTTTTTCATATTTCTCATGAAATAATTAAAGGATTATTTTATAACTTCAGAAGTGTTCAGATGTGATTTCACATACTTCTCAATGAAGTTTAAAGCTTTTAGAGGTTTCAAGGACCAATAATAAATTACAAACGGCAAATAGTGTTTTTGAACACCCTATGCCAAAAAATGTAGCAATAAGTTTTTTACTTCTGACAATTATTTTTATTATGGAGGAATTTTACACAATAACTGAACAAAATTTCATAAGCTTAGCTTAAATATTAAAGGAGATATGGATATTTTACTAAAAAACTGATTTTTTTTATCTTACAGTTTTTTGATATAATTTTGAAAGTATTCAATAGAATTTTTAAAAAATTTTATGAATCACAAAATTTTTGCTTTGAAATTGAAAAAAAAATTTTTAAAACTATGCAGTAAGTAATTAAAGTAGTAATCTCATAATTTTGTAGTGAATCGTATTTGGCAACGAATGAAGTGAAAAAGCCCGATTTGAATATCTTAAATATTTAAAAAATTTTAAGCCATTTTCAAAGTAATTTTTTACTTTTTGAAAAAAAACTCAAAATGATAAGGGGCTTCCTACAAATATCTTTTTTGTATCATAAGACAAAATTAAATAACAAATGAGAACACCTTACAATCAACGTTATTACATTGTAATATGTTGCATTGTATAAGATATATTACATTGTATAAGAAAGAAAACAGGCAAAAGAAAATATGGGGGAAATTTGAGAAAAACTCCTCACGAATGAGAGCTTTTTTTTTTTAAGAAATACAAAAGCTATTTAAAAAATTGCTTGAAACTTCTTACATTTTTAAAATATTGAAATCAAACTTTTATATTAGTTGCCAAATACGAATTTCTACAAAATTAGAAACTAAAATTTAAAAGTTTTTCTGCACATGTGCAGTAAAGAACAGCTTTAATCACTCATATCTTGAGCATTTTTAAACGAATTTGTCTCAAATTTAAAGCATTAATTTTGTAATTAATTTTAAATTGCTCCAAAAAACAGGGTGTTAAAAAACACTATTTTTCATTCGTAATTTATGTTGGGTCCAGGGTGTTGGTCCCTCAAACCTCTTAAAACTTTAAACTTCATTAATAAGTATGAGAAATTACATAACCTAAAAACTTTTAAATTTAAAAAATGATTATCTAAGTATTTTTTGAGAAAAATCAAAAAAGTTTTACATAGTATAGAAGTGTTTCAATTATTTTGTCTAACCCCTGTAAAAGTATAATATAAAGATAAATTGATTTTCAAAAATAAAATGTTGAATGTCCTAATGGTTTAAGAAATCTTTAGAATAATTTCAATACAAGAAACGTTTGCTTAATTGAAAGTCAAAATAATTAAATAGACTAAAGAGAAAAAAGAACTGAATTATTTATTAAAATAGAATGAGGAGGAGATATACTACGGCACAACTAAATAAGTTTTTATTAATTAATTAACATATTCAAAGTGTAATAATATATTGAAACACATAAGCATTGAATTTTTATGTTTACAGAGGGCAGACAAATTTAGGGAAAGTGAAGAATGTTACGCTCATGTTTGAAAACCACTGAAGACCTAGAGATTTTATTGAGACTGATTAACCTATGGACGGTTTTGCACGTAAAAAGTCGTATTTTCCATGTTATTAGATTGGGAAATAGTGTATAGGGGGAAAACATTCTACCAATTTTGTCCATTTGCTAAACTGCCAGTGGATTAATGGATCATTTTGAATGAAATTGATTCAGAAAAGGCTATAATCTTGTAAATTATCACCAAGCATCTTCGCTTAAGAAATATAAAAAGATGAGGTTGCTAATCATTGATACCATATTATTAATCAATATAAAGCACTCCTGCAACAGCCTGTTATGGACAAAAGGAGTCATGGTGGTCAAGGTCACAATTTCCTGACCAATAGCATGACTGCAACAATGTGGTCAGCACTGGCCTTAATCCATATTTACTTCTCAGACAGCTGGTACCTATCCATCTGAAGTTGGGCGAGCTTCCATCCACCACAGAGATTTGAACCCCAGTCCTTCAGAATGACAACTAAGTGTTTTTTACCACTGAGCCATCACTACTCATTATTGATTCATAAAAGTATTAAAAAAATTTAATGTTACCCTTAAAATAAGCAGCATTTATATTTGAAACGAGCTTTAGAACAAATTTTTAGTTATTATAGTCACAATTAAATTGTAAATTATTGTACCTTGCACACAGAAGCAACTAATGTTTTTGCATGATTTGATGTAACACTGAATACTTCATAAGGATGTCCATACAATTTTTGAGTTTCTGGCCATAATGTATTTTGGAGTAAATTTTCTTCGGTGGGAGGTTCTAAGGAAGTTAAAGGGAAACAAATTAAAATTATTTTCAAAAATGAAGTTGCTGCACACAAATGCTATACTATAGATACAGTTTCAGTTACTGATTTGTCAAAAAAATGTCTGCAATAAGGAATTAGTCATTCAACTTACCAGTTACTTCAACAGGTGTGTAGTAAAAATCAGGATATTGATCTTTAAAAGTCTTTTTAGAATTTTGGTCATCTAAAGAGTCTTTGACTTTGATTATGTCTTCCTCAAATACAGCCTTATTTGACAAACCAAGTGATGGGACACTTGCACCTTCAGCCATCTAAGAAAATAGTTGTAAGAAAAACTGGATAGTAAAAAAATAATCAATAAAAAAGCATACACTTTATTAATCCATTGATTGAGGCTCTTAGTTTCAAAACTAGAGTGCCACTTATTTATAAAACAACCATTTTTTTAATCTCCTTTTTTTATCTTTTTTATGAATTCTAGTATAAAAAATCTTACNAATCAATAAAAAAGCATACACTTTATTAATCCATTGATTGAGGCTCTTAGTTTCAAAACTAGAGTGCCACTTATTTATAAAACAACCTTCTTTTATCTTTTTTATGAATTCTAGTATAAAAAATCTTACTGTTTATAATTTTAAAAAAATTACTTTTTATAATAAATTTCAAATTTACTTGTGCTGTGCTTTGGATTCATGCATTGACATTATAATTATTCACCAATAAAATAATATTTTTCGCTCTTTTAGAATTGACTTAATTTAAAATTTTATAATTTTTAGATAATAAATTTTTAATGTGATATTTTGTCCATTCTTACTTTCTCTGTTTTCCTCATTCATTTATTTATTTGGTCTCAGCATTCTAATCTGTATGTTTAATCTATTTATTAATATTATTTTAGCCTTTTTACACTTAATTTTAATAAATACTAATCTTCAATTTTAATGGGCTAATGAACCCAATTAGTTTTAGAGTGTTATACATGGCAATTAATAACTTTTCTCTGTACCATAACACGAATTATGGAATTGTAAAGTCTGACATTTTTTCTCAAGTTCGTCTAACATAATAAGTTTTTGGACCATTTAATGTATACATAAGTGGTCCTAATGGACCGCTAAATTTTCATAGCTAGTGTGAACCCTAGTTATAAAGCTTTAAAATTGGTTCAAATTTGTGGATTTTATAACGGTTTCCACAAATATGTATGTTTAAACCTCATCATAAAATAATCCTAAAGGTAAAGATACAGTAATTTAGAAGCTATTCTTCTTTTGGCAGAAAACCTGCCTGATTTCATCAGCACCAACACTGGACAATGTTTACAGCATGCAGAAGACCATGATTTTGCTGATAGCAATAATATTCATCACTGTACTTAATTTTGAGATTGGAAAAAAATGTATACATAAGTGGTCCTAAAAAATCTCCATTTTTTAGATTTTATCTCAAATTTAAATCTTCCTTATCAATAAAATTTTTCTCCATCTTAAGAAAGCTCTCTAAACTGTTATTGAATATGCCTTTTGAAATCTCAGCACTAAATCTTTTTACATCATTTAGTCTATTTTGAATCAATACTGTCCACAATTGATCATTTTGTGATTGTTGTCAAACAAAACAAATAAGGGGGCCAGAATAGATATGTATTCAGCTGCCATAACTGGAAATCAAAGATATCTTATTGCTGTGATAAATCAGAACTCATTCTACAACTTAACCTAGCATAAATTATTTTGAGAGAGAGAAAAATTGTAGTAAAAAGTTTAAGAGGAAAAACTCAAATAAGCTAATAAAAATTTCAAATTTCATTGCAAAAAATCTTAAAAAATAAATATTTATTTACAAAGATAAAAATGTGGTAACTTTTTGTTAAATTTACAAGTTTTTAAATTTGGATTGAAGACAAAAAACATGCAAAAAAAAAACTTCTCCAGCTTTTAGGAGAAGAATTTTCCCAAATATTTAAAGTTGTAGCAAGCTTTATGGTTTAACATTTTATTAAAACGATGAAACGAAACCACCATGATATTTAAATAATTCAAAGATATGTATTAAGTATCTGATAAGCCTTTCTTGACATTTTTAAGAGCTGGCAAAATTTTAAAAACATTTAATTACTTACTTATTATTCAACTATTATTTTTAATATAAAGAAAAATTTCCCTATTAACAGCTCTGTAACTATGAACCTTATGTAACTAAAAAATTTAATTCAGCAAATTTTGTTATTGTATACATACGAACTATTAAAAAGTATAATAAAAACTAAGTGGAACATTGCTTGTAAAAGAGATTTTTAATAAGATGGGAAATTTTTATTAAATAACTGAATCATATTAAAAAGTTAAGACATTGAAAAAACAATAAAACCGATAGTTAAGTCAATAGGATAAACAAACCTTATTCCTAATTATTTCCTAAAATAATTTGTTAAAATTAAGTACCTATATTTAATAACAGCACTAAAGTAATAAAGTACCTATAATAAACAAATTACCTTATCTTTAACATATGAATCAATATCCAATTTCACTATATTTTTCAATGTGTCAGCAAAATTTCTAGGGGCCTCAAAAACTCGAAGTACTTTCTCATCACCAGCAGACACACACTTGAAACGATTCAAAATACTTAAGCATACCATGTCATACCCATGCACTTGCGGTCGAGCAATTTCATACCAGCTATTCTAGGAAAGAAAAATGCTTAATTAATTTAACTAATTAATTTCCAAACTGAAAACAATAAATATCAAATTTAATTAATTTTACCTAAAATTACTATAAATTTAAAAACTAATAAATAAAATAATACATACACTGCATTATATAAGGGTAAAAATATCATAGCTTTATAATGCAAACCTTTTTCCCATGAGCAACATATGGAGCATGCAATCGACTAGTTTGGTCTGTGCTGCAGCTCATTAAGTATTCTCCATCAGGATCCCAGCCTATATCTTGCACACTTGCATAATGACCACCAAATGAAAGCCCAGGGAGCCAAGAATCTTCTTCCTATATAAATTTCATAAAATGAAGTAAACAATAACATTTTAACTTTTATTCGAAAAATCAAAATATAAGCTTTACTGTGTCTATAAATAAGTAGTATGGCTTCAAACTATGTCTATTGACATATAATTGTAAACTTCTCTGTTATTTAAAAATAAAATATGATACAGAGTGAAATATATATATATTTAATAATAAATTTTAATGTTATTAAAAATGTATTTATTCGATAATAAATTTGCATGTTTTTAAAAATATATTTATTCAATAATAAATTTGAATGTTTTTAAAAATATATTTACAATTTATGAAACTTTTAAATAAATTAAGCAAAAATAATTTTTATGATTAATCATCTAATGATTAGGAAATTATGATTTCATGCTTAACCACCAGTGGTAAAATTTCCGAGAATGTTACATTTTAACACACTTTATTTTATAATTAAAGAGCAAAAGTGTGCCTCAACTTTCTATGAAATATAAACTCTAGAGGAAAATGCAAATTGTTGGTGCAAATATCTCAGAACGTAGTGAATTGATTTGGTGCAATATTCTTTTTTAGAAGAGATGTCATAGTACAATTTAAATATTTTATATTGTGGTAAAATATCTTCTTTATTTGAACAAAATCATATACTACTGTGCAGTCTGCAAAAATGTAAAATCAGATACATAAAGAGAGAAAAAAAAGATCTAATCTTCTGAAACATTTGTTGTAGATTAACTACATAAAGTTAGCCTTGATAAAAATAAAAATAGAAAAAAATAAGAAAACTACTAGCTTGCAATTCTTTTAAATAAACTAATTTGCTCGTTCAGAAATACATTTTGCTTGTAAATTGAAAAAATAAATTTCACCATCTTTTATTCCACAGAATTGATAGAAAATAGAATTTTACTATCAAGAATATCTAAAAGTAAAACATAATATAAATACAAAATTTGGTAAACAAATTAAATTCAATTAATTAACTTTTATTTTTACTGAAGAATTTTTACTCTTTTTTTATGTTTCGGATTTTTTTTTTTGTGTGTGTGTTTTGAAAAACCATAAACATAAAAAAAAAATTTTGAAAAATTTTTATATGTTAAATAATTTTCCATGTGCATAAAAAAAAATAAAAGAAAACAAATAGTTACATAATTTAGTTTCCACACATGAACAGCTCCTTGATATCCATGTCCAATGATGATATCTCCTTTGGGTGAAAAAGATGCACCATAAAAACCCAATGTGTTCCCACCAACTTCTCCAAGTCGAACCTAAGTAAAAAAAAAAAATTTTTTTTAAATATTGCAATTGAAATATTTTTGGCGCATGAACTTGTTCACTAAATGTGCCAAACTGGAATCTTAATTTATTATGGTACACTTTTGTTTTCAAATATCTAAGCATTAAACATAATTTTTAAAAATAACATTGATGTGGGTACTTGTTTAATTAACCTTCAATAGCTCACAGCAGTGATGAAGAGTTTTTGGATTAGAGTAATATTAAATTTTCAAGCAAAAAACTTACTTCAGACAGAAATAAAATTTTCATAAAAATAAAAATTTATTGCTTTTACAGGGTGCATAGCAAAATCTTTCAACAAAAAATAAGCACTTTTCAAGCACTAAAAAAATATTTTTAAGCACTATATACATAAACAAAATCCAAAATAATTTTCAAAGACTGTACATGATCATGATAAACAAATCTGGTATATACATAAACACATCTGGTATCTGACAAATAACTCTTTTCTTGATTATATTAGCCACCATAAAAAGATCAAGAGATTTTTCGGTTCAATTTCAGAGGGTGGAAAATGAAGCCTAAAATAGAGAATATCTTGCAGAATGCAGCAGAGTTGCACATGAGAGTGCAAGAATTTTACCGATCCCAGCTCAGTAGACATACATGCGGATTGGCGCTTTCATATGCTATGTACCTACGGTGGCCCGAAATAGCCAGTGGTTGAATAAATTCTGAAAACGTTGAATAGAACAATGGGAAAAGCACGCTTTTGGATAATACGTATCGAAAATCGACATGGTAAAGAAAAGAAATCTTATTTTCAAAAAGGGAAAATTAAGCACTTTTTAAAAACACTCAATAAAAAATGCACCTAAGGCTTTTAAAAAATGAAAATCAAAAATAAGCACCTTTAAGCACTTTTCAAAAACGCCTTTAAGAGAAATAATACTTATTATCAAAATTCTTTATGATGCATCATTAGCATAAAAAATGAGCAAATGAGTAATTTAAAATATTTTTATGATTTGAAAGAATTCTAGAGTGGATAAACATTTGAAAGTGAAATGTGCTGCAGAAAACTCTAAAAATGAGTTAAAAACTGAAATCACCACAAATATGTTGGAAACTAGAAATGTCATAAAAGAAAACTATTTAAACTTATTTAATTCTGCTTTATATGCTTTTTTATTCTTCATTATACATTATCCTGTTGTTTGGGAAAAAGTTCCACCATTAACTGATGCACAACATCTAATATATTATTTGTTACATAAGAGTTAGCTTTAATCACTGTTTTCATCCTCTTTATTGTTTTTATTGTTGTATCGTTTCAAAATGTCACCTTTCCGAAAATGTCACCTTTCTCTGACGATGCCATAGATAGCTCGCCTCACGCGTTTAAAAAATTTCTTAAAGTATTTGTAGTACATAAATAAAAGTTTTTACGTTCTTTAAAATTATTAATAAATGATAATTATTAAATGATAATTATTAAATAGTAAATTATAAATTATTATAATCAATTATATAAATAATAATAGTTAATTATAAATATAAGACAAATATTAAATTGAAAGGACTAAATATATACAATATGCCAAACTTTATGAACCATTTAAATACAGTAATTACCTAAAAATCTTTACAATCATAATCATCATCATAATTATCTAACCTTCGCTTTTGAGTCATTTTACTTTACAAACACCCTAAAAAACGAGCCAAAATACACATAAAAAAAGCAAAGTAAAAATAAATTCCCCCTTCATTATGAAAAGAAATTCTTGAAACCCGTGCTGCCATCTGTAGACAGTAAAACTAACTACATTTCGAGAGTAGGATTCGTTTATAACATAATCAATGCAGAATAATAATGGCGAACGAGATCAGCTCGCCAGCGCGCATTGGGGAAAAATTTAACTACACGAGTAGTGCTCGTTTCTAACCATTTCGGTTGAAATCTTATTCCCGAGCGGAACAAGTTTGCTTGCATTATGAGGCACGATTCGATTTCGAGCTAAACTCGTTCGTAACCATCAAAGGGTTAAAAGCATAAATATGTGTACAAATTCAATACAATTACATAAATAAATTATGGAAAGAAGAAAAACACATTAAAAAAAAGTAAAACAGATTAATTACATGAAAGAATTTTATTAGTTTAAAAATAATATAACATACAACATATAACAACAACTCTCACAAAACATACAACAAATATATTAAGAAATTAATTACTTTTTCTAGCCAGATATTAGAATTTGAATCTAACTCCCACACGATCAAAGTCTTGTCCATTGAAGCTGACAAAATCTGTAATATTGTATTTCCACTCTCATCTGAAAAAGTATTGAACAACATGCATTAATATTTACAGAAAAATTAATTTCAAACTGTTTACAAATCTTCTAGTTTTACAAAGCTTCTGAACATAAATAGTTATAGCATTAATATCAAGACAATTGCAATTACTGATAATTAAAAAATACCCTTTCTATTTATAAAATAAAATGAAAAAATATTTAATAAATGTTTCATATATGAGACCATTCAAATAATACCTAAGCTTGATTTTGGCTATTTTAGATTCCCCACCCTCTTGTCAGCAAAAATAAATAAATCTCAAACTCACTCCAATGCTTATGTATGCAAGTTACAACACCCTCTCCTCTCCTTGTATTTGTTTTAACTTTTACTGTAGTAATCAATTTCCTAATTTTAGAATCAAATTTAAATAAATTATGTAACTTCACAAAAAAATTAAGCTTCAAATCATTTTAAAAATTTTTGAGTAGAATATTCTTCAGAGATTACATGCGTTTTCCATCAATGGTTAAAACTGTCGACCTCTGAAACTTTTTCTTTCTCTAAATTTTACTTTCATTTCATATTTGAAATTTTTTGAAATGTAATTTATTTACAATTTATTTTCTTTATAGATTTCTGTTTGTTTTTTAAATTTAAAAAAAAATTGAAAGAATGCAACTTTAATGTCACACACATAAGCATGGCTTATTCCTCTCGTCCATGCCAGCAAAAATAAACAAATCACAAACCCATTCCTTTTTAAGTGCTTACGAAATATTTGAACAGCCTTACAAAATCAAACTTGTTTATAATAAGAACAAAGGAACTGGAGACAATTTATTCATTATTTATTTATTCATTCAATTTATATATTACTGGAGTCAACAGAAATTTCAAAAAATGCAAGCTAAATGCATAAAAATAAAACTATAAAATGCCTTGACACAGTAGCTGACTATAAAATTTAAAGAGTGCCTTTTATTGTCATTAAACTTACTGGAAAAATCTGAGAGCTTTGTTTATAATTAAACTTTTTACTTTTCATCAGTTATTGTTTAAAGTTCCACATTTTTCAAAATTCAGAAACAAGGTATGAAAAATGAAATTTTTAAGTCTCATTTTCAGAACATTTAAGACATTTCTTCCTTTTTCAAGTTTTCAAAGTATGCACTGCACATAAGTAAGAAGCTCCAGCCACAGGTAGCTTGCTTATGAGATTAAAGATTAAATTAAAGATTACAAAAACCAAATTTTTACTATGATTCCAACAGAATTATTTTTTAATGAACTTCTCTTAAGTTAAATCTCAACTTAATAAACTGATGGATGTAACTTAATAAACATACACTAAATAAACTGATGAACATAAAAAAATGAAATATAAAAAAGACTAAAAAATAGATAAAGATAATTTAATAATACATTCATTGACATTCCACTATTTTCGTAATTATCCAACTATTTAAATATATTTACAGAAAAAGGTACACATTTTCAAAAACGGATTTAAATTACTTTTTATTAATACATTTTAAAGTTTTTAACTAACCTCTGCTTTGTCTCCAATGAGCAGAATAAACCCAATTTTCATGAGCACTTATAACTGATTCAAGAGATATAGAGTATGCATTACCTAAAAAAGTAAACAGCATAAATATAAAGTATAAGTATATAGATAGTAACAAAAGTATACTTTGAAAACAGAACTAAGCAATGAAAAAAAAATATATATATATAAGAAAAATTTCATTTTAACTTAAATACCTGTAGCTTTTTAACAGTGTTTCTTAATTGAGAGCTACAAATTACTTTCGGTTATCTAAAAGAATTACTTTTTAATCTAAATGAAATATGTAAATATAAATAGAAAAAAATATTTTTACATATAAAGAGTTAGAGTACCATAGAACTCTTATTATTTGATACACACAAACCTATGAGCAAAGCATAAAATAGATATTGCCGGTTAATTGGAGATAATTTAAATTATATTTTGTAGTACGTGGATCGAGATTCAGACAGAAAGTAAAAGTTTATTAACAAAAAGCAAACAAACACATACAAATTTAAAAAGAGCGCCATCTGGCGGTATAAAAAGAAAAAGACTTCGTAGCTATCCTTCCCAGGGAATGACAACAATCTCCCCCTGCGAGAAGGATTTTACTTTTTAACACATATAACAATATACACATAAAAAATATTNAACTGTAGTCCGTGGATCGAGATTCAGACAGAAAGTAAAAGTTTATTAACAAAAAGCAAACAAACACATACAAATTTAAAAAGAACGCCATCTGGCGGTATAAAAAGAAAAAGACTTCGTAGCTATCCTTCCCAGGGAATGACAACATATTTTCTTAGCGATTTAACAGTCAATAAAATGCAGAATAGTAGAGGATCACTATGCAATATAATTTGAAACATTTGCTGTTTCAGGTGGCACTTGACACACAGGTCAAAAAAGGATCAGGAATCGTCAAAGGTCTTATGGTCTATATTTCTTCATTTACTTTCTGCATATACTGACTAAATGAAATAAATTGTAAATAACACTAGTGAATAAAAACTAGTAATTAAGAAAAATATTTTTAATAAATCAAAAAAGCACAATTAGCAATGTGAAACAATCTTAGAATGGGAAGACAATAAATTAAAATAAAATGTACCTGCCACTGTAGAAAATGTAACGGCATCAACTTGTAGTTCGTTAAGATCTGCTTCCATGTGCTTTTCTTGCACAGGTGAGATTTTCCATATTCTTATGTGACAATCTTGAGATGCTGAAGCAATCAGTAATGCTGATTGACCTATATAATAAGAACAAAAATGAAAACAAAAATAGAAAACTTAGGTGACAAGAACAAAATTTAATCTATAATGCTTTATGCCTATAATGTAACCTATCATAATTTAGTAACTCAGAAAGCTTAGTTTTCTTTAGAGCCTTTTATTTTAAATAGAATACCATTATCTTTTTGGGGCGGAAAGAGATGAATATAAGAGCTTTGTAAATTCCTTCATTGTGAATAGAGAAATGTGCTTTTTTGGTAACTTAGAACTAAATGCTTCAGTAACAATAACTGATTGTAACAAATTGCTTGTGAAATAAATGATAGGGAAAAAAAGAAAAATACTCAACTAACTTACTTTCCCTAATAACATCTATACTTTGAATCCAATCTTGATGTCCTTTTAGCTGAACTGTAGGAATAAATGTCATGTCCTTAGCTTGAGTATACAAATGGATTCTTGAGTCATCAGCACCAACAAGTAAAATTAATTCTAGGAAGAAAAAAAATTTAGAAAATGTCTGTGTATCTAAATAATACTTTTTAAAACAGTATTTATGTAACAATTGAAAAAATAAATAACAAGATATTCATAGATGCAACAGATGAGAAATAGCTCTGAACGTACAACAAATGGTTTCTTAAGACTTTATAATTATAGCAGTGACATGACCAGATTTTGATATTTTAAAACAGCAATTTTGTACAATAAGAGCAGTTTGGAATGACATTTGTTATACTTTTAGAGACGTTCACAAAAATGAACTTGATAAACTTGTAATTATAACTATGTTTCACCTCAACTCAACTTTGAATTCTGTAGAACAGTGTGAAATGCAAATTGGTAACTTACAGGCATAGTTTAATCAAAAATATTACTTTCGGTGGAAAAGGTCCTAAGAAATTGAATTTTAAATAAACAGAATTTTTAAAATTTGATATCTCAGAAACTTTTCAACCTATTTTGCTCAAAATTTATATTTTGCCTTGTTAATTTTACATCAGACTTTACTATGCTGTAAAAAACAGCACAAGTTACAACTCTAAAATTTTTAGCCTATTATTAAATAAAATTATAAAAAATAATAAATATTTACTAAAATTTATTTTTGGCATGGAATTATCTTTGGATTAACGAATTTTATAATTGTGTGCAAACTTTTTTCAATCTACTTAATAAGTTCTCGCGACATGTTGAAATACGGAAAAGATAAAATTAACATTAAGGGGTCCAAACTATGAATGATCAAACTAACTAATGACCCTGAACTAACTATGGGAACCATATTTCCCAGATTGCAGCTACCTCCTATATTTTGGGAGTCAAAAAGTCCATTAAAGGTGGTTCATTTTTTTTTTTGCAATGTGTACAAAAAAAAATCATTACAGCTTTCCACTCATTAAAGCTTTGTGAACTACTTACCTTTAGCATTAAAAAAAAAACTTATTCTAACCAATTAAAATGTTTTAGACATGAGAATATACAAGCACTAATTTAGAGAATACAAGTTATACTTTAACTTTTAATACTGTAAAAGAAAAACTGACTTTCTAGTTTTACTACGTACATAGGGTATTATTGTGATAAAAATATAAAAATTAATAGGCATTTTATAATTCAAGATGATAAAACACATCAGACATAAATAAAAATTGAACTTAGTCCCACACTATCTATGCAACTTAATAAATTCAAAACATTTTAATAATTCAACAAAATAAAATAATTTATATTTGTTACAAAATAATTTTATATTTTTGTTTTCGTAAATGGAACTTTTGTTTACAATGCAATTTTAGTGAACAATACTATAAGTGTTTGTATAATTGTTTATTTATTACAATTAATACAAAACTATAGAAATTTTTAAAAAAATTTTTAAAAAAAACAGAAAATTAGCAATAATTTAGTCTATAATTTGTAATCATCAAATGAGAAAACACATACAAACATACCATCAGGATTATTCAGTACTGCAAATTTAGCATCAAGACCAAACCCACTTCCAAACGATATTGTCTGGATGCATAAAGCTGATTAAAAAAAATTAATGTTAGGAAAAAGCAACACTAGGTATAAATTTATAATAAATCAATCTATCACATTCAATTTTATCAAATAAAACAAACATATGACTAAATTAGAATAGAAAAAATATAGTATGAGCATGTTAATATAAATCTGTCAGGTTTGATATATTTGCACACAAGTTTTTACTTCTATATTACAAAGTTTTTATGGAAAAATCTTTTTATTAAAAATTTAGAATTCATTAAACATTATTCCAAAAATTCACATGATTTACTTTATTTGATTAAAGATCCTTACTACTTTTTTTATTTGATTAAAATTCCTTACAAAGCAGCAATGATAGTATTTTTGAAATGCGAATTAAAATACACTTTAGTAACTGAGTGAGTCATAAAAAATAACTTATTTCTAATTCACACAGATGACAAAAAAAAGGGGGGAAAGCGAAGAAAAGAAAGAGACTAGTACAGCAAAATAATGAAGTAAAAACAACAGTAAAATAATTTGCACACCAAAAATTTTATAAATGTTTGTCTTCAGGTTAAATATCTAACAAAGTATTTTGCAAGATTCTAAAGTTTAAAACAACACTTCAATCCAAAAATTTGCTTAAAAAAATGCATGATAATAAAAATTGATTGAAAAAATTGTATTTATAAATTAATTATGTAAAAATGAAATATGTTAATTTTTTATAATGAATAAAAGCACTTTTAATATAAAATAGAAAAAACGTTTTAACTTTTATCCATTCAAAATAACTGCTTTCTTGGAAATGAAGCTCAAGTTATATGTGCATATTTAAAAAAAACTCATTGGATTTCAAAGTACTGGAAGTGACTTAAAATATGAAACTTATTCATTTTAAAACAAATAATCCTTTCTTTTTTAAGGTTTAATGACAACATACTTATTCAACAAATGGTTGCATTTTATTAGCTATGCATCATACAAATTAAGTAACGTCAGAGAAACCATATCCCTCAAGATTTTTGGGCAATCAAGTTTTCTAAAAAACTCTTTAACCACCTTGTCTCCTTGATTTGATCAAAACAGACATTTTAATATCCGAATATTTAGAGGGCAATACGTACAATGATAATCTTTAAACTATAGGTGATCTGAAAAGTGTATTCTTAGCTTTCTGAAAGATGTTTTTAAAAATAGTACAAATGAAAATTTAGCTTTACTATAAAAAAAAAAGCTTAATTCTTCAAACACTTATAAAAAGGCAAATTCAAACTTTTAATCAATAACATAATTATTTTATATTTTGTATCCTTTATACAAGAAATTCATAAAGTGTCAGTACAAAAATTTTATGGACATTCGGTGGTTGCATGAGCAAAATCAGCAAAGAGCTTTTCATATTATTAAATTACAAAAACAAACAAAAAAGTTATATAAAATAAAGTTAGTTTAAAGAAATTAATGCATTAACATAAATATAAATTTAAATTTATTTCAAGTTAATCTATTAATGATAAAAAATATTTTATTTAGCATAAATAAAGTTTTTTAAATACATTAAAGACTTTGTCAATTTTATAAATCATAAGGTGTGAAATAAAGGAAAAGGATTGCAAAGTAAATAATCTAAATATAAAATTTTAGATTCAAATTAAAAATTATGAATATTACAGAAAGTGTCCAAAAAATTCCCCTGTATTGAAAGTTTTGATTGACAATTCCGATTGGCAAAAAAAACCTATAACTCAATATGTATATTAATGCTAATACTGTAAATAAATTGCTGCTGATAATTGGTGCATGAAAATTAAATTAAGAAAGTCACATAAGCAATTTGTTACAAAAAGCAAAATAGAATGAAAAATGTCTTTATAATACACAATTTTTGAAATATATACAGGGAGTAAAAAAAGTTTGAAAACAGCTAAATATCTCAAGAAATATACATTGAATTGAAAAACTATACACAATCAATATTTCTTAAAAGCTATCCTATGATAACAAACTCAATCTTCACCCCCACTCCATGGGGGTGGGAGGCAACTTTGAAATTTTAAATATGAGCCCTTATTTTTTTATTGCAGATTAGGATTCTTCCAGAAAAGGTACTCCTATTTGAGTAATAGGTTTATGCAGTTTGCTTCACAGTGGTGCTGTTAAGGAGAAAATTAAAATAAAATTGTTTGAAATCGTGAGATATATTTCTTTTAAAAAATCCTTAAACATGTCAATTATGTTTTATTAATCTGATGGGTTCTAAGACGCACCATTTTAAACAGCTTGTAGCTTAATTAATTTTTTTCAGTAATAGTGCAATCTGTGAAGCAAAATTAATAAACCTACAACTCAAATAGGGTATTTTTTCTGGACAATCTGAATCTGCAATAAAAAAATAGGGGTTCATAACAAATTGCCTTTCATCCTGCACCCCGGATGTGGGGGTGAAAGATCAAGTTTTGTATCATTGGACAGGTTTTAAAAAAATATTGAATGTGACTATTTTCACTTTTTTGATCTGGTGCATATTTTTCGATGTTTCCAAACTTATTATATGACTGTGTTTGAAATATGTTTTGCATTTTTTTTTCAATATTTATGAATATATTTTAAAATTATTTTTAAAATACAGAAGAGTTCCGATTATTCGAGTCAATGTAGACTTCGACAAACTAGATTAAACATAAAACTCGGTAAAAGCAAAGATTATAAATAAAATAAATCGTTTAAGTTTAAACATATTTTTCAAAAATGCAAAAAATTCACCCACATGTGAACCACATCCAATTCATGATGTTATAATGGAGTTCTCACTGAAAAGAAGTCCTTAATTGCTTTATGTTACTTTTGGCTGCAATGTTTCACAATTAAAATATCAGGATTGCTGAAGTTGTTTCTTAATGTTGTACTATATATTCAATAGCACATTTGATTGCTTTTATTTTAGGCCAAATGTATGGGAGATTTGCAAATGTCGAATATTATATTTCATGTTCCTGAATGTTTAAGAGATCAAGTTCATAATTTTAATCATTAGTGTTAAAATTGAGATTGTAAAACCAAAAAAAAAAATTTAATTTCCTCGAAATCCTTGATAGTTTGGTTAAGGCTAAAACTCAGAAAATCATGCCTCTGATAATCAGGGTTTAACTATAACATTTTTTTTAACTATTTCATAACAAATGTTAATAAAGACAAGCTATAAATGTTTTTCTCACCTTCAGAATCTTTTTCACAAATCCATAATTTCACAGAGCAATCAATTGACATAGTTACAATCATCAGTTTTTCGCAACCTTTATCTTGTAAATAAATTCCTGAAGCACTTCTTACAACTCCAGTATGACCAACCAAAGAATAAGAAAATTTGAACTAAAACAAAATAAAAACGTCATCAATAGACAGGATAAACTGAAACTAAATAACAGACTCATATTAGCTCATATAGATACTAATTCAAAATATGATAAATATTTCATAGCATAACGTTGTATAAAATAAAAAAAACTAGTCTGGATTTTTAACAGTAACCGAAAATGTAAATTATAAGTGTTTAACCCACTGACGGTTCTGCACGTAAAAAGTCGCATTTTAACCTGCAGTCTTCTCTGCATAGCAAATTCGGTTTTCCCATGTTAACTGATAGGGGAACTGTGTGTAGGGGAGAAACATTCTCCCAATTTTGCCCATTTCCTTAACCGCCAGTGGGTTAACTATTCAAAAATGTTTAAAAAAAATTCTCTTTTTTCATTTTAATTAACCAAAAATAAATGAAAATATTAAATCTACGTACCTCTGATCCATTGTAAGTCCAAACTGAAGCAGTAAAATCTGCAGAAGTGGCAATCAATTCATTTTCACTGTCTAAAACAAAATGTAACATCTAAAAAACCACACAAATGTTAAAAAAATAAAAAAAAATTTAAAAAAACTTATTATACAGCATTTTTTTTTTCAGAAAGGAGGGCATGTTTGCAAACAAACCAAACACCACTTTGCCTATTTGTACAGAATTCAGTATACATTTGAAAATATGGAGAAAAAAAATCAGGTAATTTTAAATTTTCCTCACATCACCCATATAAATACTAAACATCAACATTTGTTTATTAAAAACATCATTTACTAGCCCTGAATATATTATTAAAAATATTATTAGAAACAAATTTTATTTAGAATACTATTTAGTAAAGGTAGTTTTGTTGGCTACCATCTGAAGCAGTTTTTAATCACCAATTTGATAGTACAATACTTTAAATAAGAGTACAAAAACTAAAATTAAAAATGTAAAATCATTTAATCTCTTATTTAAAAGAAGAAAGAGCCTTCTGAAAACAGTGAAACTAATGTTGTATTTACCTGGGGTTAGAAAGAAAAAGAGATACTTTCAGTAAAAATAAAACAAACAAAGTAAAAACATTAACCAGATTTTAATAGCTTAAAAATAAAAAATTTAAGAACCATGCAAAAGTATATAACTAATCTACTTACTATTGCTTCTTTTAATCCAGTGCACAGAAGTTACTAATTTTTTGTGCCAATTTAATGTCTTATAATGATGAGGAAATTTATTATCCTAAGAATGAAATGAAAAAATTATCAATAACTGCATAATAACTAAAAAAATATAGTAGCTGAACCAAACTGCCATAAAAATTAAGATAAATAAAAAATCTCATACAAGATATACAGCTTCAGAAATACAAATATATGTAGGTATTGCATACTAGATAGAAAAACTACATAAAAAAAGAACAAATTATTTTTAATAGTAATGACATTATAGGATTTAGGTCAGTGATTGCAAGTTTCTTTTACAGTGGGAAAAACTGCAGGAAAAAACCACCACCGAACAAATATGCTTCTTCCAATCAAATTGGATGAAATGGAAGAGACACTTTTTAAAAAAATCAAATATTAAAACAATTTTTTGAACAGTTTATAATTGCAATATAGTTTAAATAATATTAATTTCAAATCTATTTAATATATCATTTTTAAATGAATTGAAACCAAAAAGTAACAATTAAAATATAAAAAAAAGTTCAGACCCCAGAACGCGTAATTTTCCATTGTGAAAAACTAGCAGTCAAAATTAAACGAATTTTTTTCAGTGCTGAATAATGAAAATGAAAGTAACTTTGAGTTGAATGGATAATGAAATTTGGGTTTTAATTCTTTGTTGAACTATTATTATTGAAAAAATTTAAACTCACGTTTTTTTCCCAATCATAAACATTTATTTTTTATGTATATCCTGAAAGTAGAGATCTGCATTATTTTTTAAAAAAAATAAAAAATTTCAGCCATGCAGTGTAACAGAAAGTTACTGATCTAGTTTACAGCCTTCCTCAAAACATCAGTATGTGAACATTTTGTCATGAAAGTTTTATTTACACAATGGGTTCTAATTTTGCAAATGCAATTATTTGTGAATTTATAACAATTAACTAAAAGAGAAGAAAATTTAGCAAATTGATAAGCTAAAGAAAGAAAATTTGTTAATTTCAAAATTCTAGTAACAGTCATTACATTAATCTTATACTCTTTTTGTGACAAATTTGGTTTATTATATTTGCTGAATTGTAGTAAATTTTAAGAACAAATGCAAATTTATGTTACTTTTTAGTTTGTTTTTTTTTCCTATAAATTTATCATAATTTGCTTAATAAATGAACTTGTTTAAATTTATTTACATTTTTTTCTTCTTTTGNACTAAAAAAAAGAACAAATTATTTTTAATAGTAATGACATTATAGGATTTAGGTCAGTGATTGCAAGTTTCTTTTACAGTGGGAAAAACTGCAGGAAAAAACCACCACCGAACAAATATGCTTCTTCCAATCAAATTGGAGGAAATGGAAGAGACACTTTTAAAAAAATCAAATATTAAAACAATTTTTTGAACAGTTTATAATTGCAATATAGTTTAAATAATATTAATTTCAAATCTATTTAATATATCATTTTTAAATGAATTGAAACCAAAAAGTAACAATTAAAATATAAAAAAAAGTTCAGACCCCAGAACGCGTAATTTTCCATTGTGAAAAACTAGCAGTCAAAATTAAACGAATTTTTTTCAGTGCTGAATAATGAAAATGAAAGTAACTTTGTGTTGCATGGACAAAGAAATTTGGGTTCTAATTCTTTGTTGAATTATTATTATTGAAAAAATTTAAACTCACGTTTTTTTCCCAATCTTAAACATATATTTTGTATGTATATCCTGAAAGTAGAGATTTGCATTATTTTTAAAAAAAATAACAATTTTTTTTTTCAGCCATACAGTGTAACAAAGAAGTTAATAATCTAGTTTACAGTCTTCCTCAAAACATCAGAATGTGAACATTTTGTCATGAAAGTTTTATTTACACAATGGGTTCGTTCTAGTTTTGTAAATGCAATTCTTTGTGAATTTATAACAATTAACTAAAAGAGAAGAAAATTTAGCAAATTGACAAGATAAATAAAGAAAATTTGCTAATTTCAAAATTCTAGTAACGGTCATCACATTAGTCTGATACTCTATTTGTGACAAATTTTGTTTATTTAGTTTATTATATTTGTTGAATTGTAGTAAACTTTAAAGAAAAATGCAAATTTATGTTACTTTTTAGTTTGTTTTTCTTCCTATAAATTTACCATAATTTGCTTCAATAAATGAACTTGTTTAAATTTATTTAGTTTTTTTTTTTTTTTTTTTTTTTTTNTTTTTTTTTTTTCTTTTGTCTGCTTGTGAACAAAAGATTAATTAAAAGTTTTTCCAAAAGAATTTCATTTAAAAACCATTATGTGCTTTGTCCATTGTAGTTGGCACAACAAGTTACAATAAGTAAATATCACTAATTACATACTTTTTTAATTCATCTGTTATAAGCAAAAGGTTTGAAAAAAAAATTCAAGCATATTATAATAGTTATAAAAATATTTATCACATCAAAAAGATTAAAATAAGCAAATATTTCCAATTATTTAAAAATAAAAGCAAGCAATATTGAATAAATATTCAGAAACAAATGTAGCATGTAGCATATGTATCACTTAACAAAATAAGATATTAACTCGATTCACTCATTTATTTTTATTACATTTTGCAATAAACGTTATCAATTTTCGACAATAATGAAAATGTTTAACAAAACACATTTTAATACAATTTAAAATGCAAACACTTTGTGCAATTAACTATTATTTTATACCTCATATTCATAAATATGGATTGAATTACAAGCAGCATAACAAATAAATCCATTTGTTCCCCAGTCCATTGAGTTTGGAGATTTATTACATGAACAACTACAATAAATACATTTTGTTTCAACAGTCATTGTGACTTATTTTGTATATAATATTTTTCTGTAATTTCGCAAGATTAATTAAACTAATAGTAATGAAGATACTGATATTTTTAAGTATCAAAAATTGTTTTGAAGATTCAGTTTCAGAGTCAAGGAAACATTTATCTTTAAATTTTTAAGAGCTACAAGTATTTTTAAATGATGCTTCTAACATGTCTAATCCATGTGCTCTTTATAAAATCAAAACCATGATCAATACACAACACGAAAAATAAACAAGTCGTCAGACACGATAAATATTTTTCCACTGTTGGCAACATTGAACCTATTGAATATTTCAACTTTTGGAGTTTATTCTGTTTTGTAGTAAACAGTGCATTTTCAAACATTTTACGAATTGAATCGGTTTAAATTTATTTGGAGTCTTAGTGCGCATTAGTCCCCTGAAAATATATAACGTGTTTCTTTTGCAACATTAGTGAGCAAGTTGGCTCAAGCCTGAATTTCCTCAAATTAATTTCTTGCGTATTTCTATATTTATATTAGTCCCTGGTAAAATGTTAAGCATTATATTAAAATTCTTTTGTAGATTTATATAAGTTATATTTTAAATTCTCGCTTCTTATGTTGCTTGAGAAATAATGCAATTAATATGTCGAAATGGGTTGGTTTCCTGATGGTCTCGTCAGGTGTTTGTTTACTAATTGCATTAGCTTTAAAGCTACTTGTTCAGGTGATTAATATTCTATTTCAAATAATTATATATAGACACTATTATTATGTGTTCACTTCTTCAATATCATTTGAATATATTTTGTATCAAATAAAAAATGGTTTAAATTTAAAAATAAGTAAAAGAAAAAGCAATTGCCATAACAACACATTAAAATTAATTTATCAAAAATTTTTTTACGTTTTTCAATAAATCAAAAAATTGTGAATTTTTATATAAGTGTAGCTAATTTCATTTTCAACACTTAAATACAATCGGTTTTATATAAACTTAAATAGTATTCATTAGCTTCTCAAATATATTATGTTAATAGCTCTTGCTAAGAAAAAAAAAATTTAAATTAATTTCTTAATGACAAATTAATAATGAAATTTTTAAATCAAAAAATTTAGTCAATTATTTAAGTTAAAAATATCTTTTCATGTGTTGTAATTTTCAAAGTTTACTGGGTTATTCCTCAATTTTTCGTTATTTTCACAGTTAGTGATGAGTGGAGATCTTTTCGTATCTTGATACATCGAGTCAATTACAATCGCAAAGGTGCTACATAGATTTTAAATGCATCAAAAATACACCTGTAAAGGTTTGCTCGGAGATGGCTATACCTTTCAAGTTGGTCTCCTTATGGGATTTTTTTTTTTTTAAATTTCTCATGATCACTGCCCTGAAGTCGCCAAAACTTAGCAAATAATTGGGCATAAATCATGATATGGAAATATTCCCCAATGAATCTTTTTTTTTACTTAAGTTCCAATTTACTCAGATTATGTTTTTGGAACTTTTCTAATTACTAACTGTTAACTTTTTAAATTCATAAAATGTTTCTAAAAGAAGTGATTGACAATATGCATCATAAGTCTAATGTGGGGTAAAAAGTAATCGATTTTGAATTAATTTTAACAGTAAAATTTAAATCGTTACATATCAAAGTCTCCATTTTCTAGAAAAAATATTTATATATTCTGTTATTACTATTATTTTATCTAAACTAAAGTGAATGGCACAAACCTAAATTGATTTTGAAATTGCATCTAAAAAGAAATATTTTGAGCAAATATACAAAATCACATATACAAAAATTTCATAAATCTGTAATGAAAATTCTTTACAAAAGCTTGAAAAAATTAAATGTTTTTTTTTAAGAAAATATTAATAAAATTGTGTTTAAAAGACATTTTTATTAGTTTAAAATAACTTTTTTTAAAATTAGGATAAGAAAAATTATTTTTAGGATTAGAATTTGTGTAATTATGAAATTTAATAACATTTGTATATTTTATACAAATTGAAAGGTATTATGTAATTATATGAACAATGAATAGATCGGAATTTTTTTCTTAAAACCTAAAGTCATTGATTGATTAAAAATTAAAATAGTATAAATCTTTTTCAAAAATTATTTTTAGCACAATTAGAAAAATGTTGACCAATTTTTTTTTTAAGAATTAAAATAACAACAAACCTTCCATAGAGTTATTGAAATTACTGCATATTCTAACCGAACTAAATAAGTACTATTATTGAACTGCAATTTTATTCTCGTCCTTTTTGCTTTGATAATATGTTATGCAGAAATGAAAAATAAAGAATAAGATTTTATTTTCGATAAATAAATGTTTTTTTACAAAAATAAACATTTATTTATGAAATCCTCACAAAAAGCTTACAAGTTGTACAGATTTCCAGTTAATCAAAACATGTTTCGAGCTAACATTTTATTTAAAAAAAATATTTAATTGCAGCCTTTCATCACAGAAGATAGTGCTGTTCATGTTTATTTTCCATCAACTGAGCTTGTTTTAGGCACCCCTATACTTCTGGGTGTGTTATTTTTCTGTGGTTTTAGTAAGTTCAAATTTTTATACATTTTCATTTTGTAGTGATGCATTTTAACAAGAAATTAATATGAAACATGAATCCTTTTTCTTATTTACACAAGGAGAGAGAACAGGTTGCTAAGAGGAATTTATTAACATTCGCTCGATGAGACAACAAATTATGTAAAGTGTCAATCAATGTTCATGTAGTAAATTAACTTTATGAGGTAAAATCCCAATCACAATTAGATTTATTTTTGCCTTGCTCTAGAGTTTTCTACGTCCAACATGGTCTGCCTGAAATTAGGTTACTAAAACTGTAGGTGACATGTCTGACAATTGACAATTTTATCCAGTTGTAACCATGGTTTTAACCGTCATGTCAAGAAAAAACTTTTTGGCATTTGTCAAAAACCTAAACTTTTTGTGTAAAGATAATTTTTAGCTATTATAAATAAGTACGTATTTAATATTTTATTACAAGTGATACATATAAAATTACAAGTGATCAATCAATTATGTTAAGTCTTTAAACTCTCTTTTTGTTTCGACAATTACTGTCAAAAACCTGAATTTTGGTGTAGAAAACATTAATTGATTTTAAACAAAAATGTGTATACAATTGCAATTTATCCAATCCACTAATTTGTTTAATTATTGAAAATAAAAATGCAAAAACCATCATCTTAACAAGAACACTTAACAATCATCTTGCTTGTTAAATGTAAAATCATATTTTATTTACTGCCATTTTAGCTCCTCCTTCACCCAAAGTTAATCAAAAATTAGTTTTGAAGCCCTCTGTACTCATTTTTCAGTGTTTAAGTATTCTTCATTTTTCAGTATTGTATGAATAAGACTGAAATTCAAAACTATTCTTTTGATAGATGCTGAACTGCATTGACTATATTATATACTTAAACTATTGTAGCATAATAAAATAACATGTAATTAGGAAAGTTTTTTTAATAAATATACTAAATATTGAGAGTAACTAAATAAAACCATTGAATTGATTGTTTGAAAAAATTATTCTCCTTTAAGCAATCGTTATACTTTTTGTAAATTATGATTAGTTTTCTGTTAAGAGAAGATGATATTAGTCGTGATTTATTATAAATACTCATGTACTTATGAGCAGGGGTCAGAGCCTAATATTTCCTCAGAATATAGTTTTTAGATCAAAATCTCCCTAAAAATTATAGAATTTTTTTTTGTGGTACAATAGCTTTTTCGAGGTATTTTTTGGTAAGTAAAGTTTATATATTGTTAAAAAAAATCTTAAACTAAAACAAAAAAAATAAAAAAAAAATTTATTTGATTTTTTTTCACAATGCTTGAATAAATGAGCATGTGTGTTAAAAATAATAGAAATCAAAATATAATGAAATAGTAATAATTTATTAAATTAAATTTCAAGTCTCACTCATAAACTTAGGGAATTCCAACTAATAATGCCCAAGTTGACGTGTAATATTTTTTTAACTTGGAAAAATTTAGACAAAATATTTTCCAAGTGCTGCCTGAATTTCCCCTTAAACCTCATTTGTGCAGTTGAACATATTCTTTTTCCCTGCACATAAGTAATAACAAATATTAAGAATTTTAAGAAAAAATTATAAGTTGAGATCAGACAATTATTGGCTACAATTTTGGTCTAAGAATCTACTAAAAAAATCTTAATCTAAAAAATCTACAAAAAAGAATTAAAATCAGTATTTAAATTTATAATAACTAACAATTCATAGTAATTATCAGTAATATAAATTGAATGATTTTAATATAACAAAAAGTTTTGGTATTAACATATTAAAAATACCTTGTTTTTAGAAAAACCATCAATAGTTTCAATTTTGGGTATATTTTTTATTTTGGGTAATATAAATCATAATTGTAGTGCTATATAATGCAAGTATTGTGCATGGTGCATCATGATTTTATTTCAACTAAATGTTCCCTATGAGAAAAAAGAAATTTGGCCCAGGCTTTTGACAGATTTAGACTGTTTTTGGCAGGTTTTCAATGCGTCATGTCAAGAAATAGTTTTTGACAAAAAAACCCAACCCTGTATGTCACAAAACTTGTGAGGTGAAGTCTTGTTCAAATGGGTTATAAAAGAATACTTAATTCTGTTAAAGTTAATATTGTTCACAGAACTTGTTAGATCTATTTTCCTTAATGCCCAATATTAAATTTATGTAAGTAATATTTTCAATCATTATATATTTATTATTTTATCAGAGCATGTATTTATTTTATAGTTTTTTTTCCTGTTTCATTTATAATAAAGTTTTTTTTTTAACATTTTTCCTGTTTTATTTATAATAAAGTTTATAATAATATTTTAGTATCTCTTACAATATATCTAAAACTATTTGATTTAATTAAATTTTTCTGTGCTTAATCAGCTTGATTATAGTATATCATATAAAAAGTATTTCTCGTTAATTTCAAAACACCCTTTTGAAAAAAAAAATTATTTTAACAGAATTTAAAAAATGAAGGTACCAATTTTTGTTTACTAAATTTATTCAACAAAAAAACAAGTAGGAAAAATTTAAAAATATTTTTAATTTAAAACTACTTTCTAACTCCTCTGAAATAGATAATTGTGTTTGTTGTAATACTTGCTAACTTGTATTTTAATTTTTAAATTCCTCATGAAATGTTTTTTCTTCACATAAATATGAATTCCGTAATATTAAAATAGCCATGTAATCTCTTTTTTTATTTTGG